AAACACAGTGTAAAACTGTTAGATACAATGATAAAAGATAAGGTAATTAATGCACTCACAAGTGGACATTGGACCTGATTTTAAACCTAAATCTAAGTTCTACCCAGTTCAAGATAGAGGAGAATATCTACAGGTCTTCAGCAATATGCTTCTTAAAGAATTTAAGGCTATTGAATCAAAGAAATGTCCCAAAACCAACTTGAACAATAAGAAACGATCAGCTTTTAAAAGATTGTGCGATAGACATGATGTTGTCTTCAAGGAGGCCGACAAAGGTGGTGCAGTGGTTATTTTGGATCTGGATTGTGAAGACTACATAACAGATAGCCATGAGACTCCTTGGAGACAACTCCACGTGTTGCTTGTTACCCAATTATCCCGCTGTAGAATATACCACTAAACTTCTTCATTTATTAAATGATGGGAAGGATCAGGATATCCTAAGTCAAAATGAATTCAAATTTGTATTTAATCCTCACCCTAGACTGGCCACATTTTATTATTTACCCAAGGTCCATAAATCCCTAATAAAACAACCAGGCAGACCTAGTGTAAGTGGCATTGGTAGCCTAACAGCTAATCTGTCTGTTGTGTTTATCACGTTTTTTTGGAGTTAACCGGGTTGTTTGTGAAAACTAGGAGACTCGCTATACTTTTTTGTGCTTTTGTATCTTTGCTAGTTTGTTGGGCGCCTGCTGCATTACATTTATACTAGAATATGGATTACGTAGCTCGTTCTGCTAGTATGACCCCCCACCCTTTGCAATAAAAATTGATAAAATCAACGTTCTACATGCCTTTTTCCAGCACAGAGACTGGCGCTGCTCACGTCTGCTCCTCTTACATCATCGATGAGGACTGGCCTCCTCCACAATGGTTCAATCCAATACTTTGTTCCAGCTTGGCCTGAGTTGGTTCTATACTTGTTTTCACTACACGTCTCACCCCAAGAAGAGGGGATACAACTGCCACTTCCAGACAAGAAAGAAGAAATTAGATTTCCAAAAAGTTTTCTAACTCATCTGTTCGGTCTTAGGGCATTCAATTCTCTTGCCAATTCTCAGTTCAGCAAATAAACCTGCATTGCATGCTGGGAGACCCTGCACAGTATTACTGGCAATGCATCATGACACTATAAGGTGTGTACCTGTACGCTAGGAATTGTGGGATACAGATGACATCATTTGGGAGTTCTCCCCATTATTTCTACACCTGGCTCAATTGTAAGTTTATCAACCCCACAGTTTGTGGCTGACAGGAATGATATTGCCAGCGTAGGGGAATATAATACTTTTAGCTAAATCTAACATTAAGAAAGTCATTAATATAACCAGGGAGGTTGGGTGCAATAAGGTTAAAGCGTGCCCTGGAAAAAGGCAGTGTAGCTAAAATGAAAATGGATAAAAGCCCAGGAGGATGTGAGACTAGGTTTAAATTTATCCTAGTTCACAATGTCTAATATCATGTGAAACATTTTTAAAAAATGCAGTTAAATAGAAACGGAGTTAAAAGGACACTAGGCATCAAAACAACTTTAGCTTAAAGGAACACTATAGGGTCAGGAACACAAACATATATTTCTGACCCTATAGTGTTATAAACACCATCCCCGGAACACCCTTGTCCCCCTAAATATAGTAAATCTTACCTTTTATTCCAGTCTGCTGCTGCTGCTGCTGCTGTTTCTGCCCCTGATCTGCCTCTTTGTCTGACATCATCAGAAGTGTTTATCAAAGCCAATCATAATCCTTTCCCATAGATTTGGCTGAGACTGTCAAGGAGGCAGATCAGGGGCAGAGACAGCACAAGTCAAACACAGCGCTGGCCAATCAGCATCTCCTTATAGAGATACATTAAATCAATGCACCTCTATGAGGAAAGTTCAGTGTCTGCATGTAGAGGGAGGAGACACTGAATGTCAGTCACACTGTGCAGCACTGCCCCAGGAAGCATCTCTAGCAGCCATCTGAGGAGTGGCCAGTGGAGTTGTCACTAGACTGTAATCTAAACACTGCATTTTCTCTGAATACATCGTGTTTTCTGCAAAAAGCCTGCAGGTAATGATTCTACTCACCAGAACAAATACAATAAGCTGTAGTTGTTCTGGTGACTATAGTGTCCCATTAATGAAGCCATTTTGGTGTATAAATCTTACCCCTGCTGTCTCAGTGCTCAATTCTTTGCCATTTAGGAGTTAAATCACAGCCCTAGCCACACCTAAACAGTAAGTCACATGCAGGGAGGTGAGACTAGGGCTCTATAAACAGAATGATTTAACTCCTAAATGGCAGTGAATTGAGCAGTGAGACTGCAGGGACATAATCCATATACTAAAATGCTTTATTAAAGGACCACTATAGTGCAAGGAAAACATAATTCTTTTTCTTAGGCACTATAGTGCCCTGAGGGTGCCCCCACCCTCAGGGTCCCCCTTCCGCCGGGATCTGGGGAGAGGAAGGAGTTAAACACTTTTTCCAGCGCCGGGCGGGGAGCTTTCCTCCTCCTCTCCTTCCTAGCGACGTCATCGGCTGAATGCGCATACGCGGCAGGAGCCGCGTGCGCATTCAACCAGTCTCATAGGAAAGCATTCATAATGCTTTCCTATGGACGCTGGCGTCTTCTCACTGTGATTTTCACAGTGAGAAGCACGCAAGCGCCTCTAGCGGCTGTCAATGAGACAGCCACTAGAGGCTTTAGAGGCTGGATTAACCCTCAGTGTAAACATAGCAGTTTCTGTGAAACTGCTATGTTTATAAAAACAAAAACAAAAAAGGGTTAATCCTATCTGGACTTGGCACCCAGACCACTTCTTTAAACTGAAGTGGTCTGGGTGCCTATAGTGGTCCTTTAAATAAAAGGGTTCTGAGACCTGAGGAGAACGCTAGATTCTGATTAATGTCAGTATTTACCAGCCATGGGATTGCCACGTGGACATCTTCTAGCTAGCCAGGAATTTGTTTCTGTAGACCCTGGGGATGAGAAGCTAAATCTCCAGCTGTCACAGAACTTCAACTCCCATGATGCTTTGATACAACAAAGTGTGATCTACATTCCCCCAACCCCAGAACGAGCTGCGTAAGAGTATTCCCAGAGGAGGGAGTAACAATAGCTTCTTGAGTTTGGCATTCAGACTTTCCAGGCGTATTGGTTACAAAGTGGTTAAATGCTGCTGTCACTATATAAGTATTGAATATTTATATTCTGTCTGCAGTTCACACCTTCTCCCAAGTGACAAGCCATATAGGAGTAAACAATACTGTGTTATAGTCCCAGTGCTAGGTACAGAAGGATCGTTACACTCTATGTGCCTTTCATTGCGGGGTTTAGTTCCCTGTGTTATCCTGTGTTTAAGGAAGAGGGACATAGATGGTCTCTGTTTCTTTTTGTAAAGTGTTGCTGCCATTTCCAACAAGTACTGGCAGAATCCAGCTTGTGATGGTCCGTCTGAGTATTTACAGATTATAGGAAGTAAGGGCTTTCGCCTATACATGGCTATTCACTAGACTGAGAGCTCGGAAAATGGAAAAGGAATAGCAAATTCTGGATCTAACGTGCCTGTTTGCCCACAATTTGCAATTCCTTGTCAGTTCTCAGTTTATCGAATAAAAAGAACTTGCTTAAAGTTATTAAGGTATTTGCTTAAAGCGGCACGGTCATGCCGAACTTACCTTTTTCCTGTTGTTTCCTCTTCTCCCCCTCTCTCAGGATCTGTTCTTCATTTCTTCCTGTCTTATCTAGTTTTCTTTAAAACATAAGAGAAAGTTGGGACTACTTTGTCTTGTGTATTTTTCCTACGCTTGACCAAAGAAGGAGCTTTAAACAGCTCCATTTCCTGTGGTCAAAGAGAGTTTCCCACAATACTCACCCTCACCAATATCTGAATAAAGGTTTAATTAGTGCTAACCTGTTTATTTTTATACTGGAAAGACTGCGCATTGCAATTCACACCATTTAAGCAGATAATAATCAGTAATATGATGCATGGTTTCCAATGAACATATTGTCACTCCGCACGGTATCTCGTTAATAACCCAGGTCACCATGGATTCCGACGAAACGGTGAATGAAAACTTACGGCTTCAGTTCAAGGCTCTACAGGAACAACAGCAGAAACGCCTGCAGAGACTGATGGAGAGAAAGAGAGAGAAAGAATTACGGCAAAGTCAGAAAGACGAAAATCAGAAATCCACTTTTGGGATAGAAGATGATCTAAATCTCATAAAAAAAGGAGACTGTTCTTTTTCTGACATAAGCAAAAGGTATGTGAGCCTTTGAATAAGTCCTCCTTGAAAAGTGTGGGATATAGATTTAAAGGGATACCGACTGCCACCTGCAAAGGACAGGGAGCTAAGATTGAGGCGCCCAGTCCTAGGTTAAAGAGATGTGGTTTGCTACATGTAACTTATTTTTTAAACCTCAAAAAATACCTATTCATTTAATGTAGAGATAAGTAAATAGTATATTAAGTATCCTGCGAAGTGACAGTTTTCCTTTAAATATATGCATATAATAATAATAATTCCATGGCCTGCTGACGCCATCTAGTGCCAGATAACTAAATAGCAAAATAAACGTTCAGGGTTGTGGCATTGCTAAAGTGCAGTCTCCCGAAATATGCCATGGAGGGTATAGTGACACAGTCAGAAGGTAAGTGTAGAATAACATTTTTGAATTCACTTTGAGTTTACAACAGTTTGCACTTTAGTGGACCTGTGAGTTTATTCATTAAACTGTGGAATTCTGGGATACAAAGTGAATGTCACACGTTAGCCCAGAAAAGCTCAATGAGAACCAGATGCTTTTAGTTCATCTATTTTGGCCTAGACTGTGAAATTCACTTTGGAGTAATATATTTTCACAGTTTCATAAGCAAATCAGCTTCACTAGAGTGCAAACTGTTCTGAGTTCAATGTACTTTAGTGAAGAACTCTGTGAGAGTGTGTTAAACACCATCAAACCAACAGACACTTTTAATTCCAATTTCACTTAACTTATTTATTATGATTTTATTACAGTGTACTTTTATAGAACTGTTTCCTAAAATTCTGTTTCGAATAAAATTAAATTAAAAAGTTTCATCTCATTTCCCCCCAAGTTACACTACAACAAAATAAGTTACTGTGATACAGGATGTATTTATGCTAAACGTTGACATTTGTATTAATCCCTTAAGGACACATGATGGCCTTTTACTTCTGAAGCTGTGTCCTTAAGGGGTTAACACCTTTTTAAGCATACAGTATCTCACAAAATTTAGTACACCCCTCACATTTTTGTAAATATTTTATTATATCTTTTCATGTGACAACACTGAAGAAACGACACTCTGCTACAATGTAATGTAGTACGTGTACAGCCTGTATAACAGTGTGAATTTACTGTCCCCTCAAAATAACTCAACACACAGCCATTAATGTCTAAACCGTTGGCAACAAAAGTGAGTACACCCCTAAGTGGAAATGTCCAAATTGGGCCCAAAGTGTCAATATTTTGTGTGGCCACCATTATTTTCCAGCACTACCTTAACCCTCATGGGCATGGAGTTCACCAGAGCTTCACAGGTTGCCACTGGAGTCCTCTTCCACGCCTCAATAACGACATCCTGGAGCTGGCGGATGTTAGAGACCTTGCGCTCCCCCACCTTCCGTTTGAGGATGCCCCACAGATGCTCAATAGGGTTTAGGTCTGGAGACATGCTTGGCCAGTCCATCACCTTTACCTTCAGCTTCTTTAGCAAGGCAGTGGTTGTCTTGGAGGTGTGTTTGGGGTCGTTATCATGTTGGAATATTGCCCTGCGGCCCAGTGTCCGAAGGGAGGGGGATCATGCTCTGCATCAGTATGTTTGCAGGCTTTTTTGTGCAACATCTTTAGAAGAGGCTTCCTTCTGGAATGACAGCCATGCAGACCAATTTGATGCAGTGTGCGCGGCGTATGGTCTGAGCACTGACAGGTTGACCCCCCTTCAACCTCTGCAGCAATGCTGGCAGCACTCATATGTCTATTACCCAAAAAAGACCTCTGGATATGAAGCGGAGTACGTGCACTCAACTTCTTTGGTCGACCATGGCGAGGCCTGTTCTGAGTGGACCTGTCCTGTGAAACCGCTGTATGGTCCTGCACACCTTGCTGCAGCTCAGTTTCAGGCAATCTTCTTATAGCGTAGGCCATCTTTATGTAGAACAACAATTTCTTTTTTTCAGATCCTCAGAGAGTTCTTTGCCATGAGGTGCCATGTTGAACTTGCAGTGAACAGTATGAGAGACTGTGAGAGCGATAACACCAAATTTAACACAGCTGCTCCCTATTCACACCTGGGACCTTGTAACGCTAACGAGTCACATGACACCAGGGAGGGAAAATGGATAATGGGCCAATATGGAGCTTTTCACTTAGGGGTGTACTCACTTTTGTTGCCAATAGTTTAGACATTAATGGCCGTGTGTTGAGTTATTTTGAGGGGACAGTAAATTTACCCTGTTATACAGGCTGTACACTTACTACTTTACATTGTAGCAGTGTCATTTCTACAGTGTTGTCACATGAAAAGAAATGAGAAAATATTTACAAAAATGTGAGGGGTGTACTGTAGAGATACTTTGTGGTGTTTATCAGAAGATACATTACATTTCTGAAAATTGCAGAAACATCTGAATGCCATTGGGGATATTCCCTAAACTGGAAATTACAGAGACCTTAAGACCAAAATAGAGTTGGATAAGTTTTTTCTTTTTTCTTTTTATGGGCTTTTGTTCTAAAACAACAATTCTGCTGTCAAATCTTCAAAATTTCTAGTTTATTTCATAAGTCCACCAGTGTTTGTAACTCTAATTCAGAACCCATAACAATCTAGATTACTAGTTACTGATTGGTTATTTGTTGTCAGGAATCTAAATGATGTACATGACTGGGAAATTAACTTGGAGGAAAATTTCTTAAATGTGAATGCAATAAGTACTAAACTAAAATCTAAAAAATACCTTTCATTACACTCGTTCCATTGTTAAAGGGGTGTCTGTTGCACTGGGAAACCAGTGATGCTACTGTAAATGGTGAAGAGTTGAGGCCTGAATATGACGTGCTTGTTCCACCCAGTGCGGACACACATATTTATCATTGTCACACAGTTTTGGGTCGACTTCATGCTCAACTTCTTCTAAAACTGTGTTTATCCTGTGGATGTAGGCTCTGTGTCTCTATGTTCCTTTAAATCTATGATGTTATCATTGGTAACCTGATGGGAGATGTTTTTCTAAACGTAGGCTTCTGGAAGATGAGAATGAGCAGCTTCAGAGCCAGTTACGTGAAACCAAAGATGAAAATGGCAGATTGCACAAACTGCTAAAGGAGAAAGAATTTGAGATCAAACATCTCAGGAAAAAAATGGAAGAAAACAAACTAGCGCTTGCAGGTGGGTCTGATGTGGTCTAACCAATCTTTCTCAACCATTTGCGTATCTCTGTGGTCTCGATTGTCTTTTGCAGCTCTGTTTGTTTCCCTTAAGCAATGCTCTATCCTTCAGCCCTCTTCTTTCTCTTACCCATCACCTCTTCCCCCGTCTCACTGTCATCTGAATCTTTCACCATCCTCCAGGGGGCTATGTATTGATGAGCTCAAAAGGTTATAAGTGGTGTTAAGAATTGTGTTAATGTCTGTTAACATGTTAGAGCCTCACATGTATGACCTGTCAAGGTTCTACATATTGTGGACATCCGCATGGAGGGTTTACTGTTGCTGAACAGGAAGAATAACTCATGGATTTGTTTCAGAGATATAACTGTTGGCCATATCGGGATTGACCTAGTTAAATGCCCATGGGGCCTGAAAAGAAACAGTTGCTGGGATAAAGATGAGGAGACTGCCAACTGCGAATGGGGTGGCTCCATGCCAATGAAGTATCTTGCTTTCTGTGCTTTGTTCCTTGTATAGATTGCTTCAATAATGCCATTGCATGAATGGTTTTAATTTCAGGGACCGCAGGTATGGCTGGGGACGTCGCAGCAACTAAAATTGTTGAACTGTCAAAGAAAAATCGTGAACTTACAGCAGAAATGGAGAGTGAAAAAACAAAAGTAAAACAGTTGAACAACAAACTTAAAGAAACCGAGAAAGAGGCAAGTCAGACTAAAGAGAGAAAATGATCATGGATTACTGCATGGGGTAATTATAGTAAACAAACAGGCACAGAACGGTTCGAACGGGCAGCACAGGGCAGAATATGGATAGGGTCAGGGTGGGTAAAGCTGGCTGCACATGGGCCGGGGTAAGTGACATTACAAGCCTGTATATATTTTAAAAAAATACATTTTTTGAGCGCTTGAGATTAAAATTTACCAATGTACAGTGAGTCCAAAAAATGCTACGCACTAAACATTAAACCTGTGATGCACACTTCAGTGTTATACCTCAAAACACACCAACCACCAAAATAAAACTGGAAATGAGGTGGAGCAATATTTGGGTGAATAGTCCCACACCAAGCACTACAAATAAATCATGTAAAATACTTACATAGCCAGTAGATGGCGTCAGACAGTCATAAACTCATATAATGTCATGAAAAAGAAAAAATGTATATAGAATATAAAATGCACACTATAACAATCTCAAAAAAACTTAGCTTTATTATATACAAAAAAGTACCAGAGTGAAAACACATAAGAAAAAATAAACAAAGTGACAGAAGCAAGGGCAAATACAATAAAACAATAATAAATTACCACAAAAATTCTTACAAGCCTCAAGACAGAAACACGAGTCACCAAACTACCCAACGTTTCGGCACCAAGGGTACCTTAATAAAGGCAGCCAGTTGGTGCCGAAACGTTGGGGGTTTGATGACTCGTGTTTCTGTCTTGAGGCTAGTAAGAATTTTTGTGGTAATTTATTATTGTTTTATTGTATTTGCCCTTGCTTCTGTCACTTTGTTTATTTTTTCTTATGTGTTTTCACTCTGGTACTTTTTTGTACATAATAAAGCTAAGTTTTTTTGAGATTGTTATAGTGTGCATTCTATATTCTATATACATTTGAATATTTAAAGCACTTGAGGGAGTGTTTATATGATTTGCACCTGGCTGTTCTTATACTATTTTGTCTCTCCATGTGCTGTTGTTTTGAGAATGAAAAAGAAAAAAAACACAGATAATAGTACAGATCTCCTTTAAAATAATTATAACATAAAATCTAAATGATAAAATAATTTATATAGATGGGTATGAGAAAAGTTACTATAGAAAACAATAAACTGTATTAGCACAAATGAAAACAAATTTATTAAAAATGAAGTGGTAAAGAATTCTATCTACCAGATCGGCATTTAAGATCATATTGTGAGTAAATGCGGATCAAACCGCTACTCACTAACCGGCTCAGTCAGTATTGAAGCAATTACCTGATTGTTCATTATTGGATCTGAATACAATTTTATATATGTTGATCTATCGTCATCGGGAGAGACTATCGATAGGCCCGAGACACCGCATCTATCAGCCCCAGAACTAACACTCAATACTGGCTGATCCTATTAGTGAGTAGCGGTTTGATCCGCATTTACTCATAATATGATCTTGCAAGCGGCAGTGGGAATTCTATACTACTTCATTACAGCTAATAAAGTTTGTTTACTATCGTAACACTTCTCATACATATATATATATATATATATTATTTATAGATAGATAGAGAGAGATTATTTTATCATTTATATTCTATTTTATAATTATTTTAACGGAGATCGGCACTATTATTTGTGTGGTTTTTTTTTTTTTTTGGTTTTTTTTTCACGACATTATGTGATGTGATGATCATCTGACGTCATCTACTGGCTATATAAGTTTTCTACATTATTTATTTGTAATGTTTGGTGTGGGACTCCTCACCTAAATATTGCTCCACTTCTTTTATAGTTTCATTAAGGCTGTATGTCTGGTGAGCAATCATGGAACACATTAGAAGCGAATCTTATAGTTCTGCCAGGTAGGTAATGGGTCATTTAAATCCAGCTGATTACTTTATCTGGATAAATTATTAGTTGGTACAAAATAAAAAGCTGCATTTTTTTTTAGCTGCAGCTCATTTTTGAGTCAGTTAAAACCATTAATTTAAGTTAAAATGATTTAACTATTGAGGATAAGGTGCCTAAATGGGAAATATACTACAATGTTCTCTTGCTACCTGTGCCCAAGTTGCCCACATCTACCCCTCTTTGTCTAAACCCTGCTTTCATGAATGGGATGAATTGGCTTTGGATGCGGACGTGTCCATTGATTAGACCTGTTCGGGATAATGTTTTTCCCAGCACTGTGACACGTGTAGACCCATTCCCTAGATGCTGAACCCCTAAGTTGCCCATCTGTTACATCTTAGTTTGACACATAGTATTTGCCAAGCTACCCAGCAGTAGACACTGCCTCCTCCATCCAACCTGCAGATTTAGTTCCTGTGGAGACCTGTAGACACTCACCATCTGCTTAATAAACAGGGTTTCCATGGCTGGGAATAAATGTATATTTTTCATTTCTCCATCCTCTGGTGTTGGGTTTTTCTAAGTGTATTTGCTTGTTCTTTGCACGCCCTCAGGGGATGCATATTTCAGAGTGATGCTAGTTTATTCAGAAACCTTTCATAGTAAAACTTGGCAAACCCGCGTGCGTTTAATTTCCAGTAAGAAAGGTACATTCTTCCACTGCCTAATAAAGACAAGTCAATTCTAAATGAAGCCTATTGTGTTTATTGTCTTTCCTTCTGACTTCTTCTTGCAGCAGAGCATGCGCCCGCCGTCACGATAATTCCATATTTGTCACAAAATATCGACTTTGCTGCCCATTGATGCCTCAGCCTTGGTTCCATATAACTTTATTTGACCCTGAATATAATTCAGTTATAGTTTTCAAGAGATAAAAAAAAATAACATAATCGAAAATATTCTACAGTATTCACAGTCTAAGACAAAAAGGACTTTACCTGTATTAGGAGATAAAAAGAAAGGGAATATTGTATGTTTTCCTTTAGGGATGTTGAGTTGCTATGTTAACAACTAATATCATTTTTATGTAAACATTCAAATGAGCTATGGTATGCATGCTTGTAGTTTTACTGACCATTATTTAATATTGGGTTTTTATCTTGTAATTACTTTTTTTTTCTGCAGCTTCAGAACATGACAGGGAGACTACAGCATAGTCCGGGAAAGGATTCTGGAAATGGACAGCCAGTGCTCAGGACTGTGGAACAAAATAAAGTAACTTCAACCACATTTATACAAATCTAGCCTCTCCACCCTGAATCACAGCTCTCTCTATCTCTCTGTATAGAAACCCCTTTTATGTGTTAAGACAAGATAGGAACAATAAACATATTTATTGCTTTATATTCGATTAACACCCCATGTTAAAGGGATACTCACACTGCTTCCATAAAAAGGTTTCTTTTCAATCAGATCTTAACTTACTTTTGACGTTTTTTATCTCATGCTCTGTTCATTGAAATTAATCACACACAGGTAGATCCTACAGGCTCTAGCAGGCTATTAACAAAGCAGGAAATAAGAAATTCTGAATGAAACTGACTTTCAGAACTTTGCCTTGGAATCGTCCTATTTGTACCTTGATAAATAAATATTTAGCTTCCATATTGAGTTGTCCCACAGATGCTAACATTTTAGTTAACAAATAAAGCCTCCTTAATGGCTTAAATCATGTACTAGTGCAATGCCAGGCTGTGAATTGCTTCCCAGGTCAAACTAGTGCTGCAATTGGCCAACCTTGTGCTACACAAAACAAATACTATAGCACATCATTATTAAAATCATTCTGTTTTAGGGTTTTCTGAGTAATGTTAATGAATGGTTTATCTAACACAGTGATCTATGTATTGCAATTCTTCTCTCTTCTCATTCTTTATTTCTGGTAACACATGCGTCAACTAATCTGGATTTTTCTATCTCATCAGAATTTACTGTTTTGATATTTTCAGATAGAGAATTCAGAGATTAAAGTTTTGCAAGAAAAATTATCCGCAGCCAATATGAAACTGACCGAATATCGCAACCAAATCCAGTCCTTGAAGCAGGAGCTGAAGATGGTCCACAAGGTCAGAGAATCTTTTATTGGGCTGTAATATGTATTCTTTTTGTTATGATTTCTACTTACAGTATTACAGTTTTGTTATATTTGGATAGACAATTTGTAAAAAAGATTTTATTTCTATATGTGCGTGCAGTGGCTGTCGTTCATAATGATTGTGTACTGGAATATATAGAGAGAGAGAGAGAGAGAGAACGCACCACTATTGATTTATTGCCTTTGTACTAAGTGTAGGCTGCGCTTTTTGTGTTTTTATTTTTATTAATCTGGTCATGAATCCATGTACATAACATTTCCTTTGCATTCAGGTCCTAGTAAATGAAATAGGTGACGATGTGAACATACCCCAGCTGATGGCATCGACAGGGACCTGGAGGGGGCGCTCACAGCAGATTCTGGCGTTACAGGGCAGGGTGAGTAAATTGCAATACAGTTAATATTATTTATTAAACACCAACATGTTCTGCAGCGCTGTACAACGTGTGGACAAACAGTCAGGTAACTTGTTGGATATATAGAAACAAGAGACACTGCCCTTCTTCATCACACTAACTGCCTAAATTACTCAGGCTAGCCTACCAGTGAGGGTGTTTATTTATAGGAAGAAGACAAACATGTTCCTATATTCACACATACTTCAATATGATAGAGCAACAATCTGTTACATTTAGCTTCTACTCTGCCAACCCAATCTCTCACAGGCAGGTTCTATAGCCCCCAGGCATGAAGAGAGAGACACCTCTGGATGTCAGAACCATGGCTAGTGATCAGGTTACCCAGCTATGTCCTATAGTTATTAGCCAGACTGCCAAATTCTTATTTATAAATGCATCTGTCTTTATCACAGTTCAGTAGATGTTAAAGAGATACACCAAGCACAATAACCACCTTCCTGCAGGGTAAAATGACATCCCTCGTCCACTTAACTCACCAGGGAAGTACAGAGCTGTGCAGACACATTAAAACATTCCACAGTTTTACTGTAAACATCTTTGACACTGTTCATGTATGGGCTTCTGGTCTATTTTATGGAAAAATAAACGGCACATCTTTGAAAGCTATCAGGATTGGCTGACTTGCTGGCCTATAAAAAGCAAGCGTTGCTGACGTATCTTTTTTTATTTTTCTCTTTTTGTATTGGGATTCTTTATCTCTGTGAGCAGTTCATTGGCAGTGTCGGAAATTTAAGAATTGGCCATATTAGCATGTAATATACATGCACGGTTCCATTAATTCTAGAGGTGTTCCGGGTACCTTAGGTTGAACATGTAGCATTCTGTTTTTTACATTTTGTCCATTGCGTGTTTTTTTAATGTTTTTATTTGCCAAAAACAATATTTCCTGATTGAAAAGGGCATCACTTGTGAACAATCAGAGTCTGTCAACATGCTGTGAATGGGAAAAATGCAATATTTTGAATTATTTATTTTTTAATTTTCTCTCTGTGATCTATAACGTTGTGTTCCTTTATTGTTCTGACATTGATTCTTGATGTCCGGCATTGAATAACTACAGGTCCGCGAGCTGGAAAATCAGCTTGGCCAAGGAAGAAGTCCAGGGTCTGGGTTGAGTTTGGAAGAAGAAATGCTGGGAATCTCTTCCTCAAAGAAATACGGTGCTCAAGAAAAGAACTTGTATCGTTTACGTGTTGTGGAAAAAGACAAGAAGGAGACGCTGGAGGTAACATACAACCAATGAGACATTCAGAATGATAATGGTAGAAGACATGGGCAGGGACATATATGTGAGGGTCATGTAGATAAAGCTGCTCTGTCAACTTCTGCGTGACAAAGACCCCCCAATAGTAACTTCACTGCTTGCAGTGCAGTGGCAGGGGAAGGTATGTTTTACTTACCATCTGCATCCGAGAATGCCCTTCATCTGCCATGAGCCAAAGTGAGTGCTGTACTCTCGCGAATGCATGAGAATGCACCAATGAGGAAGTGAAGGATTCAGTGAGGCCGCGGGTGCCTCCATAGAAAATGCCTTTTTCCTCGCAGTCATTACTAGTAACAACTGGGGCAAGTGATAAAACCTGATGGCAGCAGGTCCGCCTATTGTGAAGCATAGGAAAATACATTAAACAAAGTGTTCCCAACACAGTCAATGTGAAACGTGCACTGTATACTGGTAAATGTACACATAATCAAATGTTATTGTTATTTATAAAGCGTTTACATATTCTGTAGTGCTGTACAATAGGTAAGTAAATATACAGGACAAGAGCAAGTTTTACATCCAGGAAGAAGCAGTGCCCGTCAGAAAGTATCTAGATAAATGTGAAGAGGGACAAGCTAGCGGCTCCACGCTTTACTAATTAAGGGATATTTATATTGTCTGAAAATAAACAAGCAGCACCCAGTTAATGTTAATGGTGACCCATGCAGAATATCAACAGACAGAAAGCAATAAACAAATAAACAATCCTTATCCAAGTATGGTGGGCTCAGTGCTTTCCCTTTATTGTGCCATCAAACAAGATTTCAAAAGCGTCTCCCTTCTCAAATTGTTTCTGTAAGTTTTGGAATGCAATTCAGCTGATTTTTGTAGATTTTGTGGGGCTGTTATTTTCCCTGGTGTTGGTGTTGTCGAGCCGTTATGGTCCCTTGTGTTGATGTTGTGTTGGTGTTGTAGGGCTATGTTGATGTTGTTATAGTCCCTTGAGTGGATGTTGTGTTGATGTTGTGTTGGTGTTGTAGGGCTATGTTGATGTTGTTATAGTCCCTTGAGTGGATGTTGTGTTAATGTTGTGTTGTTGAGCCCTTCTGTCGATGCTGTGTTTATATTGTGCTGATGTTTTCTTCCTACCCTCCTCACCCCTCCCCATTACAGAAAGTCACAGGGGAACATGAAACCCTGAAGAAGGATCACGAGGAGCTGAAAAAGAAGCTGGATGCCTCAAAGGCCAGAAATAAAGTGCTTTCTAATGATGTGAGATCACTGAAGATGCAAATGGCGACACTAGTAGAGAAAGGAAAACATGACGATGAACTTGTAGACGCATTGCTGGTACCTATTATTGTTTATCTCATTGTCAGAATCTGTGACTATTACGCCATTGTTATAGCCCTTCCCTGCAATGTTATGCTGTTAAATAAATCAGAGCTGTGGAATTTGTTGGCGCTTTATAACTAACAGTAATAAATCAATAAATAAAAAATAGAAAGCATGTGTCTTTAGCACTTTAATCACGATTGGTCAGACATTTGCTGTTTAGCTGACTTGTTCAGCAAACATAGCCCACAAAGCTGGATGGGTAAGAATGAGCCATCACTGGTTGTTCTCGAGAATGTTGAGTCTGGGATTCAGTCTCTGGCTAATTAACAAAGGGAACAGAAGTGAGTTCCACTATTCTAGAGGGCAGTGAGACTTGTTGTCACATTCTGACACACTTACTTGGCACCTGCGTGAATTTCAGAGGGAAAAGGTACGAGTGATCTATCCCACAAAGGGCATAGATTTTTACTCCCCAACGCCCCAAAAGATAATATTGGAGAGCAATTATCATCTAATCGCCCAGCCATTACAGCTAATTTTAAAGCTTTTTATAATGGTTATTATAGTAGGACTCTATCGATGCAGTCTCTCCATTTTTTGGAAAACTTATTTCAAGCAGTTTGCCAAAAAACTGAGAATGGTTTACTACCCAAACACCCATGGACTTAGCTCAGGGATCCCATGTAAGTTGGATTGAGAGGGTAAGATTAGGGTGACAAGAATTCTCAGGACTTGTCAAACCACTTATAAACAGTTTGCTTCATAATTGCTGCAATAATCTGTGATGATGATGATATTTGGAGTGTCTCTTTAATTAAATATGCTTTTCCTGAGTACTGTTTTAACTTTGTGGATCTTTTTAGCTAGAAAACCTGTTTTTTATTTCGACTTAATCTGCAGTAGTTTTTTGTGCATGACCATTTATAGCTTTTGAAATCCATGTACCACTTTCTAGTCTTTACATACGTTCAATAAAAACTGCCAATTCAATTTCCACTGCTACAGAGCCAGCAGAAGAGCATGCAGGAGGTCCTAAACCGTCTCAGCCAACAGGACCAAAAAGATAAGCAATCCACCGAAATGCTGGCGTCACAGTTAAACAGTGAGACTCAGAAACAGAATTCCCTGGTTGCTCAACTGAAGGCAATGGTGGCCGAACGAGAGGCCAAAGTCAAACAGCTCGAGGATGAGGTCAAACAGCTGACACTAACAGTAAGAATGGCGAGTTCTGGGAGAACGAGTAAGGCCATTGGTCAGGAAAAGTCTGAACTGTGAAATTTCTGGAATTTACCAGGGAATTGCAAATTGTAGGACAATATGGACAAACTAGAAAATTCCTCGTAATTTCCACATTAGTGAATTACCGTTATGCATTTATTGTTGAATTGTATTAAACAATGGCACTTCCTTTTATATATATGACTTAAAGAACTACTGTCATCAACTTTTCTTTTCTCGGTTTTTAAACGTTTATTACATTTTATTAAACGTAATGATATTTTTTAATGACAGTTGTCCATTAACATCATATTTACTTACTACCATTTCTACAGATGCATCTAGACAAACCACACAGCGGGAGAAGTTCTGATGGTCAGAAAGCAGGAGATGTGACATCAGCAAGATCATCAGCTTCTGCCAGATCACTGTCGGATTTTCGTGCAAGGCATGGCTCGGGCAGGTGAGAATGCATTCCTCCATTTTACAGGTCTGTACGAATGCAAAGCATCATGGGAAATGTAGATCTACAAACAGCAGAGGGTGTCTATTGCTGGTGTAGATATATCATGAACTGCGATTTGGTTCAGAAGATTTGGACATTCATTTGATAGATAATAACGTGCAAAATAGAGCAGTAATAGCTGACCTGTGGCACTCCAGCTAAACAGGTCATCTGAAATATATTAAGTAGCAGCTGATGTACTTGAGATTATACATATACAGTCCATATACAAAATAAATACAGTTAAAAAAATCACTATTTTGTAGATATACTTCCAATGAAAACATGCATGCATTTAATTATATATTTTTTAATTCGGGTATATCTAAAAACAACTTTTAAAAACTGCAGGTTTCTTTTCTGCAGCCTTTTCAAGCCCTCCCCTTTTTTCCCCGCCCAGATTTCCTGTGACTGTCCAATCACAGACTTCCCCATGCGGCTCGATGAGAAGTCTTTGCAAGGCAGGTGCTCTGGACAATTACTGCCTCTTGTGTTTAGCTCAAGCAAATGAGCCTTTTAAATACCCCGCATTCCACTGTGCGTGAAAGTTGGAATTGTTATCTGACCCCCTGCTGATGAAAACCCCACGTGTGCCATTAGAAAAATCTATAAATGTTGTGTTCAGTTTCAATAAAACGCTAAATACATCAGCACAAAATATAGAGCAAGTCTTAAAATACTATATAATTATGCAAATACATTTTTTGATGAGCGAGATGTTTTATCTCTAAGATTGCCCGTTAACACTCTGTCATGTCTTTTTTTTACATAAAAGGAGATAGCATTGTAACATTTTCTTTTAATTCCACGCTGTTTATCATTGTTCACATGCAGATTAAACAACTAGCCTTGACTTTATGTGGGTTATATTCCAGATTCTCTGCAGCCGTACACTTTTAGAATTTACTATTAATAGATTTTAATAAAACGTTTTGTAGTTATTAACTAATCTCATTTTCCTTTTCTAAGTAGGGCTATTTCCAATCTGGGCCATGAACTCGTTGACAGCGCAGTCACCAAGCCAGATATTGCTGTTTCCACACGGAGGTACATTAAGGGCACTACATGGGTAGCTGTGAATGACAAGTATTGTGGCATTTGTTCTGTAGGTGCTTAACATGATGCACTTACATTTTAAAGTAGAAGTTAAATGTCTACACTAACTGCTCCAGGACCGGTGACATTTAAATCCACTTACTGGAATTTCCACTTATAATTACGTATAATTTCCGTGTAAGAGCAAATCAGAAAATGTCATTTATCAGTACACAGCGAATACTGTCTGAGTCTGCCTCACTCCCACAAAAATACTACCACAAGCCGTGGCTGAGAGTGGTGGGAACGGTGCAGAAAAGGCTAATGTGAAATACCGTGTAATTTCCTAATATACAAAAAATTGCTTTTTATGGGTTGTCAGATTTTCTAAAATGAAATATTTGCCTTTATGGGGAGTGAGATTTGAATTGTTGGGCTGAAAACTGTAACGGAACCCCCAAGCATAAAAGGGGTTAACAGCCGTTTAGGAGATATTCCCCTTCCAGATATACAGGCAGCTACTGTAGACACCAATCCACCGAACCGGAGAAGCATACGAATGCTGTCAAACATGTGAATGCTGTAAACAGCCGAATAGGAAAAACCATACGAACCGTTTACACTCCTGGAAATCGGTCTGAAACAGCATACAATCCAATTCCCCCCCAAGAACGAGACGACATTTCGTTTTGACTGTCAAGCAGAATCAGCCAGAGCTGTGGGTTTATTGTTCTTATATACACATTCTTACACATTAGTACCACCCACAGGGTTTTGGAAAACAACCAATAAACACGTACAATACACTCAGACACTCCCACACAAAATCCTGCCCTCTGCCTGTAACACCTTACACAATGGGTTAATGTAATTATCACAGGCAGGAAAATACAGTTTTAACTTTAAAAGTATGCATCACATTCACTTATATTTTCAGAATCAGCATACTCCAAATACATACGTCAAAATCATACAAATTGGTCCAGTGGGTCCAAAGTTAGATCGAAGTCCTTTGTGACCAAATGAAGCATGGCTTTTCTGCCCAAAACCGGTTCCACAGAGTCTTCTATCTTGGAAATAATTGGGAAGTAATCCAATTATCTCCAAGAACAGAGGCAAAACTCCATTAGCCACATGGTAGCAAAAGACAATAAAATACATAAATATATATAACTGTGCAGCTATTGCATAAAACAGGTACATTCACATTATTACTGAATAGCGCTCAGATCACATACATACAGTTCAATTGCCATGGAGCCAAAGTCTTTCACATAGTCTTTCGTTATACGAATGGGCTCCATGGCATAGCTATCTGGGGTATCACTGTTCAAAAAGGGAAAGTACCGAATGACCCGGCTTTCGGGTCTTTGCAGGGGAAAATCAAGCGTTTCAACATGGGGCCATAGTCCAGAGGGAGCAGGCGAGCAACCAGGCTCCTCCAACGCCCACTGGCGGGGTTGGTACCGTCGCACAAACAATAACTGAAAATTAGACATGGGTCCAACATCAAAATGGCAAATTCAGAATACAGGCATAATCCTTGTTGCTGTGTTAACGTAACCAATTGTGTCTTATTTATTAGGGTGTGTGTGCATGTATGTATTTACTGTAGTAGCACACAACCACAACTACACTGTAATGTGATCTGTGTGTAACAATACTGACAACACATTACAATAAATATTGTGTAATTTTTGAAAATATATTGTTTTGAGTAGTGATATTGGGTTCAGTGACTGTCTTAAATTTTCAAGTCTGACATACTAAGGGGGAGATGTATCAATGTAAAATCAGATGCTTGGGCATTATTTAAATAATAATCGCCATGGAAACCAACAGAATGTCTCTTAAAATTTAGCACTCTGAACCCAAAATAGCTCCTGTTTGCTTAGATAACCCCCTCCCCTAAATGTGCGATTTGTTGCTTGTAAATGACAAAAAAGCCCATACGAAAATCATAGACTCCTGATACAGCCTTAAACAACAACTATTCTTCTTCAGCTGCTGTTTTTCTCTATATAATATTATAGGGACAATGTAAACCTTATTTTCTGTTAATTTCCTATGTTCCTTTTGTATTCATTTCTTCCTGTCTCTGCCTCTCCCTCTCTGTGAATTTTGGTGAAATGACACCATAACTGAAAAGATCTGTTCTGTCCTACATTTTCAATCCTACATGTCAGTTCAGCACAATTCATCTGTTAGTGAATAGACCCAAGTATCTCCATTCATGATATGGTACAGAACACAACCACTTTTGCTGGTTTTATTTTGGTTTTTTTAGTTGGCCAAACTTTCCATAAGTCATATTGCTACCATACAAAGCCAAATTCTTTTATATTGATTTACTGTTTTTGTTCTTATCTCCAGCAGTTCAGAGTTTCACGCACTGCAGACGCAGGTTACGCAGTTTAGGGCACTCTGTCAAGCAGCCGAAGTGGAGAGAGACAGGTTAATGGAGCTGGTTTCTGTCCTGCAGAGAAGGTACAGTCGTGGGCAGGCCACACTAAAAATACTGAGAGTACAACTCAAAATGCATGGCGTGGCAGTATTAACTGTAAACTGCCAGGCCAGGCCGCCATTTGGTAAAAGGATCCTGTTATACACAAATCATGTACATGGCAGGTTCTCATATATATTCAGTCTATACATTGTGCTTGGTGTGTCCTAAGGTTGCAGCAGACCAAAATATTACATTTTATACAGATTACCATTAACAATGTTATTCTTAAAATCCATCATTTACTCTTAAAACCCAACCTTTTTAGGTTAATAAATATAAAATCTTCTAACATAAACTACGTTTGAAAATGTCAGCATTTTAGGATGTTTTCTTTGCAGAACTCCAAATTCTCCCTGTAAGCATTTTATCTTTATACAACAGTTTTTTAGTGCTGAAACGGAAAGAGTTTTCCAAGTAGCTCCTTATCTTGAACATAAAAGCTACTTTGATCTCTTACTTAATGGTAATAGGGCACAAGTTATACATTTTCTATCGAGTCTGATGATACTAAAGGAAGTGGGCAGTGGGCCAGTTGTCACACTGTTCAGTCTACGTTACTATTATTGTGTATGATTATGATCCAGTCAGTATGAAAGATGCTAAATAAAGCTATTGATAGTTGGTATATTCTACTCCTATAAGCTGACTCAACATATTGTTATCTTAGGGTCGAAGAGAGCACCCAGAAAGCTCTGCAAGCTGAGAAGAAGCTTCAGGAAGAGAGGCGGCAATCTGTCCTTCTGGAACAACAGCTTGAGAAAATGAGAATTGACACATCAAAAAATACTCCCACCCGAGGAAAGATGGGTATGGTTATAGGGGACATTGAAATGTTGTGAAACCTGAATCCATTGTGTTATACCTGTTTGGACTCATGTTAACAGCAGACTTTTCCAACTGGTGTATCTGCAGGTCAGTCTCTCACTAGCTCCAGACACCTGCTGAATTTCACTGAAAGAACAGATCAGTCCTACGCACAGACCTCTGACGTTCCCCTGGAGACTCAAATAGAGGAACTAAATACAAAGTAAGTTCTAACTGTGTTATTCATGTTCAGCATATACATGTGTGGGTTTTGTTTTCCTGTCAGATGAAGTTGTTTTGGTACATTCAGAAAATGGCAGACAGGTGTCACAAAACTATCATTGTTAGTCTGCTTGTATCTGACAGCTACATTGTTTTTAAATAAGTTACTTAATGTATCCCATGCTGCGAAATGCATTGGCACTGTCTATATACATTAATGGTATTATTACAAAAATGCCAGCTGACTAGCAATTACAGAAATATTCTTTATAAAACATACACTGAAGTTAAAAACACTAGTCCAGAGAGGGATCCTGTTGCCTGTGAAACAGAGAGATTTTTTTAAACTAAATGGAATGTCTACTAATTTGATGGAATTGAATATTATTAACCAGGAACTGCATATTTTAGCCCAGATAGACAGACGGGTACATTCTTTGGTTATTTTTCCAGCTTAACTATTTCAGCCTAAATTGTTCAATTCCCACAATAAACCAATATTCCAGGTTTAGTAAATAAAAAAGTAAAACTTTAAAAGTGAACAAAAATATTTGTGCGTCTTAAACGTGTTATTATGTTGTTTGATAATGTGTGATGATGATGTGTCCTGCAGGGTGGCCATACAACTGGATGAAAATGAAGCTTTGAAAACTGCACTAAAGGAAACTCTAAAAACAAAAGGGGAGGATCTTAAACTGTACCATGAAATGATTGGGGAAGTGAAAGAGATCTTCCTGCAGGCTCTGCGCCAACACAAGCAGGATCGAGGATTGTCTAGTGACTAAGCCACAAGAAAGGTCTATCCATCACATTCTAACTGCAAACCAGCACTGAGAGACCCATACAAAGGGGAACGAATATTACAGAAATTCAAACTGCCATAAAACCTGGCTAGATGTGGATTACAAATTGCACCATGGATATGGATATTAAAGCTCAATCATAGGTTGATGGCATTTAAAGACAATTCTGCCAAGCAGTTATGCTGAAACACATTCAATATTTTACAGCCAGCGCAGTGAAGATTACGTTTCCATCTCCTGTCGCTCTGAGCGTCATCAGATAATGAGGTTTATTCACTAAACAGCGACATGCAGTGAACTGATAACCAAGCTGCAAAAATTTCCAAGTTTAGAAGAAAATCCCATTCAGGTATATTGGCCTGAACAATGCAAATTGGTTAATAGACCGCTTGTCACTGTTTATTTAATTAATAATTAATCAAACGCAGTTCATGAAGTTTGGATGATGAATACGTATTGTGAACAAGAAATCTCCTAAATGATCTCCAGAAAGACTTAATACAGAAAACCTTTACTGGACAGGAATGTTAATTACCAGACAGGGAGGCGTTTTACAGAGGGGTTCATTCAGGATTTATCAGATTGTAGTAAATCCCAATCAAAATGACCAACTTTAGGAAAAAATAACTGATATGAAAAAAAATCAGCTCACTCATAGTCACAGGGACTTTTAACATTTAACAGTTTACAATTCGTATTTTAGTTTTTCATTCCAGTGTTTAGTCAGTAAATCCCAGAGACAGCCTCCTCGTCGTCGTCCTCCTCCTCTTCCTCTTCCTCTTTCTCTCTTTCTCTCTTTCTCTCTTTCTCTCCCTCCCCAGCAGGAGCCCCCATCACTTAGTCGTGCAAGATACTTCTGAGTTAATCACTAAAATGGAAATTGTGACAGTATAAGTTCAGCAACTATTGTTGGGCTGTTAAATTACCTGAGTTGGATAGTTTTTCCAATTCAGCAATTTTGCCCATAAATGAGCAAGTCTTGTAAGTTTTCCACAATTTCGAGATTAGTAAATCATTGCCAATAGCAAAGAGCTTACATTAGCCAATTAAAGGGCAGGACAGACTTATAACTAGAGTTCACAGAACCTGGAGATACATGATTGAGCCTTGGAGGGGGAGAGAGTTCATTTTACCACAATTCTTAACAGAAATTCAGGATTCAACCTTTTTAAGAAAGATGTGCTAAGTAATTGGTTAGCTGTATTATCAGACTACATTATACTTTTAGGTGTTTGCTTCTCATTGATGAACATTTAAAGTTAGCACATCTTTACATCTTTGCTTTCGTATCTATTATATTTAGTTGTTTTACTTTCTGGAGATACAACAGGAATTGTCATTTGTATTGTTGGAAGGTACAGGACTCGACGATCTGACTATCAAACTGGTCCTTACTCGTGGTTGTTACACAGACTCTTGAATTGTGCCTGAAGTCTCATTTTTTGTTATTGTCGATTAAATCGTTAAAGCTTACAACACATAGGCCATCTGATTGTCATGGTGTCCCTCAGACTTCTGATTTGTGCATTAAGTTGTTGATGAGTTATTCCGGCTGGTGGTGAAACAATGAACTTACTGGCCCCAGCTGCCAGGGAAGTGAAGGAGGAGCATGGAGTGAAAGGGTTAACCTATCCTTACTTGCCACAGCCTGGGATGGAAGGGTTAACACAGTTATTCGCAGATAATTAAAAATGCAGAGTACCTGCATCGCTGAGCCTGAAGATGAACGTAAGGAGTTAATAGACTCTGCCCCTAGGTGTTTACTTGAATCAGGCTCAAGGGCCTTTCAATGTCATCGCCCTAGAGATGGTGTTAGATGCCTGGGAAAGCCCATTAATCCTACAGGGAGGCTTCTGAGATCAGAGGGAGCACCAGAAGCCCCGTAGAGGTCCCATGCCTAGTGATTGAACTGTACCCCTGGGGAGGGCAACAGACATTATGATAGCCAGGGAACACCACAATGTGAATAATAGCATAAAGAAGAACTGTCCCCACAAAACTATTTTTTAATATAATAATCTTCATCAAGTATTGAAAGGAAATTTTTTTATTTTTTTTTTAAATATATTGAAGCAGGGGAGACCATAGAGACTAACTGTCGGTTATCAACCACTAGGTGCAGGGAGTGAAGCCAGGAAGACCATAGAGACTAACTGTCGGTTATCAAACACTTGGTGCAGGGAGTGAAACCGGGAAGACCATAGAGACTGTCGGTTTTCAAACACTAGGTGCAGGGAGTGAAGCAGGGGAGACCATAGAGACTAACTGTTGGTTATCAACCACTAGGTGCAGGGAGTGAAGCCAGGAAGACCATAGAGACTAACTGTTGGTTATCAAACACTAGGTGCAGGGAGTGAAGCCAGGAAGACCAAAGAGACTAACTGTCGGTTATCAAACACTAGGTGCAGGGAGTGAAGCCGGGAAGACCATAGAGACTAACTGTCGGTTATCAAACACTAGGTGCAGGGAGTGAAGCCGGGAAGACCATAGAGACTAACTGTCGGTTTTCAAACACTAGGTGCAGGGAGTGAAGCCGGGAAGGCCATAGAGACTAACTGTCGGTTTTCAAACACTTGGTGCAGGGAGTGAAGCCGGGAAGGCCATAGAGACTAACTGTCGGTTTTCAACCACTAGGTGCAGGGAGTGAAGCCAGGAAGACCATAGAGACTAACTGTCGGTTATCAAACACTAGGTGCAGGGAGTGAAGTGGGGAGACCATAGAGACTAACTTTCGGTTTTCAAACACTAGGTGCAGGGAGTGAAGCAGGGGAGACTGTCGTTTTTCAAACACTAGGGGCAGGGAGTGAAGCGGGGAGACCATAGAGACTAACTGTCGGTTATCAAACACTAGGGGCAGGGAGTGAAGCAGGGGAGACTGTCGTTTTTCAAACACTAGGGGCAGGGAGTGAAGCGGGGAGACCATAGAGACGAACTGTCGGTTTTCAAACACTAGGTGCAGGGAGTGAAGCAGGGGAGACCATAGAGACTAACTGTCGGTTATCAAACACTAGGTGCAGGGAGTGAAGCCGGGAAGACCATAGAGACTAACTGTCGTTTTTCAAACACTAGGTGCAGGGAGTGAAGCCGGGAAGACCATAGAGACTAACTGTCGTTTTTCAAACACTAGGTGCAGGGAGTGAAGCCAGGAGACCATAGAGACTAACTGTCGGTTTTCAAACACAAGGTGCAGGGAGTGAAGCCAGGAGACCATAGAGACTAACTGTCGGTTTTCAAACACAAGGTGCAGGGAGTGAAGCCAGGAGACCATAGAGACTAACTGTCGGTTTTCAAACACTAGGTGCAGGGAGTGAAGCAGGAGACCATAGAGACTAACTGTCGTTTTTCAAACACTAGGGGCAGGGAGTGAAGCGGGGAGACCATAGAGACGAACTGTCGGTTTTCAAACACTAGGTGCAGGGAGTGAAGCAGGGGAGACCATAGAGACTAACTGTCGGTTATCAAACACTAGGTGCAGGGAGTGAAGCCGGGAAGACCATAGAGACTAACTGTCGTTTTTCAAACACTAGGTGCAGGGAGTGAAGCCGGGAAGACCATAGAGACTAACTGTCGTTTTTCAAACACTAGGTGCAGGGAGTGAAGCCAGGAGACCATAGAGACTAACTGTCGGTTTTCAAACACAAGGTGCAGGGAGTGAAGCCGGGAGACCATAGAGACTAACTGTCGGTTTTCAAACACTAGGTGCAGGGAGTGAAGCAGGGAAGACCATAGAGACTAACTGTCGGTTTTCAAATACTGTCTGGCTCAAGGTGAATAAAGGATCATATAGTAAAGGTAAGGGTTTTTACAGAAACTTAATTTAACAAAAATATTTTCTTTAAAAACTTAATAAAATTAATGTTATATTAAAATCTAGTGTTCAGGTGAGAGTTGTGATTTAAGGTTCCGACCACCCCTGACATGTTCTGTTCACACATTTTAACACAATTAACACAGATTAACAGTGATCAGTGGCCACCCACTCTGTGACAATCAATGAAATTAAGGATTTCTGTTGTTCTAGAAATTATTTTGTTGTGAAGTTAAACACCCCCTTCCAGGAGAAACATTTCCATACTCAAGGAGAGTGGGAACTAGTCATGAATACTAATATAGGCGTGAAACCGATCCTCTCACAGCTCTAAAATAAGGCTTCACTGAGCCAAGGGTGTTTGGTTTCCAATGCATGGGGCCAGGCTATACCTGCACCTGCTGTCAAGGGAATTAGACCACTATTCCTCCAAGTCACGTCCTGAGTCTTCTACATGTCCTGAGCATTCTTCAATTCCTTTACTGTGTTATTCTTATACACATCCCGAGCATTCTTCAATTCCTTTACTGTGTTACATTATTATAAAGATCCTGAGCATTCTTCAATTCCTTTACTGTTAGCCATATACACATCCTGAGCATTCTTCAATTCCTTTACTGTTAGCCTTATACACATCCTGAGCATTCTTCAATTCCTTTACTGTGTTAGCCTTAAACACATCCCGAGCATTCTTTTATTCCTTTACTGCTTTAGCCTTATACACATCTTGAGCATTCTTCAATTTCTTTACTGTGTTAGCCTTATACACATCCTGAGCATTCTTCAATTCCTTTACTGCATTAGCCTTATACACATCCTGAGCATTCTTCAATTCCTTTACTGCATTAGCCTTATACACATCCTGAGCATTCTTTAATTCCTTTACTGTGTTAGCCTTATACACATCCTGAGCATTCTTCAATTCCTTTACTGTGTTACATTATTATACACATCCTGAGCATTCTTCAATTCCTTTACTGTGTTAGCCTTATACACATGCTGAGCATTCGTGGATGTGAATGCTCAGGATGTGTATAAGGCTAACGCAGTAAAGGAATTGAAGAATGCTCAGGATGTGTATAAGGCTAACACAGTAAAGGAATTGTTCAATTCCTTTACTGCGTTAGCCTTATACACATCCTGAGCATTCTTCAATTCCTTTACTGTTAGCCATATACACATCCCGAACATTCTTCAATTCCTTTACTGTGTTAGCCTTATATACATCCCGAGCATTCTTCAATTCCTTTACTATGTTAGCCTTATACACATCCCGAACATTCTTCAATTCCTTTACTGTGTTAGCCTTATACACATCCTGAGCATTCTTCAATTCCTTTACTGTGTTAGCCTTATCCACATCCTGAGAATTAAAAACAAAGAATATGAATGCTGAGAATGGACAAAACCTTAGAGAAACTCAGTAGCTTGCTCTTCGGGGAGTTTTAAAAATGTTTTTGCTCACTTGTGCCATTACAAACAGAACCTGTACAATTTATATATCCGACTGATCCCACCCAAAAAGGCAGTCCAGATCCAGGAGGGTTCAATTAAATTATATGAAGATGGAAACTTCCAAGTTTTAAAGGGCTTTCACAGCTTTTTACGTTTTTGTTTTTATTAAGTACTTGAAGCATACCTGGTCACACTGGTGGTAAGTGACCCAGAGAGTTCCATCTAACTCTTCAGGATGATGGTGGGTCAAAAGCAGCTTGAGTTGGGTGGGCAAGGTTCACAAAGCTGGCACAAACATTTCAAAAAAGTATATGAGAACGTACTAATTAGCAGAAAAAGCGGAATACTGTGTAACATCGGGATATACACGTTTCTTTTTTTGGTGGGAATCGTTCAAAGATTCTCTACAGTTTGAGCAATCTCACTCATTAGAGGTTTGGTTTTAGGACTATCAAATGTAATTTACAGTCTGATGGATGAAATGACTTCTACTGCAAACAATGATGGTCCTGTTTCGAGATGCACCTACTCTGCCACACAGTGACCTACATTACCACAATTCGACTCCACTCTTGTCATACGATAGCACAAGATTCACATTAAACAAGGCTTCCACATTCACAATTATTGTTGATTGTATAGTGCAGAATCCTGCTTCATCTACCTACATCCTCTGCTGCCAAGAACCTTACAAGAGAAAAACTAAGAGATATCTGGACTCGACAGGGAAAAGCGAGATGGTCTTTATTCAACCAGTAAAACAAAGGGTGATACAGAACTTAGAACAAAAATAGTAACAATGTACTTAATATAAGAAGGGAAACAAAAAAATAATATTTTTTACAATAAATATTATGCCATTGTCCATTGCATTATTTGTATGTATATTTTATTTATATAGCGCTAACAGGTGTACTCAGCACTTTACAGGTTACATTACAGTAGAGGGAGGTACAGTCAGTGCAGTAGGTATACAGTGTATTTATATTTTATTTATATAGCGCTAACAGGTGTACTCAGCACTTTACAGGTTACATTACAGTAGAGGGAGGTACAGTAAGTACAGTAGGTATACAGTGTATGTATATTTTATATAGCGCTAACAGGTGTACTTAGCACTTTACAGGTTACATTACAGTAGAGGGAGGTACAGTAAGTACAGTAGGTATACAGTGTATTTATATTTTATATAGCGCTAACAGCTGTATTCAGCACTTTACAGGTTACATTACAGTAGAGGGAGGTACAGTAAGTGCAGTAGGTATACAGTGTATGTATATTATATTTATATAGCGTTAACAGGTGTACTCAGCACTTTGCAGGTTACATTACAGTAGAGGGAGGTACAGTAAGTGCAGTAGGTATACAGTGTATGTATATTTTATTTATATAGTGCTAACAGGTGTACTCAGCACTTTACAGGTTACATTACAGTAGAGGGAGGTACAGTAAGTGCAGTAGGTATACAGTGTATGTATATTATATTTATATAGCGCTAACAGGTGTACTCAGCACTTTACAGGTTACATTACAGTAGAGGGAGGTACAGTAAGTGCAGTAGGTATACAGTGTATGTATATGTTATTTATATAGCGCTAACAGGTGTACTCAGCGCTTTACAGGTTACATTACAATAGAGGGAGTTACAGTAAGTGCAGTAGGTATACAGTGTATGTATATTATATTTATATAGCCCTAACAGGTGTACTCAGCACTTTACAGGTTACATTACAGTAGAGGGAGGTACAGTAAGTGCAGTAGGTATACAGTGTATGTATAGTTTATATAGCGCAAACAGGTGTACTCAGCACTTTACAGGTTGCATTACAGTAGAGGGAGGTACAGTAAGTGCAGTAGGTATACAGTGTATGTATATTTTATTTATATAGAGCTAACAGGTGTACTCAGCACTTTACAGGTTACATTACAGTAGAGGGATGTACAGTAAGTGCAGTAGGTATACAGTGTATTTATATTTTATTTATATAGAGCTAACAGGTGTACTCAGCACTTTACAGTTTACATTACAGTAGAGGGAGGTACAGTAAGTGCAGTAGGTATACAGTGTATGTATATTTTATTTATATAGCGCTAACAGGTGTACTCAGCACTTTACAGGTTACATTATAGTAGATGTAGGTACAGTAAGTGCAGTAGGTGTACAGTGTATGTATATTTTATTTATATAGTGCTAACAGGTGCACTCAGCACTTTACAGGTTACATTACAGTAGAGGGAGGTGCAGTAAGTATACAGTGTATGTATATTTTATTTATATAGCACTAACAGGTGTAATCAGCACTTTACAGGTTACATTACAGTAGAGGGAGGTACAGTAAGTGCAGTAGGTATACAGTGTATGTATATTTGATTTATATAGCACTAACAGGTGTACACAGCACTTTACAGGTTACATTACAGTAGAGGGAGGTACTGTAAGTGCAGTAGGTATACAGTGTATGTATATTTTATTTATATAGCACTAACAGGTGTACTCAGCACTTTACAGGTTACATTACAGTAGAGGGAGGTACAGTAAGTGCAGTAGGTATACAGTGTATGTATATTTTATTTATATAGCACTAACAGGTGTACTCAGCATTTTTTTGTAAATTGCAGATCTCCCCAGGAGTTTGTCATTGAACTCCAATAAATGCATATTTACTCTGTGTCTGATATAAAGCAGTATCAGTGGGAAAGTGTTGGCAGTCCTGAATCCCAGCCTGTGCTGACAGACAGCTCCAATCCAGCCCATCCTGCAGAGGACACAACTTCACTCCAAGAACAGATCACTTCTCCACTTGCTGGACAGATGGATTATCCATGTATGTCTTCCTCCTCTGTCTCTGCAGGACTGTGAATTCCCCAATCCCTGCTGCTTGCTGGAGCCCCCCTCTGCTCTGTACAAGGTCAGTGAGTGTAACCCACAGATTGTGTGAATTGGTACATTGTTTGCCATTTCTATTTGAATTGCAAATCCCTGAATCTGTTGGATCTCAGCTTCTCAGACAGTGACAGCCCCCAATGATCCCACCTCAGCAAAGGAATCCTCTAACTCCCATCATGCCCAGCCCACAGCTCACATGCCTGGCATTTAATGAGCAAACAGACCAAGATTTTATTTAAAATAAAGACATTACAAGACAATACTACAACTGTTCATATCTGAGGGATTCCATATTCTACCCAGTGACTAACTCTGTCATAAAGGATGAGATCTGGATTAACCCTGTCAGTGCCATGTTGCAGAACAGCCAAGGGGGCAAAGGTTTTTATAAGGGCTAAAATATGCAAACCTATAACACAAGGCAAAATTAACAAAATAGGCGTACTAATGTGTGTGTGTGTATATGCATTATTTCTGAATGTAAGTTGCGTGTTTGTTGTAATACAGGAGTTGCATGTTTGCGTGTTTGCTGTAACACAGGAGTTGCGCGTTTGCTGTAATACAGGAGTTGCATGTTTTCTGTAATACAGGGGTTGCGTGTTTGCTGCAATACAGGAGATGTGTGTATGCTGTAATACAGAAGATGCGTGTTTGCTGTAATACTGGAGTTGCGTGTTTGCTGTAATACAGGAGTTGTGTGTTTGCACGTTTGCTGTAATACAGGAGTTGCGTGTTTGCTGCAATACAGGAGTTGCGTGTTTGCTGTAATACAGGAGATGCATGTTTGCGTGTTTCCTGTAATACAGGAGTTGCGTGTTTGCTGTAATACAGGAGTTGCGTGTTTGCTGCAATACAGGAGTTGCATGTTTGCTGTAATACAGGGCATGCGTGTTTGCTGCAATACAGAAGATGCGTGTTAGCTGTAATACAGGAGTTGCATGTTTGCTATAATACAGGAGTTGCGTGTTTGCTGTAATACAGGGCATGCGTGTTTGCTGTAATACAGAAGATGCGTGTTAGCTGTAATACAGGAGTTGCATGTTTGCTGTAATACAGGGCATGCGTGTTTGCTGCAATACAGAAGATGCGTGTTAGCTGTAATACAGGAGTTGCGTGTTTGCTGTAATACAGGGCATGCGTGTTTGCTGTAATACAGAAGATGCGTGTTAGCTGTAATACAGGAGTTGCATGTTTGCTGTAATACAGGAGTGCTGCGTGCGTTTGCTGTAATACAGGAGTTGCGTGTTTGCTGTAATACAGGGCATGCGTGTTTGCTGTAATACAGAAGATGCGTGTTTGCTGTAATACAGGAGTTGCATGTTTGCTATAATACAGGAGATGCGTGTTTGCTGTAATACAGGGCATGCGTGTTTGCTGTAATACAGGAGTTATGTGTTGGCTGTAATACAGGAAATGCGTGTTTGCTGTAATACAGAAGTTGTGTGTTTGCTGTAATACAGGAGCTGCATGTTTGCTGTAATACAGGAGTTATGTGTTGGCTGTAATACAGGAGTTGCATGTTTGCAGTAATACAGGAGATGCGTGTTTGCGGTAATACAGGAGTTGCATGTTTGCAGTAATACAGGAGATGCGTGTTTGCTGTAATACAGAAGTTATGTGTTTGTTGTAATGCAGGAGTTGCATGTTTGCTGTAATGCAGGAGTTGCATGTTTGCTGTAATGCAGGAGTTGCATGTTTGCTGTAATACAGGAGTTGCGTGTTTGCTGTAATACAGGAGTTGCTGTTTTCTGCAATACAGTAGGTGCATGCTTTCTCTCTCTCGCTGGGTGTTGAGGTGACTGCAGTCTCTCACTTAGCACTGCGGCTGGAGATCCCAGGATTGAACTATAATTGGAAAGCGATGCAGCTGAATGAGCTATTCTCACTCGCATTGCTGGCATTGCACACTGTCCCAGGTCTTTGAATTCACTAACCGCCGTAGTAGAATGCCCCAATGTGTCCTCCCAAGGACATCACGGCTCACACAGGAGAAGTGAGCTTTAACAGCCTGCTAATTATTTTAGTGTGTCTGCTATCAGCTAAGTGGAAATGTGAATTGTATTTACAATGTCTCTCATGCTTGGTATACACGTTTATCTACTAGCAGTCGATTCCATGTATCAACAACTATTTCATTAGTTACCATACTTTATTACACTTTGAAACTCAAAGTATTAAACGTCAGTCCATGTATGTGTATCACGGATTTACGTTTGAAGTCCTATTCTAACAGTCAGACTTAAATTGAAGTTTCAAAATGCAATCCAACCTTGGGGAATGGATAGGATTCTAGTAGCCCCCATACCTCCCTGCGCAGTGTCTTGTATATCCCAGTATGTGTAGACCCCCTACCTCACCGTACAGTGTCTGATATATCCCAGTATGTGTAGACCCCCTAGCTCCATGCGCAGTGTCTGATATATCCCAGTATGTGTAGACCCCCTAGCTCCATGCACAGTGTCTGATATATCCCAGTATGTGTAGACCCCTTGCTTCCCAGCGCAGTGTCTGATATATTCCAGTATGTGTAGACCCCCTGCCTCCTTGCACAGTGTCTGATATATCCCAGTATGTGTATATCCCCTACATCCCTGCGCAGTGTCTGATATATCCCAGTATGTGTAGACCCCCTGCCTCCCTGCACAGTGTCTGATATATCCTAGTATGTGTAGACCCCCTACCTCCCCATACAGTGTCTGATATATCCCAGTTTGTGTAGATCCTCTGCCTCCCTGCACAGTGTCTGATATATCCTATTATGTGTAGAACCCCTTTCCCTTCCTGCACAGTGTCTGATATATCCCAGTATGTGTAGACCCCCTGCCTCCCTGCACAGTGTCTGATATATCCTAGTATGTGTAGACCCCCTACCTCCCCATACAGTGTCTGATATATCCCAGTTTGTGTAGACCCTCTGCCTCCCTGCACAGTGTCTGATATATCCTATTATGTGTAGAACCCCTTTCCCTTCCTGCACAGTGTCTGAGATATCCCAATATGTGCAGACCCCCAACCTCCCCACGCAGCGCAGTGTCTGATATATCCCAGTATGTGTTGACCCCCTGCCTCCCTGCACAGTGTCTGATATATCCCAGTATGTGTATACCCCCTATGTCCCTGCGCAGTGTCTGATATATCCGAGTATGTGTAGACCCCCTACCTCCCCATACAGTGTCTGATATAGCCCAGTATGTGTAGACCCCCTGCCTCCCTGCACAGTGTCTGATATATCCCAGTATGTGTAGACCTCCTGCCTCCCTGCACAGTGTCTGATATATCCTATTATGTGTAGAACCCCTTTCCCTTCCTGCACAGTCGGATATATCCAAATATGTGCAGACCCCCAACCTCCCCACGCAGCGCAGTGTCTGATATATCCTAGTATGTGTAGACTAAAAGTGCGCCTCCCCCGATGATCATGGGGAGCTATTAACCCACGCCTCGGTCCAAGAATATTGCTTGAAAGCAGGACTCCAGATGAATGGTAAAAAAATGTGGCTTTATTATAAATAAAAGGTGAACAATCCCCAATGTAATAAAATGCAAGGCACAAGGTACGGTCCTACGCGTTTCATCCAACAACTTAGGAATTCCTCAGGGACCTTGAAATCAATTTATGTAACAATAGCATACAAAATAAAATAACGCAGCCTAATCATTCCCACCCGCAAGTCATCTTAAATAGGGTCCCTAAGGAATTCCTAAGTTGTTGGATGAAATGTGTAGGACCGTACCTTGTGCATTTTATTACATTGTTGATTGTTCACCTTTTATTTATAATAAAGCTGCATTTTTTTACCTTTCATCTGGAGTCCTGCTTTCAAGAAATATACTTGGACCGAGGCGTGGGTTAATAGCCCCCCATCATCATCGGGGTAGGCGCACTTTTAGCGATTTTAACACCTCCATTCTGTGAGTGCATTGAGTAACAGTGCATCTATATAACTCTTTAATGTATTACACTATTTCCGTTTTATGTTCTCTTTTAGAATATATAGCCGTTTCCCACGAATGTTTTTGTAGTTCACATCCCAGTATGTGTAAAGGAAAGACACCAGCAGTGACCTTAGAGAAGCAATTCTTGCTGCCCATCAAACTGGGAAGGGTTATATGGCCATTTCCAAACAATTTATAGTCCATCTTTCTACAGTGAGAAAGATTATTCAAAAGTGTAGAAGGTGTAGAAGTGTTGCCAAGAAAATGCATCTTCTCTCTAAAAGAAACATGGCAGCACTGCTTGGGTTTGTAAACTTGCATCAGAACAAACCACTGGACTTTTGGAACAATGTCCTTTGGACAAACAAGACAATAGTGGAGATATTTGGCCATAATTCACAGCACCACGTTTGTCGAAAAACCAACACACCATATCAGCACAAACACCTCGTAACAACTGTCAAGCATGTTGGTGGAAGATTGATGATTTGGACTTGTATTGCAGCCACGGGACCTGGGAACCTTGCAATCATTAAGTCGACTATGATCTCCTCTGTATACCAAAGTATTCTAGAGTCATATGTGAGGCCATCTGTCCGACAGCTAAAGATTGGCCGAAAATGAGTCAATACAATGATTCCAATCACATCATGAAATCTAGAAAAAATAATCAAAGTGTTGCAATGGCCCAGTCAAAGTCCAGACATCAACATGATTAAAATGCTGTGGTGGGACCTTAAGAGAACCATGTGTAAGGAAACCAAGTATATTTAAACCTCATTCGGTAATTTTCTCCTGAACCGCCTGAGCCTTAGTGATTATAGCCCTCCGTTCGGTAGATAGGGTCGACGAATCCTATAGCAATTCCAATTCCAGCTTCACCAGATAATTCCCTTAGTAAAACACACGAATCCCCAAACATCAGCCGAAGTCAAGAAGGAGGGTACAAAATGAACTGTCCTTGGAACTGTCCAGCTTTTATGCAAGTCCCCATGCAAGGGGACAGCCCTCAGGGAGGGACAAACAATAACCAATCACAGGCAGCAAAACGTTAACACACACCCACAATTCCCTCCCCTAGCCCAGCAGATAATTCAGTCTGATAAAATAGTAACTTAATTATCTCGGGGCTGAAAAATCACTTTTTTCCCCAACATCCAGAACACCCCTTTATACTGGGGTTATCCCCATAAATAAATATCCCCTTATATGTCCCCTGATAGCCCTGATCTGGGTGACCAACATATTCGAATTTCACCCAGATCGGTTCAGGGGTTCGCAAAACCGGCTCTTGTGACCGGCTCACCCTGGGCTGCATGCCCAAAACAGTTCCATGAATTTGGTGGGTTTTGCCGGTCACTTTCGAAAAAGCATAAAAACTAATGAAAATACTGAATGGATTCCTCTGGCTCCTAGCAGTGTTCGTGCCCCTCTGTCGAATGCACCAAAGTACCGAATAGCGCTCTTCTAGCTGTTCGGTAAATAGAGTTCCAGCGTTCGTCTGTTTGGGACCGGTGTTCGGGAAGTCGAGTGTCCGTTTTCAGTTCCATGCACTCGACGACCAGGTCCCGCTGCCTTTGTTCGCATGAACAAAGATGGCCGCGGTTTTCTCTGCCACGTGGCATTCGACTAACGAACGCTGGCCGCACAGACAGAGGTAGCAATTTCACCCAAACTTTGATGTTTAATGAGCCAGAGGGGTGGTCTTTGTTCGGTAGTTCCATCTACCGAATGCAATAGGCAGAAATGGAGATAAAGAGGGAATGCAAACAGTAAATAACACAGGGAATAGGGGGTTTCTTCACACCATGTATAAATAAATACTAGCAAACCTCAAAAACTGTAGCAACGTTGTGAAGAAGAGCCAGACAAAATTCCTCCACAACGATGTGCAAGACTGATAAAGTCATACAGAAAACGATTACTTCAAGTTATTGCTGCTAAAGATGGTTTTACAAGCTATTGAATCATAAGGTGTACTTAGTTTTCCACACATGGTTTCTCCATTTTGGCTTTATTTTTGTTAAATAAATCATGACACTTGTGTTCACCTAAAGTTGGATTTACCTAATTTTAAAGAAAAACAAAAGATAGAAATAACGCCACTGCAAGCGCTCAGAATCCACACTAAATACCTAACGCGTTTCGGACCTAAAGGTCCATAGACATATACTCCATAGGAGTATCTCACATACAGGGTACATCCCTTGAATAACGCACTCAATAAAAAAAATTACAAAAATTGGAGAACAATCTAATTTTAAGACATTCTAAGGAACAGAGTGATTGTTTTTATATCCTGATATGTAAAACCATAGAATCCAAAGAGGGTGTACTTTCTTTTTCCCATGACTATATATCCAAACAAAGAGATTTAACTCCTAAATGGCAGAGAACTGAGCAGTGAGACTGCATGGGGCATGATCTATACACCAGAAATGCTTCATTAAGCTAAAGCTGTTTGATGCCTGTAGTGCATTTTTGCATTTTTTCACTTATTGTATGCAATACAATTTTATAATATTTAAGCACATGTACTTTTTTACGTGCACAACACACTATTGCAGTAGCATCACGTGACCTGTTTATTTTTTGGCTAGGCCCTTAATTCCAGTGAAATGAAAGCGCGGAATGCAATGTAGACAGTTCTGTACCTGTAGAATTGGGGTGAGGGGATAGGGGCTGTAGTTTGGGGGGTAGGGGCTGTGGTGTGTGGATAGTGGCAGTGGTGGGGATACAGTGGCAGTAGTGGGAGGGTAGTGATTGCGGCGTGGGAATAAGGGCTCTAGTTGGAGGAGAGGAGCTGTGGTGGGTGGAGAGGGCTGTTATGGTGGGGTTAGTGGATATAGTGGAGAATAGTTCTACTAAATGCTAATTTTATGGGAGAGCACTCACCAAAAGATTGGTGCAGAGGACTCCGGTTCCGGTCCAATCCGGTATAATATCACGAAAGAGAAAAAACAATGTCCAGCACACCTGATAGTTTAAGTGTTAATCCTTTATGCCAGTCTCTGCTTGAAATGTTGACACTTAGCTTGCTATTAATGGGTGATAAATAACAGGATATCACTTTAACTACCAGGTGTGGACGTTGTTTTTTCTCTTTCATTGTAATAAGTTCTGTCCTTTACCCCTGACTGTTAGCCCGGAGAAAGCAGACAGGAAAGAGGAGAAATTAAATAATATTTCTGCGGGGGCGGGGCCTGACAGCCAAGATGGCCGGCCGCACATGCTGAGAGCTCCTGCAGCAGCGGGTAAAAGAATGACCATAACGAGCGATCCAAAAGTGCTAGCGGCAAACGGTGATCGGCACCAAACACAGGAAGACATGAGTTACAAAACTATACTGGCCCAGCACCGGAGCGCCGCGGAAAAACCAACACCGGCCATGCGGCCTACACCAGAGCGGGAACTGAGGTCTGGGGGAGGCGGCCGATTCCCCGGCTCAGGACGCGCTCACAAACGAGAGCACACAACAGCCCTGCTGCCCCCCCCTCTGGACCGGCGGGGGACATCCCGGTCCTCGCTGGGGACGAATACCCCCACATCGCTGACAGCCCAAGCGACAAAACTCTCATGCACCCAGGACCGTCAGGGCCTAGCCAAGATGGCAGCACAGAAGCAGACAAAGACAAGGCACACACTCACTGCACCACCCAAGCACACTCCGGAATTTTATGAACGGCTCTGCAGTTACCTCTGGAAGAAGCTTAATGCCCGGAGACAGCTCTTCAGGCGAGCCGTGAGAGAGATGGAGGCGTGGATCCGCCCGGCTACCCGGCGCTTTCTGCGGGGGAATCTTCCTCGCAAATATAGAGCAGCCTCCCGCTGGCAACGGAACCGCAGAACAGCGGGGCGGGAAGCGTCGCCATGCTCCCCAGACAGCACCAATTACGCTCCCAGGCTACGGAGCCGAACCCGCCGGTGCACACGACCTGCCTACCACTCAGCGGTCCCAGCAACAGCCAAACGGCAAGGCGTAAATCCGCACAAGGGGACACACAAATCCCAACGAGCCATCGCTCATAACACAACAGGGTTGCCGACCGGCGGACCAAACCGGCAAAGAGCCCATCTACAGCTTGCCGGGAGGAGAACCTCTGGACCTCGGTCCTGCAGTGGGACTATTGTGGTGAGAGTGGGGGTAGGGTGATCCACACATGCGAGACTCTGCCTAATGCCACCCTTACCCCTCGCCATACTTACCTACCGACACAGCATGACAAGAGTCCTGAACACTCACCATTGACATAAAGTGTCTGAATAATCTATTACACATGTAACACCCATATTCTTTGACATGTTTGTTAGGCTGGTTTTACTTTAGCATTTCTCTCACATGTAAGACATGCAACTGTTATTGATAAGGCTGGAGCCAATGTATGTTTAGTAACTTAAGTTAGATGATGCCAGCACGACAAGCGTGCAGCCAAGTTTATGCCATGAAAGTGCCAAAGCTGAGCTTATTTTCCGCCTTACTGCGCTGACGTGGCATTGTGAATAGTCTCAATGCTAACACTTAAACGATGCTCTAACACCATGGCAGACCAAGCCTGTCTAAGTAGTGAGCTTGCTGCTCAACGCCTGTGTCTAGTTAACCTCCAAAGTATTATCTTTGTTTAACTTTAGGAATGTGAAATGAAGCCGGTTTATATTTTTTATGTTTATATTGCCTACATCATTAACAAAACGTGACGCTACTTTAAGGCCATACCGCTATAACTGGATATAGACACCTATCTGCCATTAGCATGGAACCCAGGTTGGCGTATAGCACGACATATCCCAATCCTGCAGCACTTAGTATTTTTGCATGTACCTATAAAAGTTGTAAACTCACCCTTAAACCTGGCTTGTACTCACACACTAGCTCTTGACACAGCATAACAATTTTTATGACTAGATAGTAAAGCGCTGTTACATAGTGTTCTGAAAATGCCTACGCAACCTAAACGACGAATACCTGTATTGTTTATCACCTAACCTATCCTTACAAAAAATGTGTTAGATATACCATGTACCTCTTTGTTTAAATGTGTACAATACGCTGGAGGATTGCCTTTGGGGTACCTCATATGCACCTGTTCAAAGCTTATACACTACAAAAATAAAGAATTATAAAAAAAAAAATAATAATAATATTTCTGCTTCTCATTATCATTTAGAACACTATCATGGAACGTTTATTTCCCAGACTTTCCCACATAATGATGTATAACATATAGAGTATCACTCTCACTAAATTCTGTTATTTGTTCAGTATTTGCTATCAATGGGCCAAAGCCAAAGGGCAGTTCATACAGAACATGTGTATTTTTAATCCTCCTGGTTCTAAATCTTGGTCTTGGTCATTAGTTTATTCTCTGTATTTTATCACAGAAATACATATCAATGGCACTAAACTTTGGGAGTCTTTAGTTAGCTCCCATCCACTGGCTCTCTGTCATCTGATCCCTGCCAGAAATATTCAGAGAGGGACGAGAAGGCCTGTAAGTCCCACTTATCTGCTAGTTCAGCAGTCGCTGGCCGCTCGGGTTTCACTGTCAGAGAGAAGGTTAGGATGGACTGTCTGATAAACACGCTATCTGTACGGTCACAGCACAGTCTGCAAATTAAACACAAAGTAGCCTAACATAAATACTCACAGCGCAAGGCGCACCTCGAGGGACCTCGAAGGATCTGGATAGAAAAGGCCAGATTATAAACCACCTCTAATTATCTCTGCGTATGTTTAAAATATTATTCTTATTAACCATTGTGGCTCAATTGGTGCCAAGTCCTGGAGTCTATTTATTAAACAATCACTTGTTCTAGGTAGAGAAAAATAATTACAAAATTCAGAACAAGATAAGTGAGTTTGAAAAATTCTCCCAACTTTGCTTTTATCAAAAACGGCTTCATTTTGCAATTATGTTTCTCACTATAATACAATTCAGTATTTAGTCAGTAAGCCTCGCTGTGTAAGAAACCCATGAACATTACATAAAGGGTGTTTTTATTTCACTATTTTACATCCCATATGGGTTCGCATAGTTTTATAGTACTGATGGAAAGTTCGGGGTTTCTGATTTATATTGCTGTGATGTACTGTAACAAATAGCTTAAATATATTGACATTATGTTTGTATCTGAAAGGTAGTGATTATTGTGTTGTTTATGGTCTTCAATCAGTAAATAATTCCTAGTAATCACAAGATTCAGGGACTGTTTGATCTTTCATGGGGCATTGAAGCACAAACATTTGAGTAGGTACCCATTCAGTAACTCACGAGGTATGTTTATTCTAGAAACTATCTGGTAAAAATGGCGCCTTTACAATGCTTTACAATGTGGTTCGTATAAAACATCTGTTCGGTGTCACGGAATTTGTGTAATTTATTGGTGTGATATTCCTAAATCATAAATGATATAAAACGGAATGTTTCCTTTATCTCTCTAGATTTCGTTCCACGTAACTGAGTTTACACGGCATCATGGGAGTTAAGACTGCATTGCCGCACTATGAGCTGGGTTTCTACGCCCTGATTGTGACCTGCGCGTTAGTTTATTCCTTGAATGGAATAGTTGAAGTGTCTAATGGTAAGATCTTTTTTCATTTCTATAAATTATAGGCTGATTATCTTAATTCTTTTTATTAGCACCCTGGAATGGGTATTTTGGAGAATTTAGAAACAATTGCACATTCTAGGCCATAATAGCCTCTAACCCATGGAAAGAAAGGCTTGTGATGTCATAGAGGGGCGGGGTATACATGCGCTATATTCTGGATAAATATAATATTTTGATAATTTATTTCCTGTTTGATCCTGGCGTGTAATTGTAATGGACCAAAAAAGATAGTAAGCAAGTTAGTTACTAAAGTGAGGATTCAAAGTAAATTTCACATTTAAGGTCAAAGTAGCCATCTACTCTGGCCTTATAATTAATATCATTCACTTTGAATTCTCAGTTTAGTAAATAACTCTGCAGCTTTTCTCAGTTACAGTGTTGCCAGTTACCTAATAGAAGCCATTCCTGAACTATACTCTTTGCCTCGGTCTTTCTGTTGTGTGAGCTCGTCATTTACTGAAGATAATGCTTTTTATCCAGGACTTGGGCTGAAATAGTTGGCAGGATACGATCAGTCATTACAGTTAAATGACTAGTCGAGGTTTTACCACTTTTGGTTTTCTTTCCGTAGACACCATGAATCGCAAGTCATTTAGAGAGAGTGTCACGTCGGGCTGGCAGTACCTGGGCAGAAAAATGGTAAGACACGATGTACTGTGCTGTTTGTCGAGGTTATATCTCTTGTCGAAAGGTTCCAGATTGCAATTTCCATTTATGTTTGCGTGTCTCCTCCAGGATGCAGCAGATTTTGAGTGGGTGATGTGGTTTACTACATTTCGGAATTACATCATCTTCGCTCTTGCGGGGCATGTGATTTTTGCCAAAATATTCTCTATGATGGTCCCTCAGGTGGGTGTCTTAATAATCTTGCACGAACACTGTGCGGGGGGAGGGGCTCTGTCACCTGTGGACTCACCCCAAAAAAGGGGAGACCTTACTGTCAAGCCTTATTAATCTGTATAGAATTCAATGAACTTGAGAGAACGTTAATTAAATAAAATTGAAACTGAGCTGAACTGATGATTTTTAGTAGTATTTATTTAAATTTACAACTTATTCTCACTCATTTACTAACATGTGGTAAATTAAAGATTGAGCACTTGTAAAAAAAAAAGCTAGACAGACAAACAGACAGACAAATAGATAGATAGATAGACAGACAGACAGACAGACAGATACATACATAGATACATAGATAGATGGATAGAGAAACAAAGAGCGATGATTCATTTTGTAACGCACGGGAGCACCGGGCATTAGGTCACATGTTTAGCGCCACAATCTCTGTTACATTCTGACTTACTATGTATCTCCCTATAGTACAGGTCCTGGGTCTACATGCTGTACGGGATGCTGACGGTCCTGGCCATTATGGGAAATAACTTCTTAATGCTGACACTGTCTCACTGCGCTGTCTTCTACATCATCTCGTTTGTAAAGCAGAAATGGCTGTGCTTTGCCGCTGGCCTTTGTAGTCTGGCAACCTTCCGGCTCGATATGTTCAGCTCCTGGCAAGTATGTTTTCTGGAATCGCTACTTCTGGGTAGAATGAGAAATTCTCTTTATAAAACTTCAAAATGGAATTCTTCACTAAAATGGGCATTGCGTACAACACACGGTTATTAACTAAAGTGGGAATAGCCAGGAATTCAAAGTAAATCCAACGTGAATTTTAAATTTAAAGCAGCTCTGTCATGTTTCACCCCCCCATTGCTACGATCCTTTTTTATATTCATTATGTTTACTTCCTTCACCTTAATACCTGGGTGCCTACATTTTGTTCTCCTCTGTCCGTGATGTCTGCAGTTTGCCTTCTGTGGGATTATTTTGACGTTGGATTGTGGGTAGATTAGCTTCTCAACTGAAATAATTATTCTTTATAAAGCGCCAACATATTACACAGCGCTGTACAATAGTTGGACTAACAGATAGGTATTTGAAACAAGACAAATTGATTGCACAGGAGCAGATGGTGTTGAGGGCCCTGCTCAAACAAGCTTCCTGAAATGGAACTTAAGCTCCACCTATTGCCAAAAATTGCCAAAAAGCATGCTCCCCATGAGAAAAAAAATAATCCCAATATCTTCATATTTATAACTAGAAAACTCAGCTGGATTAAAAAAAAACATAAAACAAAAAAAAAAAGAGGAACAAAAAGGATTAAACTAAAAGCAAAACCTGCAAAGTGATCGAGCCGTTTTAAGCCCCAAATTGCCAAACTGAAAACAGAATTGACTTGCAGGGTTTTTACTATTTTGGCCAAAATACTCCCTAAACACTCACTTTAGTCAATAACAGACAGTCTCACTTTAAAAATCTCAACTTGAAATGTTTGAGTGCAAATGTTCAACGTTGCTGTGTGACGGTGGTAGAATTTGTTCGGAATGATTGAGTGAGAATGCAGGTTAATTGCTGCGCTGTTCTAACGTTGCTGTGTGACGGTGGTAGGATTTGTTCGGAATGATTGAGTGAGAATGCAGGTTAATTGCTGCGCTGTTCTAACGTTGCTGTGTGACGGTGGTAGGATTTGTTCGGAATGATTGAGTGAGAATGCAGGTTAATTGCTACGCTGTTCTAACGTTGCTGTGTGACGGTGGTAGAATTTGTTCTGAATGATTGAGTGAGAATGCAGGTTAATTGCTGCGCTGTTCTAACGTTGCTGTGTGACGGTGGTAGAATTTGTTCGGAATGATTGAGTGAGAATGCAGGTTAATTGCTGCGCTGTTCTAACGTTGCTGTGTGACGGTGGTAGGATTTGTTCGGAATGATTGAGTGAGAATGCAGGTTAATTGCTGCGCTGTTCTAACGTTGCCGTGTGACGGTGGTAGGATTTGTTCGGAATGATTGAGTGAGAATGCAGGTTAATTGCTGCGCTGTTCTAACGTTGCTGTGTGACGGTGGTAGGATTTGTTCGGAATGATTGAGTGAGAATGCAGGTTAATTGCTGCGCTGTTCTAACGTTGCTGTGTGACGGTGGTAGGATTTGTTCGTAATGATTGAGTGAGAATGCAGGTTAATTGCCGCGCTGTTCTAACGTTGCCATGTGTCGGTGGTAGGATTTGTTCGGAATGATTGAGTGAGAATGCAGGTTAATTGCTGCGCTGTTCTAACGTTGCTGTGTGACGGTGGTAGGATTTGTTTGGAATGTTTGAGTGAGAATGCAGGTTAATTGCTGCGCTGTTCTAACGTTGCTCAGAATGTTTGAGTGAGAATGCAGGTTAATTGCTGCGCTGTTCTAACGTTGCCGTGTAACGGTGGTAGGATTTGTTCGGAATGATTGAGTGAGAATGCAGGTTAATTGCTGCGCTGTTCTAACGTTGCTGTGTGACGGTGGTAGGATTTGTTCAGAATGTTTGAGTGAGAATGCAGGTTAATTGTCGCGTTGGTCTAACGTTGCTGTGGGACAGTGGTAGTATTTGTTCTGAATGATTGCCCATGTTATGTGTCGTGCCCTTCTCGGTCAGTATAGACACATAACGAGGATCCGTGACTTATCACTTTGTTTCCTTTGATCTTAGAATGAATTCTTTACCGAAACATTTAAACTGCAAGATATCCTGTTTTATGGCGGTAACGGGCTGACCATACTGCGCTGCATGAGTTTTGCTTTGGAGACGTGCGATCAGAGAGAAGGATTTTACTCCCCCGTGGAGCTTCTCAAGTACAACTACTACTTGCCTTTCTTCTTCTTTGGGCCCATTATGACGTTTGACAGGTATTACGAACAGGTGAGCTATAACGTGGCAGCCAATCAGAAAATTGCTTTAAACATCTGAATTATTTCCCAGGTAAGGGCACAGCTGGTTATCACATCTGGCTGGGACACAATACCCTGGTGCCCCAGACATTATTACTGTGAGTTACGTCAGCTCCACCAGATCTACAGCGCTACGACTTTCTGTTCAGACTGCTCGCTAACGAACTTAGTGAGTACAGATGTATTGATACTCGCCATATTCACAACTGCGCCGTTGACACCTATTGATACAAAACAGCTATTGTTAAAAAGGCTGTTCTCCCAATTACAACTATTAATGTTTTATATGAATAAAGTCAGTGACAAGCACAATCTTCTATGGATCCCAGGACTGAGGAACAAAGGCAGAACCCTGGTAAAACAATATCAAGGCACTAGCTCCAATATATTATTATGTATTTGACACTAAATAGCAATCAGGATATAAATCCCTGTTAAATTTTTATAATATATCTTCCCCAACGGAGAGGTGATTCGGAAAAGTTGTAAACAGGACAGTACTTTCAGCAGCTCCAAGAGGTCACAACTTGGGATCTTGGGTTGGCTATCGGTTTGACCTATAGTATATCAGTCTGTAGACTAATAGATTTGTTGGAAACTATTTAACCAAATACTAATTTACTGAGGACAAATTACTTTCTGCACTACCAGGGAGCAAATTGGAGTGAAGAGGATAGAGGGGGCAAGATCCATTAATTGACTAATTAGAAGAAGATCAGAGTTTTATTTCTTGGAGAAAAGACAAGAAACCAGGATACGTACAAGGATTAGAAGAGAATATGAGTGGTTAGTGTTTAGGAGTAAAATGACATCTAAACTGTATCTAACACATAAATAATACATGCTTTATTTCAACAAACATCTTGTGTGTATGTCCTGTGCTATAGATGTTATGGTTGCCCAACAAAATGGCAATTATTTTACTGAGCTTTGGAAGGATAGAGGGCAGAGATGACCGTACTGGAAATATAACCTGCAGCCTTGACGTTGCAGAAGGTATTACAGAGCTATCTTACCAGCTTTTCTTAACGGGACACTATAGAGTCAGGAATACAGACATGTATTCATACACTATAGCACTGGGGTGACTGTTTAGCTCCCTGACTTCCTCTTTTTTGTGCAATGAAAAGGTGAGCTTAGTTACCCTTTTTTCCCCAAAACGCACCGGTCTCGCCGTGGCTGGCCCCACGCAGAGTGTGGAGACACTGAACTCGGAAGCAATTTAAACGCTGACTTTTCTCTGAAAACGTAGTGTTTACATTGAAAAGCCTTCAGCGACAGAATATAGACACCAGAATCACTACATTAAACGGTAGTGGTTTTAGTACTATAGTGTCCCTTTAAGGCAGTGTATAATCAGATTAGTTTTGTGCCAATAAACCAGAGATTTCTTTTTTTTATTTTTATTTACTTTGCAGCCATATTCACAATTGGACTATACATAACTGCTTATTGTTTTTACCTCTAAAATTGCAATGGTTTGGTGTCCAGAATTATCGAGTAGAAAGATTTGTTTTTAAACAATATATCAAGTATGTAACCATGTCAAATGACTCCCAATTTCTTTCTTTCTTTTTTTTTTTATTACAAATTTTCTTTACAAAAATGAATCCCAGATACATACAATCACATTTATCAGACAAAAAAATAAAAAAAATATAAACTTAAATACTTGACAATTCATCAGCACAATGCCTTTCCAAAACATAGACTTTTACACAAATCATAAAGAAATAATAATAAAATAAATAAATAAAACACATGGGTCGGTCACTGAAAGCAGCCCTTCCCAGCAGGGGTATCCTATCCGTGTTAGGAATGTATCCATTTCTCCCATTGGGAAAGATCTCTATATTTGCGATTAATTTTGCTCATTCCTCTCTCCAATAATAATTGGAACTTAATCTGAGAAATAAAGTGAGGAGTATTAAAGGGTTGATCCTTCTTCCTGTTCCTAGCAATAATTATCTTGGCCGCAACCAATGGCAAACCGCTATAAGCTGTCTCTTAGTCAAATTAGGCCAATTAATATGTAACAACATGACCTCTGGTTTATATATCAGCCTTGTATCACATCATTTATAGATAATATTTTGTACTGATTGCCATAGAGGAGCCATTTTACCACATGACCACCATATATGCAAATAATTGCCTCTCTCAGCAGCGCATCTCCATCTTTGATAATCTAGATGGTACCACGTACCATTTATTTATCAATTTATAATGAGTCTCCACCAAAGACAGACTATGTACATATTTATTCACTTTCTAAAGAGAAGAGGACCACTCATTGTCATCGATTAAAATATTTAAAGCTTTTTCCCATTTTTGGATTATCACTGGAGTGTTATTGACCTCCCATGTTTCTATCAATTTCACACATTTAGAGAACAAATGTTTTAAGGTATAGATTGAGAAAGCAGCTTCCCTTTTGCCGTAAATATCCCCATTAGAAAGTATATTCTCGTTGGATAAAAAATAAACCAGAGATTTTAAATCTAAATTATGCCTTTGAAAGATTATACAAAATGATATTGATGATTTAATTTCATTAAAGAAAATTAACTAAATTCCTAATGTTTTCTGCTTAATAAGAGTGATAACCCAATATTCCAAGAAAAGTCAGACTTGTAGAAACGTGCAGAGTTTATATCTTGCAGCCAATTGTCACTTCCTGCTCTGTTATGTGTTTAATGTGGGAATTGTTCGTCAGGACAGGATAACAGGGACTTGTCAACTCTCTACATGCCGATGTGAAGCATTTAGACGATAATAATTAAAGAGTGAGGTGTAGTAAGCTAACATTATAAGAACAAAGCCTCAAATTCTGCTATTTTGCCCCAAATTGTCCAGTTTTGAGATCATGTTATTGTTTAATGAATAACTGCTGTAAGATTGGACAATTTGTGTCTTTAAAAACGTGTTTAATAACTGAAGAGAGTTATTCAATAGCGTGTGAATTTCATTCGGTCAGAGTTTTTTACTAAAGGAAGAATTTAAAGTGAATTTCGATGTTAAGGCCAGAGCAGCCGAAGTGAAAGCTGAGCTGGGTGTAGAATTCGGCTACTGTGACCTTGAATTTGAAATTCACTTTGAATTTGCGATAAATGTTCACATTACTGAATAACTTTGATAGTGAGTTTGCAGTATTATGTATAGATAACTGAAGTTCAGCCTTTTGAATTTCCCTCTGAATTCCAAACAATTCCTAGTTTAGCAAATAATATCCCTGTAAATTCTTAATTTGTGCCAGAGAAGGCTGTATTTACGCCATAATATGTATTGTAGATTATAATGGTTGCAGAGAGGAAGCAATTGACAAAGTAACTATTGAATACTAAATAACAAATTGAGCCTGTAAATATACATTCACTGTGCGCACACCTTTACGTACAGCCGCGTGCCAGGCGTGTGCCAGACATGCACAATGCAGAACAAGCGCACACTGTCCCTCATTTCCCTACAATGCAGTTGTATCCCAGTTATAAACAGCTCATAATCTGCCCATTAACTTTCTCTTTGTAAATGATTTTTATCACTCGTTTGAAATTATTTTTGGTTCCTTTTTAAAGTTTGTACTATCAGTACAAATGTTCACTTGGTAATTTAGAATCAAATTAAAAACTGGCAAAAAAATAATATAAATAACAGTTTAGTTGTTGGTGTTTTAGTTTGTTTGATGAATAGAATGAATCTATTAATGTGTGAGAATCCTCAGTCTCTTTTTATTAAGGAGAAAGAATCTCGGCTTCAGACTATTATGAAATGTGCCCATGTGCACTGCTATAGGTATACTTTAATTGACCCTGAAGTTGGCAATCAGATAATGAACCAATTCCGCTTTATTTATTGAATGCCATTCATTTAGTTATGGTGCGCGTAACCTGTCGTACTATGTGATTGCTGTTACAGGTTAACACCCGGGCCATAACTCGGAAAGAGAACGAGATGTGGAACATTCGTGTCCAGGCTGTGAGTAATCTCCTGTCTATTATATTAGTCGACGTTTTCTTCCACTTTCTCTACATCCTGACCATCCCAACAGACCTGAAAGTTGTGAGTCGTCTTTCAGACTGGTCACTAGGTGTGTATTGTGCAAAACATTGGGTATTTACTAACATTTAACCCAAACTTAGGATATAAAGATTGCCGGCAGTCTGTCTGTTAATGTGAGGTTATATATTTACCTTATATAATGTACTTTCTATTATATAATAAAGGTAACAGACAACTTAACATACATTATTACTGATAAACAAATATAATGTATGCTTAGATTAATAATCAGACAAATAGTAACATTAAAGGGACACTATAGTTACCAGAACCAGTACAGCTTAATATAGTGGGTTCTGGTGTCTATAGCCTGTCTCTGCAGGCTTTCCAATGTAAATATTACCTTTTCAAAGACAAGGCAGTGTTTAAATTGCTTCCTCATTCAGGGTCTCCACACTCTGCATAGGGCTAGCCACGGTGAGACCGGTGCCAAGTGGGAAGAAAGTAACTAAACTCACATATTTACTGCACAGACAGGAGGGTGGAAACCTAAACAGCCACACCAGTGCTATAGTGTCAGGAATACATGTTTGTATACTATACTATACTATAGTGTTTCAGAGAAAACACAGTGTTTACATTGCAGCCTAATAACACCTCTACAGACAGTCACTCAGACAGCCTCTACAGGTGCTTCCTATTTCAAGTGATGCACTTTGTGCAGCACTAGCGTACACTGTCTTCACACTCTGCATGTAGAGGCTGAACTTTCCCCAACATCAATATTGGTGATCTCAGTCATGGAGGCGGGATCAGCTGTGGAGAGACCGGCACGGGGAGGATAAAAAGGTTGGTAAAACTACTTTTAACTTCACAGAGAAGGGATTTTATTCATTAATAAATTAAGTTATTAATTACTATACTTTATGATAATTTTTATAGATATAAGAAAAAAATTAATATAAATGTTTGATGCTGGCCCATTAGAGAATGGGAGGTGTATGACCCATGATATCATCCCCTACAAGAGCTACGTGGATGAATTTCAAGCCATACAAGAGTTTTCTAGTCATTGTAATTAGCAGTACAGGTAAATTTAAATCTAACACTCAGTAACCTGGTCTCTACTTGTCTCACAGCGGCTCTGGCTTATTCGAACCTTGTGTATGACTGGGTGAAGGCAGCGGTAATGTTCGGAGTTATAAACACCATCTCCAGGTTGGATCACCTTGACCCTCCTCAACCTCCTAAGTGTATCACCATGCTTTACGTGTTTGCAGAAACGTGAGTTATTACAGATCCCTCATGCTATCTGTTAAGCCTGACATAAACATGTTCCTGATCTTGGGGGAAGGTCTATTATTGTTACTGGTATTTATATAGCGCCAGCATATTCCGTAGCGCTTTACAATATTATCAAAGGGGGAAATTTAACAAATAAGACAATTACAAATACGATAGGTTGAAGAGGGCCCTGCTCAAATGAGCTTACAGTCTATAGGAGGTGGGGCGTAAAACACAACAGGACAGGAGTTAGCAATCAAATAAAAGTAGGAGAGAAACAGAGCTGGAGGAGGGAATAGAGTGTTGCCCGTAGGAGAGAGCAAGGGACAGGTATGTGAGGTAGAGGTTACTCTGGGAGGCCATAACACAGGGACGGGGTGTGAACAGAGCAGGATGGCTACAGGGATGACCACGTGAACAGTCCGGAATGGACACAGGGACAAGGTGGGAGCAGAGTGGGATGGACACAGGGACGAGGTGGGAGCAGGGCGGGATGGACACAGGGACGAGGTGGGAGCAGGGCGGGATGGACACAGGGATGAGGTGGGAGCAGGATGGACACAGGGACGAGGTGTGAGCAGAGCTGGATGGACACAGGGACGAGGTGGGAACAGGGCGGGATGGACACAGGGATGAGTTGGGAGCAGGGCGGGATGGACACAGGGACGAGGTGGAAGCAGGGCGGGATGGACAGAGAAACGAGGTGTGAGCAGAGAGCGGGATGGATACAGGGACGTGGTGTGAGCAGGGCGGGATGGACACAGGGACGAGGTGGGAGCAGAGCGGGATGGATACAGGGACAAGGTGTGAGCAGGGCGGGATGGACACAGGGACGAGGTGTGAGCAGGGCAGGATGGATAGAGGGACGAGGTGTGAGCAGAGTGGGATGGACAGAGGGACGAGGTGTGAGCAGAGTGGGATGGACAGAGGGACGTGGTGTGAGCAGAGAGCGGGATGGATACAGGGACGTGGTGTGAGCAGGGCGGGATGGATACAGGGACAAGGTGTGAGCAGGGCGGGATGGACACAGGGACGGGGTGTGAGCAGGGCAGGATGTAAGGAACCCCCACCTGGGTGCAGATTTCATTAAGTTTATATTGTTCATTATTCCATTTAATGAGTTTCATCACAACTGCGACTCAATGTACATGTGCTCACAATTCCTGTGCCCTCTGTCGGCAGCCCAAATCTCTCCTACAGGAATTCTAACGGGCAGACTACAATTCACATATTCTGTCTGCCCTAACCCTATCTCACCTTCTTTTCTACAATTTCTATTGGTAATATTCAGTGATCTCTCTCACCTTCTGGATATGGTTAGTATAATACCCAGCCACCTACCTCGCCTTCTGGATATGGTTAGTATAATACCCAGCTGTCTGCCTCACCTTCTGGATATGGTTAGTATAATACCCAGCTACCTACCTCACCTTCTGGATATGGTTAGTATAATACCCAGCCACCTACCTCACCCTCTGGATATGTTTAGTATAATACCCAGCCACCTACCTCACCTTCTGGATACGGTTAGTATAATACCCAGCCACCTACCTCACCTTCTGGATACGGTTAGTATAATACCCAGCCACCTACCTCACCTTCTGGATATGGTTAGTATAATACCCAGCTACCTACCTCACCTCCTGGATATGGTTAGTATAATACCCAGCCACCTACCTCACCCTCTGGATATGGTTAGTATAATACCCAGCCACCTACCTCACCTTCTGGATACGGTTAGTATAATACCCAGCCACCTACCTCACCTCCTGGATATGGTTAGTATAATACCCAGCTACCTACCTCACCTTCTGGATATGGTTAGTATAATACCCAGCCACCTACCTCACCTCCTGGATATGGTTAGTATAATACCCAGCCACCTACCTCACCTCCTGGATATGGTTAGTATAATACCCAGCCACCTACCTCACCTTCTGGATACAGTTAGTATAATACCCAGCCACCTACCTACCTCACCTTCTGGATATGGTTAGTATAATACCCAGCCACCTACCTCACCTTCTGGATATGGTTAGTATAATACCCAGCCACCTACCTCACCTTCTGGATATGGTTAGTATAATACCCAGCCACCTACCTCACCTCCTGGATATGGTTAGTATAATACCCAGCCACCTACCTCACCTTCTGGATATGGTTAGTATAATACCCAGCTGTCTACCTCACCTTCTGGATACGGTTAGTATAATACCCAGCCACCTACCTCACCTTCTGGATATGGTTAGTATAATACCCAGCCACCTACCTCACCTTCTGGGTATGGTTAGTATAATACCCAGCCACCTACCTCACCTTCTGGATATGGTAAGTGTAATACCCAGCCACCTACCTCACCTCCTGGATATGCTTAGTATAATACCCAGCTGTCTGCCTCACCTTCTGGATATGGTTAGTATAATACCCAGCCACCTACCTCACCTTCTGGATATGGTTAGTATAATACCCAGCCACCTACCTCACCTCCTGGATATGGTTAGTATAATACCCAGCCACCTACCTCACCTTCTGGGTATGGTTAGTATAATACCCAGCTACCTACCTCACCTTCTGGATACGGTTAGTATAATACCCAGCCACCTACCTCACCTCCTGGATATGCTTAGCATAATACCCAGCTGTCTGCCTCACCTTCTGGATATGGTAGGTATAATACCCAGCTACCTACCTCACCTTCTGGATATGGTTAGCATAATACCCAGCCACCTACCTCACCTCCTGGATATGGTTAGTATAATACCCAGCCACCTACCTCACCTTCTGGATATGGTTAGTATAATACCCAGCTACCTACCTCACCTTCTGGATACGGTTAGTATAATACCCAGCCACCTACCTCACCTTCTGGATATGGTTAGTATAATACCCAGCTACCTACCTCACCCTCTGGATATGGTTAGTATAATACCCAGCTACCTACCTCACCTTCTGGATATGGTTAGTATAATACCCAGCTACCTACCTCACCTTCTGGATAAGGTTAGTATAATACCCAGCCACCTACCTCACCCTCTGGATATGGTTAGTATAATACCCAGCCACCTACCTCACCTTCTGGATATGGTTAGTATAATACCCAGCCACCTACCTCACCTTCTGGATATGGTTAGTATAATACCCAGCCACCTACCTCACCTTCTGGGTATGGTTAGTATAATACCCAGCCACCTACCTCACCTTCTGGGTATGGTTAGTATAATACCCAGCCACCTACCTCACCTTCTGGATATGGTTAGTATAATACCCAGCCACCTACCTCACCTCCTGGATATGGTTAGTATAATACCCAGCCACCTACCTCACCTTCTGGGTATGGTTAGTATAATACCCAGCCACCTACCTCACCTCCTGGATATGGTTAGTATAATACCCAGCCACCTACCTCACCTTCTGGATATGGTTAGTATAATACCCAGCTACCTACCTCACCTTCTGGATACGGTTAGTATAATACCCAGCCACCTACCTCACCTTCTGGATACGGTTAGTATAATACCCAGCTATCTGCCTCACCTTCTGGATATGGTTAGTATAATACCCAGCCACCTACCTCACCTTCTGAATACGGTTAGTATAATACCCAGCCACCTACCTCACCTTCTGATATGTTGCAAGGAATACCCATCCCACCCTACCTCACCTTCGATATGTATAGTGTATAATACCCAGCCACCTACCCCACCTTCTGGATATGGTTGCATAATACCCAGCTACCTACCTCACCTCTGGACATGGGTTAGTATAATACCCTGTTTTGCTCAAGTTCCCCACCTTCTTGGATACCGTTAGTATAATACCAGCCACCTACCTCACCTTCTGATATGGTTAGTATAATAATACCCAGCCTACTCCTCACCTTCTGGATAATAATGTTGGTATACTACCCAGCCACCCACCTCAAATTCTTCTGATACGGTTAGTATAATACCCAGCTATCTGCTCACCTTCTGGATATGGTTAGTATAATACCCAGCCACCTACCTCCTTCCTTCATATGGTTAGTATAATACCCAGCCACCTACCTCACCTTCTGGATATGGTTAGTATAATACCCAGCCACCTACCTCACCTCTGGGTATCTAGTATAATACCCTTCTATCTCCTACCTTCTGATATGGTTAGTATAATACCCAGCCACCTACCTCACCTTCTTGATATGGTTAGTATAATACCCAGCCACCTACCTCACCTTCTGGATATGGTTAGTATAATACCCAGCCACCTACCTCACCTTCTGGATATGGTTAGTATAATACCCAGCCACCTACCTCACCTTCTGGATATGGTTAGTATAATACCCAGCTGTCTGCCTCACCTCCTGGATATGGTTAGTATAATACCCAGCCACCTACCTCACCTCCTGGATATGGTTAGTATAATACCCAGCTACCTACCTCACCTTCTGGATATGGTTAGTATAATACCCAGCCACCTACCTCACCTCCTGGATATGGTTAGTATAATACCCAGCTGTCTGCCTCACCTCCTGGATATGGTTAGTATAATACCCAGCCACCTACCTCACCTCCTGGATATGGTTAGTATAATACCCAGCTGTCTGCCTCACCTTCTGGATATGGTTAGTATAATACCCAGCCACCTACCTCACCTTCTGGATATGGTTAGTATAATACCCATCCACCTACCTCACCTTCTGGATATGGTTAGTATAATACCCAGCTATCTGCCTCACCTTCTGGATATGGTTAGTATAATACCCAGCCACCTACCTCACCTCCTGGATATGGTAGGTATAATACCCAGCCACCTACCTCACCCTCTGGATACGGTAAGTATAATACCCAGCTATCTGCCTCACCTTCTGGATACGGTTAGTATAATACCCAGCCACCTACCTCACCTTCTGGATATGGTAGGTATAATACCCAGCCACCTACCTCACCCTCTGGATACGGTAAGTATAATACCCAGCCACCTACCTCACCTTCTGGATATGGTTAATATATCACCCAGCCTCCTACCTCACCATCTGGATACAGTTAGTATAATACCCAGCCACCTACCTCACCTTCTGGATATGCTTAGTATAATACCCAGCTACCTACCTCACATGCAGGATATGCTTAGTATAATACCCAGCTACCTACCTACCTCACCCTCTGAATATGGTAAGTGTATTACCCAGCCACGTACCTCATCACCTCCTCTTCCTGGCTGCATAACGTGTATTGTTACAAATACTTATTTATCTATTGGTCAGCGCTGCAGACTATGCTGGTGCCCTACAAGTAATACAGGTAATAATATTAATTTAAATATTTAAATCATACAGTTTATGCATTTATTGATTCATTTAATAAAATTAGTTTTTATATTGTATTATATATTATATTATATGACAATAGAAATGAATTAAACATATAATATATTATGAATAATTACAAAACTGAGTCTGTGTCACAAGAAAAGCGGATGTAGCGGACCGGCAATATTAAATCCCACGAATTCCGCTGGTACATACAGTAATCCACAGTCAGCGCTGAAAAGCAAGGCAATCTCCCAGTAACCGGACGAAACACAGTTCTGAGAGTCAACTGAGGTCTTTATTTTCAGCTCCACAATTTATACAATTCCCCATGCAAGGGGTTTCCTGAGTCCCATCCCAGGGGCATTCCCAGAGTCGACTACATGGGGAACTTACTGTTCAAGGCATGTCTCCCATCAGGCACTGCTGCACGAGAGGGATACTCCCACAGGAACGTACCGTTAAGTGGATTATCCCTCCGTGCAGCAGAACCAACAATTTATATTAAAATGCATAACTTTTCGAATATGCGGTCTATTTGCACGAGTGGACGTTCGGTAGATAGCTGGGGTCTGAGCACATCATTCGTGAGATTACTGCTCAGATCCCAGCTAAAACAACCGAACGCCGCACGAAAAACACATTCATTAAAATACATGTTCAAAAGACCGATTATATTCTAGGGAACAAAATACCGAACGGCCCGGAACTCCCGAACGGCCTGGAAGTTCAGCGGTGTTCGCGCCGCCGAGTAGCCATTTTTAGTACCATGCGCTCGACGACCAAACACCGCGGAGGGAACAAAGGTTCCAAGATGGCCGACCGCCGCATGGTCGGTAGTCGAACGGCGGCCACCTAGGAGAGCCTCTAATTACCGATTGCAACATTGTTGCAATCGGTTAACAAGCGCCACACGCCTCTAAGTGTGTGGGCTATTACATGGGGGGGTTTTCGGTTCACAAACGGCCAGCAAAGGTGCCGTTCGTGAAACGAAATTCAATACAGCTATCTGCGTTCGGCTGATAGCCAATACAGGACATACAGGGTATTACAACCAGCATATATTATACATAGTTAAACACATATCCCACAACCATACATGCAACCCTTAAAGGCACAGTCTCTTTATATTGTCCAAGTGGCTAGGTTTGCCACAGCGGAGTTCATTCTCAGCAATAGAAACGTGAGCAATATGAGCTCACAGACCGTGAAGACAGAAGACGCGTAGGAACTTGGAGACTCTTAAGAGAGAGGGTTCGGTAAATATATCTGGCGGTTCTTTCTTTGTAATAAAATATGCAGCCAATATAAGAGCATCAGGTGCATGCTGGGATATTTTCTCAGTTTACGGTGCATAAAACAGGCAATATATGTCAAACACTACTACAAAAATACAAGGAAGACTGCGGGACACAATTAAAAATAAACTTTTCTGTATTTTATTGATTTAATTGAGAATTCCAGTAGACCATGAGATGTTATTTTTTAATCTCTCTGCATTGAGATATTTTGCGCATGTGTTCTCATTTGCTGTATTCGCTCTATCCTAGGCATTTCGACAGAGGAATCAATGACTGGCTTTGCAAGTAAGTAGCGATGGTCGTGTGGCTGGTTTCTGACTGTGTATACATTCTACACTAATCTTTAATATACTTTAATTCACTAGAACCTGTCCAAGCTTATCTTTAACCCCTACATGATATTGTCGTTTTCCTTTTGTTAATCTCAGTGTCCCATGTACAGAGTCCGCCCAAGGCGGTGGTTTTCATATTTTACATAGTGGTTAGTTCTTCGAGTAACTCACCCAACGTCAATTTTTGTGTTGCGATCCTCCTATGTTTTTTTTCCCTGGACCTAGTTTTAGTTGAAGTGAGACCTTTCAAACAAGGCAGAATACAAAAATATTTGAAAAAAGCTATTTAAAAATGAATTTTGATGAAAGTCTCCCTGGAGTATTAAAAAATAGACAGTTGGGGTTTTTGTGACATCTTTTTGTTTTCTGTTAGGTATGTCTATGACTACATTGGAGAAAAACATGATAACATTAAGAAGGAGCTGGTGGCCACTATAGCCACGTTCACAGTTACCACCTTGTGGCTCGGTCCGTGCAAAATTGTTTACATCTGGTCTGTCTTCAATTGCTTTGGTCTCAACTTTGAACTTTGGGTACAAAAATTCTTCGAGCTGGAGACATTTGCTAAACTCGAGGTTCGTAAGAGGCGTTATTTTTTATATGACAAGACTGATAAGAATTAAAGGGGAACTGTCACTGCCATGCATATTCATTATGTTTACATATCCCTTAGATATAATGAATATCTGTTTGTGAGATGTGATAAAATAAAACTAAATGTAGAAATTCATATTGTGCGTCTGGGCGCCTCCATTTTAGCTCCCCCTTAGACACTGTTATAAGCTCTGTCCTGTGCACTTGGCAGTCAGCATAGAGAGCAGACATGTAACGATGTTTCTCCTCGTTTGCAAGGTTTACCCTGGCTTTGCCAGGACTGTACTGGATTATGATGTAATTTGCTAAATAATATAAATGAAAAATATAATGGAGATTAAATATAATATAATCTCGTGAAAAAAAGGTAACACAAGTTATAGGTGATTTCCAATGTTTTATTTGTTGGTGAACATTCCAGAGAAATGACAGTTCCTCTTTAAACTTTAATTTAAAACTTCCATCCTCTTTGTACTATCTTTCTTATTCAAAACATCATTAAAGGTTCTATTTATTAAAAAATAATACTAACACATTTGAATACTGGCTGCAATTTGGTAGTTTGTAAAGTGTTACTCCAACCAAAAACGATGTTTTAATAAAATATTAATTTGAATAAAATATTAACGCAGTATGTCCCCATTAACAGATAACACATCATTTTATCGGTTCCATAAAGCCAAACCTGGCTAAAAATTTTGGAATCTTGTGTCACCTTCTTGTTAGATTACAAACTCCACATTCCAGGAGAAATGCTGGAAACATGTTCCTCTCGATGAAATACTCTACGGTACCCAGATGTTTAGTTGTCATTTCTACAGAGAAACTGATCTACGGAGTTTGAAATAAGGGAAAGGCGATGTCATGAATGGGAGTGGGAGAGAGTATCCATTCATTCTTTGCAGTTGTACCGTATTAGCACAATGTATAGACTGATCGATGCTATTATTGAAATGAAATGCTCATAGCGTTCGTAGAACACTATAATTGTATTTATTTTACTAAAACATAGCTTTGTAGTCAAAAAGTGAATGTAACTCTGTAACCAGTGGAACAAAATTACACATTGTTATCTTGAATATCCCATTCCCTTTTTTAGGCGAGGTTGCCTGAGTCCATGTCTAGAAGAATCCGAGGAGTTTTCGGTGCAGCTAATTTTTGGGCCATTATTTTATACAATGTATTATCCCTGAACAGTCCTGAGTTTGCTCTTTTGGTTTCTAAAAGACTTCTGCTGAAAGGTAACTGTGTGTAACATATTCCTCCTCACCTTGCGGTAATTGCACCCAGCGGCCGTGCGTCTGTAATACTGACTCTTGCAACATGTTGATGGACTTTTTATTTCTATTGTATTGTGGGGAAGTGGGGGAATTTTCACATGCATAATTGGGGGTTCTGAAAAAATAGCAATTGTGGGGCGAAGTTCTAAAGGTTCTCATATTGAACTGTTTCCCAGAGTTGCTGGTTATATACCTAACAGATGGGTGGAAAGGAAAAGTGGATCGTTAGAGGGTGTTTAACAGAGGATCGAAATGACACCAGAGTAGCCTAGTTTCATCTCTGGTTAGTCACATATGTGGATAACAAACTAAGTGGGAGGGGGGATTGTTGGATAGCTTGCCATCTTCATAACTTGATTGTTGAAGCTCAGAAATGCTGTCTGAATATAGAAGTATCCCAACACTTCTCTTTCTAGATGTTTATTATTTGTTACAATTGCTCTGGAATTAATTAAATTAATTTACAATGGTTTATTTCTTGTGGATTGATGGACTTTAGATGAATAGCTTTGACTTGTCTAACATCCATTAAAGTGTTGAAGATATTCATTGTCATGGTGGATGAGCGTTCTTATAATCACTGTTTAAATTAATACCAGGTTTTAAATTCCTTAAATGGGAGTAATCACGCACTCTAACCGTCATCATCAACCGCCACATCAGCATTTTCCTGCAATCTCATTATTTTTGGAGATGAGTTTGATTTGGCATGTTGCTCCATGCCATTGGCTGTCAATCAGATAGCCAGGTGATTATTATTATTATTTTTTTAGGAAGACCAGTTTTGCACAACTTGTGCACAACACCCGCACAACTTTGAACAGGCTGTCTCTGCTCCCAGGAGACAGATGACTACAGGCTAGAATTAAACTGAGCCAGAAAAAAGATGAATTGGCCACTTTATAAAAGATTAAAGGATTAAGTCTGTGTTTGGTTATGGTTCTTATAACAATATAAATTTGGCTCTTATTTTTTAATTATTTTTAAATATGGATGGAAAAAGCATCTTTAGGGTGGCTGAAATATTACATATCTTTTAACCATTATATCTTCTTCTAGGATTCCCAGAAAGCACATTTTCCATTTTGTTTGTGACTTACTGCGGCGTACAACTAATTAAGGAAAGGGAGCGCACCCTGGCCATAGAGGAAGAAAGGAGCGAGAAACTGAAGACATCCTAAACAAGATGGTCTACGATAGGGTTGTTCAACTCAGTCCCAGAGGATCCTAATCTGGACAGAATTTGACGATTTTCCAAACAACATGCTATCAAACTGTTAACTGCAAATCTCCATAAATCGTGGCTTCTCTTTGCCTGAACATCTCGTTCATAGGGACAATAAGTGGTGGTCCTTAGTAAAATAAAACTACTCCAAATCTAAACTTGACGTGACTTCTCAAAATGGGTGGAAGTGGCCAAGACTACGACGGTTTGTACGTAGAGCTGCGAGAGTTGTCAGAGCCACACATGTAGGTGTTTTGTCCAGACTCCTGCAAGTCCCTATTTGTATCTCAGTATAATTCTGTATATTCCTCTGGAATGATGACATATTGGTGGAACTTGATGACTGAAGTTTGAAACCCTGTATACAGAGATCAAAAAAAGCTGTTTTTCAATGAGTAGTCATAATGTGCAGACTGCTACAGGTCTAGCGAAATCTAGAGATTTGCTAATGTACAATTCAATTATATGTGCACTAGAAAACAGGATTAATAAATATTTTCTATAGGAACAATAACTGATGGCTATTGATATTGATCCATTCATAGTCAGTGCATTTTTATTGAGTGTGCTTTTCTGGAAACAAATCATGATGATTTGTGGATTGGATTTTCAACAAACTGTATGTGACTGAATGCTAGGAGTGAACTGGATTAATGGGACATGGTACAGGCAATTTATACACAGTCCCCCAGCAGGGGGTCTCCATACAGTTCAACACAAACTCCTCCCTGGCATCCCTGTGTCTGGGAAAAAAAAAACAGTCAAGTGGCCCATTGCACCACCAAATCAGTTCACCATCCCTGCCCACCTGGTTTTATAACGGATATTGATGTTATGCTAATCAGTAGCTCTTTGCCATTCCCGCTCCTTTACGGCTCTGACTTTCAATGTTGTTAGAGCGCAGGCTGAGAATCTCTGAGCCTGTGCTCTGACTCACTAAGTGAGCGCCGGAACCACGGCCGCCGGGCTCCTCTGTTGTCATGGCACCCTGCGTGACCGCACAGCGTGCACACCCCAACGGCTGGCCCTGCTGACACACACTGATGTTACTACTTAGAAATCCCTCAATATTAATACAGACATCAGAGTAAAACTGTGGAAACAGAGCTGATCCCACCCAAATTTATAAAGATTTGCTTACTGGATTTGTTGTAAGATTAAATCATGCCTCCTCCTCTCTCTCTCCCATGCGCTGCAGGCTGGGAGGAAGTGAAGAGTAATCACAATCTCCCAGCACAGCGGCACCTGTGGCTGCATGGGGAACAGCTGTATTTGCCGCCCCCCCATGTGACATCACAATGCCCCACCTATATGAGCTGCCATACGAACTAACGCCAGTGCTGCCTCAGTGTATGTTTACATTAAAAAGCCTGCAGGGACCGGCTATAGACACCAGAACCACTTCATTAAGCTCCAGTCGTTCTGGGGACTATAGTGTCCCTTTAATGTGAGGTAAATTATAGATTAGTGTCACTAATAATATACATTATTATATAATATACTAGATTGCCTACTTACAACCAAATGAGGATGATGATGGGCTGCAGTTTGGCTCCACTGGTCTGGTGTAGAACAGGCTCCCTGGAGGCTGTTTGTAACTGTGGTCACAAAATTCAATGTTCTGGGAGAATTGGAAGCAGCTCCATTTTTTGGGGGCCCCTTACACAGCTCAAGGTCTGGACCCCAGGGCCTGACGGTGAGTATGCCCACAAGGCCCACTCATAAGTCCACTTATATGTTCCACCCACCCATGAGTTCGCTCACAGGGAGTGGAGTGTGTAGGGGATGTGTTATGAGTTATTGTAGAGGATCTAATATGTGTGCTTATGGTATGTAGTGTATAGGGATAGCAGTTTGTGTTGGTGATGCAGTGTGTTAGTGTGTAGTGGAAGCAGTGTGTATTTGTGTATAAGGGATGTATTGTGTGTTTCTGGTTGTGTGTAAGGGATGCATTGCGTGAATCTGTGTTTGTATGCATAAGGGATGCAAGGTGTGTCTCTGAATGTGTGTGCATTGAGTGTGTGTAAGAGATGCATTGTGTTTCTGTGTGTATGTAAGAAAAGCAGTGTGTGTGTTTGCATATGTGTGTAAGGGTTTGCATTGTGTGTTTCTGTGTATGTGTGCAAAGGATGCATTGTCTTTGTGTGTAAGGGTTGCATTGTGTGTGTGTAATGGATGCATTGTGTTGTGTGTGTGTGTAAGGGAAGCATGTTGTGTTTCTGTGTGTGTAGGGGTGCATTGTGTGTTTCTGTCTATGTATAGGGATGCATTGTGTGTGTGTGTGTGCGCGTAGTGTGAAAGAGCTCCCTGTTTTGCCCCCTGTCCTATAGAGCTGTCCCTTCTGTCCCTTAGAGCTCTACCCTGCCCCTTAGTGGTCTCTCCTCTCCCCCACCCTCCCCTAGCGGTCTCTTCTCACACTCACCCACCCTCCCTGTGCTCTTCTCATCCCCCCCTCCACCCTCCATGTGTTCTTCTCACCTTCCCCCTCCCTGTGTTCTCCTCACCCCCCCTCCCTGTGTTCTTCTTACCCCCTCTCCTCCCTGTGTCCTCCTCATCTCCCCCCTACCTGTGTTCTTCTTACCCCCTCTCCTCCCGGTGTCCTCCTCACCTCCCCCCTCCCTGTGTTCTTCTCAGACCCCCTTCTCCTCATCTCCCTTCTCCTTGCCCTTACTCTCCCTCTCCTCCTTGTGTTCTTCTTACTCCCCTTGTTCTTCTTATTACCCCGTTTTCATAACCCGTTCTTCTTCTTACCCTTCTTCTTCTTCTTACTCCCCTCCTTCTGTTACTCCCCCCTCCTCCATCTGTTTACTCCCTCTCCTTGTTACTCCCCTTCCTTCTGTTACTCCCCCCTTCCTTCTGTTACCCCCATCCTTCTCTTACCCCCCTCCCTCCTTCAGTTACTCCCCCCCCCCTCCTCTGTAGTGTGGCCGAGCTCCTCTCCGGTCCACGTGGAGTTTCAGTTTTCTGTACCCGGTTGGACTGACAGGAATGGCACGCTACAGGGAAGGGAAGGGGAGAAGCAGCTGCAGCCGCCTGAGGCTCTTAACAGAGCGCTCAGGCGGCTGCAGCATTAGGACCGGCCCGCTGCGGCCGGTTTTAAAATTATTTAGGGCGGCCTGAGGGGCAATTGCCTTCCCGCCCCTGTATCCCATAAACCCTCACTGGTCAGGAGTTTACGGGATAAATTCAAGTTCCATAGAGCAGAATTAGTGCTCTACATGTGGCTGAGACACTGCTTTTTAGTAGGTTTAGTAGAGCTTACTGTAAAAGTTTGACACCCAGGACACGCAGTGACTTTAACTGTGGATACTGAATATCTTTTTTATATTATTCATTTTTGCTGCATATTTTAAAACATTATCTACATAACAGATTAAAAAGGAGGCTGGCGTTTTTTGTAGAAAAAGATCTTTATTACAATCAGACTTTGTGTTTCGTTTTTTATTGGAATATAATTTTGAAGAAATTGTTAAAGTAAAAAAAGGAGCTATATAGTTAACTGCCCTTTCTATCCTAGCATTAAAGGATCACTATAGTGTCAGGAAAACAAACTTAGCATCCGTAGGACCCCCCCATCCTTAGAGCCCCCTTCAGCCACTTACCTTAATCCAGCGCAGGGCTCCCTCAGCGCTGGTGACGTCTCCTCCCCGCCTACGTCAGCTCCTGAATGGAGCCGCGCACACATTCAAACAGTCCATAGGAAAGCATTTCTCAATTTCCCATCCAGCGTTGCAGAAGCGCCTCTAGCGGCTGTCAGGAAGACAGCCACTAGAGGTTGGATTAACCCTGCAATGTCTCTGAAACTGCTATGTTTGCATCTGAAGGATTAAAACCTGGGGGACCTGGCACCCAGACCACTTCATTGAGCTGAAGTCGTCTGTGTGACTATAGTGTCCCTTTAACTACTGATGCGTTTACACAAGCCGACTGTCCTCAGGTGGCCCTCAGCTGTCCATAAGAGGTAAACATTAAAAACCAAATCAAAAATAGTCTCTCTATTTACACTGTAACTGTAAAAAGGAACAGGTTTAAGATTAAAAAGTACAGCACAGCCACCATCCACCTGTAGGGGGAGACAAATAACCCAATATTGTCTATTGAAAACAGCAAATAAACACGTAAAGAGGGCTTTGTAAGGTTTTATTCGGTTTTATTTTATTTTAGTCAAGTTCTAAAGTAAAGGATCTATTTTATCAATTGCTCCTCTTTTTCCCGCTTTCTTCTTGGTGTCTTGCATTTCTGTTTTCCTAAGACTTATATCATCATTTTATTTTATTGGCTAAATATTGCTTTTTTTCCCCTGGCGTTTGGTTTAGACCCTCTGGTCCTCAGGCACAGGCTACCCATTATCTCGGAGGGAGGATTTTAAAAAATAATCAGATTGTGTTTTTCTGTAGTAAATTATGATAATTTCTCTCCAGTAATTGCATGAAATATTTAACTTTCCTTTAAACTCCTGCTCCCTGAGACCTCAGATTGATCTCAGCTGCCCAGAAGAATTAAACATTAAAAATGTGTATAAAACATCTCTACATTAACACAAAAACTGTAAAGGGACATGTTTGGAAAACAAAACAAAACAAAAAACAACCAAGGTTTGTATTATTCTAACCACAGCAGAGCCAACATCCACCTGTAGGGGGAGACAAAGAACCTATTACTGCCTCTAGTGAAAACATAAAACAAATGATTGATCCATATAGTGCCAAAAGTAGAAATTATTCAACCCTAACACTGACCTGACAACCTTTTGGCCTTTAAAAAGGGTTTTGTTGAACCTTGATGAAGGCCTTTTTAAAGTTGAAACATCTCCTGAGCTTCCAATGCCAGATCACCATTTTTTGGTGGGACAGGGATCGAAAGCGTTGCCAGGCAGGATGTGCAATTTGTTTCCTTCCAGACTGGAATCAATGAACTAATCATGATCGGTCATGGCGCCTCCTGAAATAAATAGTGATCTACAAACCGCACACCCACTTCTCAGCTGTCTCTGTCCATCGTGGACTGGGAATGGCTGGAGCCGGACTATAACTAGACTATTACCCCTGTCACCCACGCCACGCGATGGCATCACCAGATATCTAGTAACTTCCTTTGTGATACAGATCATCACACAGCAGTGCATGACGGACGCAGGAAAGCAGGTCCCTCTCCGGCACCTTCCAGGGGTTTCTAATGAGACACAGAAGATATCTGGAACATTCCGTCTGTGATCACAGTTTTAAAAAGAGGAATATTTGGTTTTTCGATATGGTAGTTACATTTCTTGCTGATAAAAACTAACGGTCGGGATAGGGAGAATTTGGTTAGGTTAAGGGGATGATTAGGGTTGGGGAAAGCTGGCTGACCGTAATAGGAGTTCCAGGCTAAAATCAGGTACTCCTAAGTTTCGGTACCCAAATTTCCAAATCCCCCATTAAGGATACTGATCGTTATAGGTGGCAATATAGTTGCGCTGCACTTTTTTCTAAGCGGAGACGTTATAGCGATACCAAAATAACTCTCTATTGTAAAGTTAAGATTTTTAGAGTGAACCCTTTGGATATTTATTTCACCAAGGTTTATATACCATAGATATAGAATATAAACACCATGTATATTGAGATGGAACATGGGAGAGCTATTTCCTACATTTCAAGGAGGATTTGGCAGTTTCTGAGCACGTTGGATGGTTTGGGGTGATTACAGTGCGGGCACATCATGCGATACCGTTAATCTCACTGTCATGTTCACGCTGACATAGAATTTGTCTATGAATACTTCATTCCAATGGCGAGTAACACGGAATGTGATATTCGAGCACACTCGTTCTCCCACAATGTGCTGGAGCTTTTACTAAGCAGCTAAATATAGACAACAGCTGCACATGCCAGGACCCTCAGCGGGCATTATTTATAGACCCTCAGTCATTGGCATTAGTTTTCCAGAACACTAAAGTCTGGTCAGATTATAAGGGAGAACAATCAGCACAAACAGTCCAGGTGTGCGAGCCAAGGAAAGGTCGTTTATGTAATAAAAGCCGCGTTCGCCATTTCTCTGTGCGTATAAACTTGTTACGTCTTATCCCTGCGTTTCCTTTGTTGTATGTAAAGCACAGCGGAACGTGAGAATCAATTCAGAAAAGAACACTAAAAATATAAACCAAGTGTAAAGGCCAATATTCACAAAATATTTTTTTGCACAGTTGCATTTAAAAGAAGAATATAAAAAAAGATTTTTGTGTTTTTTTTAATATAAATTATGCTGAATGAAAGAACTGCAATAACTTTATTTTCAACACTTTAGGCGCTTGCTATAAAAAATGGATACATACAAAGTCATTTTCTCAGAGCACAGTCGGATGGGTAGAGGGTAAAAATGTTCTATAAATTTTTCTCATTTTATAAGACGGGGAATCCACAGTTATTGATTAGAATGCCGTTCAAACTACTGTTCATTTAACACTCATCGAGCTTTCTCTTTGTTTCTTCAATCAACAGGAGGCCAGATTCTAAAAGTAATATAGTGAAAACACAGATACTAAATATTTTATAAACCTACTAATGGGATACTCCATTTGGGTAACGCACAACAATGTTACTGCAGCTCCTGCAAATGCATGGCCAAGAAACAGTAGAAGAGTCCATTCCCCGATCAGGACGTTACCTCCTATTCTGGTCCATGGGGTCTCATTTATCCCATAAATCTTTGTCTAGAAATGATTTATTGGAAATGTGATACAGGCCCAGACAGCAGTTCCATTCATGAGATCTGATGGGTGGAAATGTTAATTAAACAAGACTGCTCTCAGTTTATTGACAGCCCTGTTCATGGGGCAGTGAATACTGTTGCATGCATTCGCACAGCCGCAGTTCAGGCTCTCTCTTAAAACCAGTGAAGGGAGTCAGAGGCTGCAACGCTGCGTGCATGCACCATGCAAGTATTTGTGGAGTTATATAGGAAGCATAGCTTCTCCTACCGATGTATAGGAGAACGGGCAGTCTACTAACTGCAGTAATTTTGCAGCTTGCTGCAGCTATTGATAACTGTATTGTTAGATAAAAGTGACAAAAGACCTCGTCGCCCATAACCAGTGCAATATGAGCAAACATTCTTATGACGTTTGAAGAGTCCCTTTGATAAAAATCAGGGCTATAACAACCTACCGCTCCTATATGTCAGGCTTGTTTTATTAGAATTCAAAGTTTGTCTTGTTTACCTATTGTACAGCACTTCGGAATATGTTGGTGCTATCTAAATAATTGTAATTGTGCATTTTAGTCGGTTGAGCAGTATGAATCCTTGTGGGATTATTTTACCATCTTAATTCCACAATTATCACCAGTTCCAGTTTGGTTGGATGGTTCTGAGTTTGGGTCCTTGTCTTGCTGTCTTGGGTTGTCCGCTGTTGTCCTACGTCTGTTGACACCAAGTAAATGTCACCAGAAAGTGCAGCACGCGAGTATCATTTGATGCACAAGCAATGCTCAGAGTAAAGACAAACACTTGCAGAATAAAGGAAGGAGCCGTCCTTATGTTGGGGGAGTATGGCTGCTCTGTGCCTGAGAATTCAAGGCTGGGAGAGGGCTTGGGCAAGTGACATGACACCCTTTTCAGAAGGCCCCCCTACTTCTAATGTGTGTCTGTACAATTGTTGAGCAGCATTGATGCCCACTCCAATCCTCCATCCATAACATCCAATGCTGGAGGGTTTACAATATGCATGAAGCTTCTTCCAAAATAACAAACAAGATGAGTAAAAAGTGGAAATGTTCAGTATTGACATATAAAAAGTAACCACCGACTACCTCAGAAACATAGACCCAGCTCTAAAAGCAGAAATCCCTCACCTCTAGTTTCTTTTCAATTGATTTATTAGTCCCTCTCTCCCCCCCAAAAAAATACATGAAATAAATGGATTATTGAAATACATTGACTATTATGAAATTTCACTGAAATTCCAACGCAAATCAAAAGATTTCATAAGAAAAATTTATTTTCCCTGCACTTGGCAAAACATAACAAAAGGCAGAGCTACCGCGGTCAGATTTTGTCAGTTCTCACAGCTGCCATTAGTGAAGACATTAGTGATTCTGTGGTCTTGCGGGATCCTCCATGGACTTCAGTATTCTATGTTCTTGTGAGATAGGGGCTCCTGGCAGAGATGGAGATGGCAGCCACAAGGAACAGCTTCAGGTAAGTAAAACCTACCTTCCTCTGCACCCTTGGGCCACCGCACACCAAGTAGCCAGGTCACCATCCGGTGTCTTTACAAGAGATACCAAGACCCCAGAAGGTGACAGAGCCACTTTAAAATGTCCATCACAAAACTGATTAATGGTATGGTGTATATTGGTGCTATGGAAATGATAATAGTAAAATTAAAACACGTGATGTACTCTGACATTTGGACACATTGGTTACTGACAACTTCTGGGGAGGAATTTCAGGCGCACCTATAGGGAATGCGACCGGGCGGCCGCTCTTACACTCACTTCTGTACCCACATTCCTACCCATTTATATACCCTCACGTTCTTTTCTTTTCTGTTCATCCTCTGCTGTTTACTTTTCTGATCTATAAGGCAAAGTTGTAGAGGACAACAATGTTAATGACTCTGGAAGGGAAAAGACTCACAAGGGTACCTTTACCAAAATGGAATAGGTAACACTTAAATTTGGGATTAGGGTCGCCATGGGTTTTCCTATGCGCCCTCCTGCTAACCGTAGCCACTTCCTCTGTGAGTGACCCTCTCGAAAATCCCATCTTGCCAAGCCTACAAGATACCACACAAGGGTTTGAAAGGAGTGTCCCTATGGGGCCCAACAACAGGTTTCTTAAAATGACGAAGACGGAGAGGGGCTGGGAGATGGCATCCCCATGAGGGTAGCACTTTGGGAAAAATGACAATCACAGGGCATCAGACATTACCCTTCAAACGACAGAGGGGCTGGTTGATACTCATTCTTTGCCCCCTAGAGCGGTCCTTTCTAGGGGGCCAGTGCTAGACATTCACATTACAAGTTGAGATCTGCGTATCTCACATTATTCCTCAAGATTGTCGTTGATATTGTTATCTCTTCCTTGCGGAATGTAAATTTCAAGTTTAGAGACCAGCATGTCTCACCGCCTTTTTGTCTTCTATATTTTATTATTACTTTTATTTCTATGCTGTGGGACCTGCGAGTCCCTGATTTCCTTACTGGCATTCTTATACAAACATCTTCAAAAAATATATATTTAAAAAAAAAAATATTAAAACACACTTTTAAAAACACTCCACATGTTGTTTATTGCGTTTGAGATATTATTTAAATATATATACATTACTTCTGTGTATCAACCCTTGTGCCTTTGGCACAGAAACTCGAGAAATAATGTTTCTATCCCAGAGTTCCCAGCCTGACATGTGCAGTGCAGACAGACAATGGGTATCAGACTTCATACAGCATTTCTGTTGCCATCCTAAGCAATTGGCACTGTTTTAAACACAGCTTTTTCCTCGTAGCATAGGATGTGATCCAAAAGGACCAGTGACCAGAAACCAGTCATGGACTGCACAGTTTTGACCTTGAAGGTCTTATCAGCATGACACCAGTTCTGGTCTGAAAGTTGAAGCCTCTCTGAGAGCCTATACCTAGGTGTCATAAAGGTTATGGTGAAACCAAACAGAATGGTATATTTTTCGCACCTAACTAGATGTTTTCAGAGAGACTTTAACTTTCAGACCAGAATCAGCACTTTTATAATGAGACCCACAAGGTTGGAAAGCTGTGTGTAACACAGCGCCCATTGCTAAGAGCATCTATGGACATGCAGTATGAAGTCTGAAGCACGATGCCTGTCTTTGTTCATTTGCATGTGAAGCTGGGAAGTCTGGGATAGCTGTGGAAACATGAGTTCTCGCATTTCTTTAGCCAAGAAACGTGAGAAATTTATATACATACAAATTACTATTTTCGTTAAATCGCCTCAATAAACAAACTATTTTGGCTTTTACTCTATGTAAGAAATTTCTGTTTTTAAAATCTTGCTAATTTATGATATTTTGATTGTAAAACTGCTTTAGAGAACTATGAGCAAATATATAAATTGTGTTTCTTTTATGAAATTAAACCTGGCTTGAAACAAAATCTCTATCATATTAAAACATTCAAATTCCACAGTTTAATATCAATAAGAGATTGGAAAACAAAATCTGTTCTATTCTACGATCTGGTGATGATCATTCCATCGCCTCCGAGGTTAGTGCAGAAAATCTTTCAGTTATGGACTCATCTATTCGGAGGAACTAAACTAAATAATTTTGCCATGAAAAGTTGTAGATGTCATGTCGAGAAATGAGGCGTCAGATTAAGCTCACACTTTTCCACTGATGAGTCACGCTTGGACAGAGCCATGCTTAGTGATTCCAGGCTGCAAAGACAGCTGTCTCTTTTGGTCTTCCAATGTGTCACGTCTAAATGAGATCTTCTCGTAATGATTCCCTTGCTTTGTAATGTTGCTGCTATATATAAAAACCCCATACAGCTGTAAGGTCGTGTCAGCTGTACAAGCAGAATTTCTCAATGCTGGTTCGAATATCAGATTCTGCAGCAGGAAACCTCTCTCTGTCTCTTAGACTCCTTTTCTTTTTGAAGCAAGACATATAGGCCTCTGGTCCCTGGGCAAAGGAAGGAATAGAAAGGAAACAACGTAGCAAATATGGCGCTTTCGGTACAACAAGCTGAAGAGTTACGTCTCTATCAGCAAACTTTACTCCAAGATGGACTCAAAGATATGTTGGATCACAATAAGTTTATAGATTGTATTCTGAAGATAAAAGAAAAGGAGTTTCCCTGCCACAGGCTGGTGCTGTCAGCCTGCAGCCCTTACTTTAGGGCAATGTTCCTTTCAGACTTGGAGGAGAGTAAGAAAAAAGAAATTGAACTAGAAGATGTGGACCCAGAAGTCATGGGAAAAATTCTTAATTATATCTACACTTCTGAGATCGAAATCACAGAGACAAACGTGCAGGACATATTTTCGGTGGCCAATATGCTTCAGATCCCGTCGATATTTACAGTATGTGTTTCATTCCTCCAAAAAAAGCTGTGTCTCAGTAACTGCCTGGCTATATTTCGACTGGGTTTGATGCTGGACTGTGCTCGACTGGCTGTGTCTGCCCGGGATTTTTTGTGTGATCGTTTTAATTTAATCAGCAGAGATGAAGAGTTCTACCAGCTTGCTCCGGATGAGCTGATAGCAATTATCTCCAGCGACTCCCTGAATGTGGAAAAGGAAGAGGACGTGTTTGAGGTGGTCATGAAATGGGCCGCAAGGGACAAGGAGAAACGTATCAAAGCCCTACCAGTCATATTTGAAAGTATTCGCTTCCGTCTTATCTCCCCAGACTACTTAAAGAACAAGGTGGAAAAGAATGAGTTAGTCAAATCCAATATGGAACTCTTAAAAAAACTTGAGATGGTCAATGAAGCCCATAATGGAAAATTACCTGTCTTAAAAAAGAAGTCTTCAGCGAAAGAGGGAAAAGATGGGGAAACAGTAGTGAATGGAGATGTGGAAGAAGAGGAGGAAGAAGAATTGTTACCTGGGATTCTGAATGACACACTGCGGTTTGGAATGTTCTTAAGGGACCTTATATTCATGATAAGTGACACGGGAGCTGTAGCTTATGACCCCAGTGCAAACGAATGCTTCTTTGCCTCACTCTCAGCACAAATTCCCAAAAATCACATCAGTCTGGTAACCAAGGAAAACCAGATCTTTGTGGCCGGCGGACTTTACTATAATGAGGAAAATAAGGATGATCCCTTAAGCTCTTACTTCTTACAGGTACTGTGCGTGTTTTGTAGTCTCCTGGGGCAGATAGTCACGTGGGGGACATTTATCAAAGTGTTCTGTTCTAAAAAGTGGTCAAAAGTGGTAAAAGTTGGGCAATGGGGGTGCCCATGGGGGTGGCCAGTGTCAGGGCTGTTCTGAGAAATATTAGGTGACGTACTAATAACAATTTATGGAACTAAAATGTAATTTAGAACAAGAACAATGTATCTTATTTACACAGACTGATTTCTAAACACATTTAATGTAATTTAAAGACACATTACTGGGAGTATTATTACTGTGGAGCTCTGTTACACACTCAGACACATTACTGTGAGTATTATTGCTGTGGAGCTCTGTTACACACTCAGACACATTACTGGGAGTATTATCGCCGTGGAGCTCTGTTATACACTCAGACACATTACTGGGAGTATTATTACTGTGGAGCTCTGTTACACACTCAGACACATTACTGGGAGTATTATCGCCGTGGAGCTCTGTTATACACTCAGACACATTACTGGGAGTATTATTGCTGTGGGGCTCTGTTATACACTCAGACACATTACTGGGAGTATTATTGCTGTGGAGCTCTTTTATACACTCAGACACATTACTGGGAGTATTATTGCTGTGGAGCTCTGTTAAACACACAGACACATTACTGGGAGTATTATTGGTGTGGGGCTCTGTTATACACTCAGACACATTACTGGGAATATTATTGCTGTGGAGCTCTGTTATACACTCAGACACATTACTGGGAGTATTATTGCTGTGGAGCTCTGTTATACACTCAGACACATTACTGGGAGTATTATTGCTGTGGAGCTCTGTTATACACCCAGACACATTACTGGGAGTATTATTGCTGTGGAGCTCTGTTATACACCCAGACACATTACTGGGAGTATTATTGCTATGGAGCTCTGTTATACACTCAGACACATTACTTGGAGTATTATTGCTGTGGAGCTCTGTTATACACTCAGACACATTACTGGGAGTATTATTGCTGTGGAGCTCTGTTATACACTCAGACATATTACTGGGAGTATTATTGCTGTGGAGCTCTGTTATACACTCAGACACATTACTGGGAGTATTATTGCCGTGGGGCTCTGTAATACACTCAGACACATTACTGGGAGTATTATTGCTGTGGAGCTCTGTTATACACACAGACACATTACTAGGAGTATTATTGCTGTGGAGCTCTGTTATACACTCAGACACATTACTGGGAGTATTATTACTGTGGAGCTCTGTTATATACTCAGACACATTACTGGGAGTATTATTGCTGTGGGTTTAGCCCAAACCCTTCAGATGAGGTGGTCCATCAATTGATGCCCCAGTTGAGTGCTGAGAACCAAGAAGCACGGGACTACGAGTACCAACTGTGGAGTTTGGGGGTATTGACACCCCGTCTCCAGCGACAGAGTGAGTTACAGGGAGAGGAGAGCAGCGACCTCCCTTCCCAGCGGCAGTGCACCGTACAGAGGGAAGAGACAACTGGTCTCTCTCCCCAGCGGCGGCCTAAGTTCCAGGAGGAGGTGATGGTAGATCCCTCCCCCGTACAGCAACCAGCGTCTTGGGGAGGGGAGGCTACCATCCTCCCTCTCCAACAGCAGCTGGAGGTGGGCGACCTCATAGACTTGTCCTGGGGACACACAGAAATGGCCAGCGGAGATGGGACCGAAGTCTCTCTGCTGGCCCTACAGGGATGCTGGGCAGTCAGCCCAGGTCCCCAGCGGCAGTATAATATACAGGGAGAGGAGACAACTGGTCTCTCTCCCCAGCGGCGGCCTGAGTTCCAGGAGGAGGTGATGGTCGATCCCTCCACCTTACAGCAACCAGCCTCCCCCTCCAACAGCAGCCAGAGATACCGGGAGAGGGGGAAGACAAACCTAACCACACTGGCGCAGATGGGACCGCGGTCTCTGTGCCAGTCCTTCAGGGAGTCTGGACGGGCGGTCCAGATACCCAACTAACCCCGCAGGGATGCCAGGAGGAGGAGGTAAGCGAAACTTCCCCTCCCCAGCTACATCCCAACCGGGTCCTGGGGGCAGTGGATGAGCCTGCGATAAGAGGTGGCTGGCATCTGGGCAGAAGAAGAGCTGGCAGCTGGGCAGAGCTCTGTTAGCCTCTGCCCCCACTTTTCCCCTGTATCAGAGCCTGACTTACCACGGGTTACCCCAGTGGAAGAGCTGGCAGCAGGGCAGAGCGCCGCTGGCCTCTGCCCCCCAACCAACACCAGCAGTTTGCCGAGCTGCACCAGAGAGACCGAGAGTGCTGCGCTGTCCCACTTCAAACTTGAACCTACAGGCCAGTACCATTTATTGTGGGGGGGTTACTCTGCGTATTTTTCTTTGTGGGTGGGCTGCCCGACTCACCTAGGTACTGACCGGCAGAAGGTCAGGTACCTGTTTAGTCTTCCCCCCAAAGGGAAGATGTGTGACGAAGTGCCCTTCGCCACTTGTGCCTGGAGGGGACTACTGGCTAGCCTCCTGCCTTCCGACTGTGGCCCATGTGCTGATAGCGGTATTTTCCCCTGCAGAAAGGTTTATTTGTGTATTTCTGCTGGGGCGTTCTGGACTTTCAGTATGGTAGTAGTGCTACCCCAGATAGCTATGCCATGGAGCCTATTTGTGTAACAAAAGACTATGGAAAAGACTTTGGCTCCACGGCGATTGAATTGTATGTATGTGATCTGAGCGCCATTCAATAATAATGTGCACTCAGATCTAAGCTATCTGGGGATATTTTGCATGTATATGTTTTATGTAGTAATTGTAACATTGTGTAATTTTATGTATTTTTGTAACCATGTGGTTAATGGAGTCTTGCCTCTGTCTTGGGAGATAATTTGATTACTTCCCAATTATCTCCAGGATAGAGAGGAGGGATTGTGATGTCACTGTGGGAGTGTTTTATTTGTATTGTCTGTGATTGGTTATACTAGGTCCCACCCTGTGGGATGTCCCCTTGCATGGGGACTTGCATAAAAGCCAGTGTGTGGTCATTAAAACCAGATCATCTTGTGCCATAAATTACAATGGGGGGACCTACTGTCCTCCCCCCCCGGCCCCCACCCTTGAGCGGTGAGTGGGGCCATGAAGATAATGGGGGGGGGGCTACTGTCCTCCCCCCGGCTCCCACCCCAAATTACAATGGGGGGGACCTACTGTCCTCCACCCCCGACCCCCCATGTCTTCCAAAGAACGCTGTGTAAAATGACAAAGAGCACTCTGATTGGCTTAAACCCACCAATGAGAGTGCTCTGAGCCTAATTGCAGGGTGGGGGAAGGCTTTATAAGCCTTCCCCCGCCCTGCAGAGCTCAGTCTGCGCGGAGCCCTCCATGGGTGAAGATGGAATTTTTTTTTTCGTCAGGTTTTTTCTTTTATTTTAAGTTCGACGGGTATGATGATTTTTTATTTGGCCTTTTTTGGGGCTGAAAAATGAAGATTTTAGAAAAAAGAAGACGTCAAATGGTAAGTTAAATTTTTCTTTACAGGTTAGTTATTTTATTCCCCCCTTACTATTTTTTTTAGGGTGAGGGGGGTAGGTAGGGGGTAACTTTCTATTTGGGGGGGTGGGGGGGTGGGTGACTAGGGGCTTGGGGACCCATAGTCACCTTTGATGGGGGGGGATTTGTCTTAGGCCCCCACCCGCCTGCCAGGGGTGGGGGCCGGGGGGGGGGAGATCACTAGTTCCCCCCCCTCATTATCTTTATGACACCCACCCACCGCTCAAGGGTGGGGGCCGGAGGGGAGAACAGTAGGTCCCCCCCATTGTAATTTATGGCCCCCATGGGGCCTGGGGGGCCTCATTATCTTTATGGCCCCCACCCACCACCCATGGGTGGGGGACGGGGGGGAAGGACAGTAGGTCCCCCCCTCATTATCTTTATGGCCCCCACCTACCGCACAGGGGTGGGGGCCAGGGGGAGGACAGTAGGTTCCCCCCCCCCATTATCTTTATGGACCCCACCCATCGCACAGGGATGGGGGGCAATAGTTTTTTTTTTTTTTACAGTGAGCAGTATAGCGAGTAGGGGCATAATTTACTAATACTAAGTAATCTTTACTTAGTATTAGTAAATGTGGCTGAAAGACCGTGGGAATTAGGGAGTTATCTACTAAGCGGCTGCAAGATGCAGCCGCGGCAATGAATAGGATTGGAGTTTCATTCATTCGAATGAAATTCCGATACGAACAAAGTCCCAAATTGCGTTCTAACACGAATGGAGAAACTGTTAGAAGGCAATTTGGCAGTTTTTCCGGCGTCAGGAAGCATCGCGGGAACAGGGAGGAAAGCTAAGGATTGTGGGAAAATTGCTGTGACCACCAGAAACGAAGCACACTTTGCTCCTCTGCTCATCACCGCTGGTCACGGCGTAGGAAACCTCCATAAGAGAAACAGTCCCTACTTTTTCTTAAAGAACCACTATAGTGCCAGGAAAACACAGATCCTGAGAGAGGGAGAGAAGAGGAATCGATTGGGGAAAGGTAAGTTCGGCATGACAGTGCCACTTTAAGGCTAAAGCCTTGGGTGTGTCTGGAACACCAGCGCCCATGGATAAAATACTTTGTACAGCGCTACAGAATTTGCTGGTGCTATATAAATAATAAAATAATAATAACACACATCAAACAGAATTCACACACAACATACATCTGTATCACATACATTCTACAAGACTAAAACGCTACACATGCAGTACGCCAGCCACACACATGTGTGTTTGTAAGGTATGCATTGTGTGTTTCTGTGTGAGTGTAGTATGCATTGTGTGTTTCTGTACATTCTGTATGTGTGTAGTGTGAAAAAAAGGGTTTGTGGGGTAGGATAGGGGCTCAGAGGGGAGCAGCTCTTTATTTTTATTATATTTATTTATATTTAATTTTACAGGAGTCCCTGTAATAAAACCAGCTAGCAGGAAGGGGCCCCTGTAATAAAACCAGCTAATAGGAAGGGGTCCCTGTAAAAAAAACAGCTAATAGGAAGGGGCCTCTGTAATAAAACCAGCTAATAGGAAGGGGCCCCTGTAATAAAACCAACGAATAGGAAGGGGCCCCTGTAATAAAACCAGCTAATAGGAAGGGGCCCCTGTAATAAAACCAACTAATAGGAAGGGGCCCCTGTAATAAAACCAACTAATAGGAAGGGGTCCCTGTAATAAAACCAACTAATAGGAAGGGGCCCCTGTAACAAAACCAGCTAATAGGAAGGGGCCCCTGTAATAAAACCAGCGAATAGGAAGGGGCCCCTGTAATAAAACCAACTAATAGGAAGGGGCTCCTGTAATAAAACCAACTAATAGGAAGGGGCCCCTGTAATAAAACCAGCTAATAGGAAGGGGTGCCTGTAATAAAACCAGCTAATAGGAAGGGGCCCCTGTAATAAAACCAACTAATAGGAAGGGGCCCCTGTAATAAAACCAACTAATAGGAAGGGGTCCCTGTAATAAAACCAACTAATAGGAAGGGGCCCCTGTAACAAAACCAACTAATAGGAAGGGGCCCCTGTAATAAAACCAACTAATAGGAAGGGGCCCCTGTAATAAAATCAGCTAATAGGAAGGGGTCCCTGTAATAAAACCAGCTAACAGGAAGGGGCCTCTGTAATAAAACCAACTAATAGGAAGGGGCCCCTGTAATAAAACCAACTAATAGGAAGGGGCCCCTGTAATAAAGTCAACTAATAGGAAGGGGCCCCTGTAATAAAACCAACTAATAGGAAGGGGCCCCTGTAATAAAGTCAGCTAATAGGAAGGGGCCCCTGTAATAAAACCAGCTAATAGGAAGGGGCCCCTGTAATAAAACCAGCTAATAGGAGGGGCCCCTGTAATAAAACCAACTAATAGGAAGGGGCCCCTGTAATAAAGTCAGCTAATAGGAAGGGGCCCCTGTAATAAAGTCAGCTAATAGGAAGGGGCCCCTGTAATAAAACCAACTAATAGGAAGGGGCCCCTGTAAAAAAAACAGCTAATAGAAAGGGGCCCCTGTAATAAAGTCAGCTAATAGGAAGGGGCCCCTGTAATAAAACCAGCTAATAGGAAGGGGCCCCTGTAATAAAGCCAGCTAACAGGAAGGGGCCCCTGTAATAAAACCAGCTAATAGGAAGGGGACCCTGTAATAAAGCCAGCTAACAGGAAGGGGCCCCTGTAATAAAGTCAGCTAATAGGAAGGGGGCCCTTTAGTAAAACTAGGTGACAAGAAGGGGCCTCTGTAGTGTTTTAGTAGTGTTTACGCCGGTGAGTGATTTCCAAATATTTAAAATAAGTAGCCAATCAGGAGGAGATATCAAGTGCTCAGGTGCATGCTGGGAAATATCATGATTTCATATCAATAAAATGATTAAAATATCTCAAATGCTGAAAATAATTCTTAAAGGATCAATACCAAATTTAGAAAATATTTTATACTTAAGTGAAAATTCAAGGTGAATTCAAAATGAATTTCATATTTAAGGTAAAAAAGCCAAACAGGGAAAATCCCATAAGTCAGCTATGATTTCAGTTCAAATACCCTTGCCTTAAGTTTGCAATTCCCTTAGAATTCTCACCTTAGTAAATCCCTGATAGTCTACTTTACGTTAACATGGATTTTCTATCTTGCAGTTTGACCACCTGGACTCGGATTGGTTGGGTATGCCCCCCGTTCCATCTGCTCGGTGCCTGTTTGGCCTGGGAGAATCAGAGAACTCTATCTATCTGATTGGGGGCAAAGAATTAAAAGAAGGGGAACAGATATTGGACTCCGTCTTGTGCTACGACCGCCCGTAAGTTTAATAATAAAACATGCTATTAGTCACATGTTTGGTCAACATTTGTATCTATGTGGACGCTTAGTGATAACCAACATTAATTAGCCAAGAATATATTTTAGAATTCCTGACAATCCCCATGACAGATAGCCTTATCTGTATAGAAACCCATAAGGATTTTTTTTTCTGTGTGTGTAAATGATCACTATAAGCACCATGACCACTTCAGTGATTTGAAATGGTCATGGGGTTATGAATCTGTGTGTGCAAAATTCCTGCTTAAAACACTGTATGCGCAGAGATATAATCACTTTTTTGCAGGAGCTAGTTACCCCCAGAACATGAGAGGTAGGCAGCCCATAACTGTGCTCCAGACTGCGTAATATCAACTCTGTGCAAAAATGACGTCTGTTGTCAGTGTGCACCAAGTGTGCACATATTCTCCCTTGCCGGCGGTGCGCCTACAAGGGGAAGCTTGTTCTCCACCTGTGCACCACCACCTCCCCCCCTCCTCCATAGTTTACATTTTCTTTTTATTTAAACCCTCCTTCCCTCTCTCCCCTTGATGGCTTAAAGCGCATGGATCCAGTTGGAGCCAGTAGCGTAGTGTAAATTAAATAAATATATGTGTCCTAAAGGGTTAAGTTACTGTGATTTATAGATCTATAAAAAATCTTAAAAGACTTATGAATGTTTGGATTTGTTAAAGATCTGCTTTTGTTTTTCCAAATCTAGGTCATTTAAATGGGGGGAGTCGGACCCTCTGCCTTACCAAGTCTATGGACACACTGTGGTATCACACAATAACTTAGTCTATGTTTTGGGTGGAAAAGGAATCGACAAGTAAGTAAAACTGGGTAAAATAATGTCAAATAAAATTATTTAAAGCGTGGAGGGGAGTTACAATCAATTTAATGATGTGATAAAGACTAACTATAAAGGAAGGTATGTACTAATAATGTGAAAAAAACACATAATAACTGCTACTATTACTGTGTAATGATTAATCAAATACTAAACTGTTACTAAATGTTATAACTGAAAACTATACGAATAAATTAGAACTATTTTAGCTCATGTTAAAAATGCACAATATCACGTTCATTTAAGATGTACATTTCTTAATTAGGGCTTGTGGTCGGTCTAGTTCGGTAGTTTTAAAACCGAACAAACTACCAAACATAGTCAATGTTCTTACCCTGGAACTTGTTCCCCTTGTTCGTGGGAACGTTTACACCGAACAGTGTCTTTCTAAGTTTTGTAGAACCGAACACAAGCGATCATGGAAGTCCAGCGGTGTTCAGGAGTTTCAGTATCCAAAAATAGTTCCATGAACTCGACGACCAAACACCACTGCCTGCGTTCATGCGAACAAGATGGCCGCCACCTCGTGGTCGTCCATAGGAAATGCGGCCACCCAGATGAACACTTAGAACACTGTGGTGGAAATTGCTAAAAAGTATCAATTAGGCTTAACAAGCTCCAGGGTGGTCTCTGGTTTGTGCAGCTGTTCGGTTCCCGAACCATATAGTCCAAATACACGAACGGAGACTTTTATATTACTTTTTACAGGGTCCATAGTCTGTGGGCAGGAGGCTTGCAAGTAGGCTACTCCAGGAACTCGTGGCAAACTTACTTGAAAAGGGTAGTTTGTCACAGACACTGTTCTGAGACGCGTTTCACAGACACAGCTATTCTTTTTAACATTTACACACACAAGGTTATGCACCAAAGGGAGAACGGTCGGGAATTCAAAGTAAATTCTAATCTAAGGCCAAAGTAGTCAAACTGGAAGCATAGTCTGATTGGAGAATGTTTCCAGCTCAGCTATTTTGGCCTTTCATTTGTAATTCACTTGAAGTCCCAATAATTCTCGCTGTAGTGAATAAACCTGAAAGTCTAAAGTATAGCAAATCATTTATAGAGCAGTAAAGGGATCTAATCTCTTACGGTCGTAACTTTTTAAATTTATAAATTGGGTTTAAAATTCCAGATATCTTTTACGCAGACAGGTTTTCAGACAAATATACTGACTTCAGCTCTGTTACGTAGTGATGATGGTCATAGTTCGTCCATTGGTTCATAATACAAAGGCCAACCGTACTATTAGAATATTCATCGAATGAAATGAGATGCAGAAATATGTGCCATCAAGTCTGTTTATTTACTGTTGACAATTAAACATGGGACCTTGGTAAACACGATACACAATAGCAAGAATCCCAGCATCTGACGCAGGATTGGCACGATGCGGCACTTTTGGCTAAGTCCGGTTGCCTTGTATCTTTACTGACAGAGAATTGATGCAATGTTGGCTAAGCCCAGTTGTCTGGCGTCAGTATTGACACTGGAATGGAGCACAGCATTACAATGTGCACTAGATTCATGTCTGGAAATATGACAACAGGTCAAGGATGAGCTAGAAACACGTCTTCAAACCTTCTAGTCTGAAAAACAAGAGGATTCTCTGCTTTCCTCAGTGGAATCTATCGGCTCACAGTGAAATCCACAGCTTTCCTGCTCTTACTGTACAGAGCTCTTCCTGTCGCTGAAAGGGAAATTTTTATATTACGGACTGAAAATAACGTGAAACTAACATGACAGATTGTTATTTTGCCATATTTTGAGGGTACGTGGATTTTACAGTGCAATGAAATGAAACTCATGTGTCGAGGAAGCAGCAGTTTATACGAGCACCTCAGCACTGCAAGAATTAACTGGGAAATACGATCATTATAGTAACACAAAGCGTTTTGTTTCTCTGTAGAAAGTGCCTGAGCAGGGTTTGTGTGTATAACCCACAGAAGTTTGAGTGGAAAGATATCGCACCTATGAAGACTGCTCGTTCGCTATTTGGTGCCACGATTCACAAGGGGAAGATCTTTGTAGCCGCTGGCGTTACGGATACTGGTTTGACCAATACAATTGAAGCTTATGACATCAAGACCAATAAGTGAGTAACTCCTATTTAATCAGTAGAAGTCTTTATAAATAGATCACCTGCACACATGGGCATCCGCAGGAATTTTTCCGGGACATCATCCATGCTTGGCCCCTTTTTGACACATTTGTATTACTGACACTATAGTGTTCCTTTAAGAAAATTAAAGGAACATTCTGGTCACCATAACAACTTCATCTAAATGAAAATGCTATGATGCCAGGAAGCCCCTGGGCGCTCACTTTCCTTTAAGAGGTTAAATCGCTCTCAAATGGTTTAACCCCAAAGGCTTCTTCCAGGTCCAGATCTCCAGGTCACTCAGTGGTATTCGGCTTCTGAAACGGAGTGTCAGGAAGTGCAGATTGACGTCAGGCATGGGTGCTGCTAATTGGCTTGAGTGGTCAGTTGATGCTCTAAGCCAATCGCTAGTTCCCGGTTCATAAAAATGCTCTGTTGCCAGCACTCTGTGCTTCCTGACACTCAGTAAATAAAAGTGAACACATTAACACTGATATTTTTTTTTTACCTGGGGAGATGAGAAGGTCCAGAGTTTCTCTGCCAGGCCCAGGTACCAAAGCCTTATGATGTGGTGTCCAGAATAAAGTGGAGGTTCACTTCATTTGTCCTTCCTGCTCCAATCTCCTTTTCTTCTCATTCATTTGACAGTCTTCTTTTTCTTCTGACACTGTTTTCTATCCTCCTTGGCTCCTTCTGCTCCTTTACCGTTCTGCTACTTTCTGCTTATTTTGCTCCCCCCCTTCTGCTCCTTTCTCTTTCTGATCCCTTTCTGCTCCTTGCAGACCCTTTTCTGCTCCTTCTCCTACTTTACATTTGTGCTCCTTCTGATTCTTTCTGCTCATTTACCTTTGTGCTCCTTCTGCCCCTTCCAGCTCATTGCTGACCCTTTGTGCTGCTTTCTGTTCCTTCTCCTATTTTACCTTTGTGCTCCTTTGGTTCCTTCCTGCTCCTTGCTGGCACTTTCTGCTCCTTCTACTTTACCTTTGTGCTGTTTTACCTTCCAGCTCCTTGCTGACCTTTCCTGCCCCTTGCTGCTCATTTCTGTTCCTTTGTACTCCTTCTCCTACTTTACCTTTTGTGCTCCAGCTTCCTATCAGTCTCTCTCCATACACAGCACCACTTACTGGCGCCGGTATTGCAGTTCATTTTAAATCTCACACGAAAAATAGCAGAACAAGCTGAAAAATACAGAGGGGAGGGTAGTGCTATGGATGTTAGGCAACGGATCATAGAATACATACACAGCCAGGGTTATTCAGTCTAAGCACCAAAAGAACTATAGTTCAATGAAGCAGTTTTGGTGTACAGATTATGCCCCTGCAGTCTCACTGCTCAATTGTCTGGCATTTAGGAATTAAATTACATTTGTTTCTGTTTATGCAGCCCTAACCTCCCCTGGCTGTGACTCTCACAGCCTGCATGAAAAAAATAATTTCATTTTCAAACAGATGTAACAGCATAGGGTGTATGCTTGAGAGGTATTTGTCTCCTGCTCTGTTACTTAAACTTTAATCGCACACAGGGGGTTCATGCAGGATATTAAAAGAGCAGGCGATAGGAAATTCTAAATTAAACAGACTGTGCCACAAAGGAAATTTAGACATTAGATTTCTCTACAGGAAGTGTTAAGGAAAACGGTGAAAGTCACATGCAAGGGGGGCATGACTAGGGCTGTATAAATAAAGTGATTTAACTCCTGAATGACAGAGAATAAGCAGTGAGACTGAAGGGGCATTATCTATACACCACAACCACTTCATTAAGCTAGAGTTGTTTTGGTGCTTACAGTGTCCCTTTAAGGCCAAAATAAATAATAGTCAGAGAATGTGTTTAACTTGGCTATTTTGGCTTAATACTGTGATGAATTTAGTAAAAAAACAAAAACTAATAACTTAATACCACTGGTTCTTGAAACCTAGCTTGTGCCTAAAAATTTGATCCCTGTACTATTTCCAGCATGTCATCCTTCATTAGAACAGGCTTATCCTATATTGGGTCCCAGACACATGCCCACAATAAATGGGTCACTCAGCTGGTTCTACCCTTGAAGATTGGGTTGCTGAAAGATAAACAAAAATGAGATAATAGAAGACAAGACCTATTTAGTCTCCAGAAATAATGTAAATGTCCTTATTTTTAGGTGCGTTATTTTAACCCCCCAAAAAATTCATGGTAATTGGCAAAAGAATTGATTCTGAAAAATTTGGTTTGGACCAAATGCATGAAAAAATTGTTTGCACAGGTCTACCTAACGAGTTCTTTGGACTATAATCAGTCTTACAAGATCACATTTGGAAAGTCTACAGGAAAATTCCTGTTGGAATCCATAGAGCGTCAATAGGAACATGACTGAAGAAAACGTCAAGGAATCCTCTATAAATTCATTTATTCGACATCACGCTATTGTCAACTAGAAAGTGGTACCAAGTTGTTAAAGTTGATTAATCTAACGGAACGTTCCTATTGATTCCACTTGTTTCCATGGTGACTACTTGTACCACTTTTGACCTTGTACCACTTTTTGGATCAGAGCGCTTGGAAAATTCTTCCGCATCGATAACTGGTCACCATTAATGACATTCAGAGCCATCTAAATTCCCATTATTAAATTATTATTATTGCTATTTACACAGTGCCAACCTATTCCGCAGCACTTTACAATATTACGAAAGGGGAAAATTTAGCAATAAATGAACTGTTTACAAAATATTTCAGAAACAATAGTAAAATACACGATAAAAAAAAATAAAAGGTCATATTAGATGGTAATGATGTCTTTTCTCGATTTTCCAGGTGGGAAGATTTCACTGAGTTTGCGCAGGAACGCAGCTCTCTCAGTCTTGTCAGCATGGACGGGACACTCTACGCAATCGGAGGATTTGCAACACTGGAGACTGAAACACAAGAACTGGTACCAACAGAGCTCAACGACATTTGGAGGTGAGTCAATAATATAAGGCAGATAAAGGTCACAATTTTTTTTTTTTAAATAAACCACTTAACCCCTTAAGGACACATAAAATGTGTGACATGTCATGATTCCCTTTTATTCCAGAAGTTTGGTCCTTAAGGGGTTAAAGGGATTCTATAGAGATAAGAAAAACAAAGCTGTTTTCCTGGCACTTTAGGCTCCTGGAGTGTCCCCCTCCCACTTACCTGAATCCAGCACCGATGTCCCTCGGCGCTGGCTTAGGATCTGTCCAAACTCCTCCCCCGCCAACATCAGCCGGCAGGGGAGACCTAATGTGCATGCGTGGCAATGGCCGCTCGCACACAAGTCCTCCCCATTAGAAATTATTTAATGCTTTCCTATGTGAAAAATCTGACACTGGACGTCCAGCGTCAGATAACTGACCAAAAGTCAGGTTGGATTCCGGAAGCGCCCCCAGTGGCGGTCTGTTAAGACAGCCACAGAGGGCAGACTTAGAGCTGCAATGTAAACAGTGCAGTTCTCTGGAACGGCAATGTTTTACATTGCAGCACTAAGTGCAAAAGGGTCACAGCACCCACTGGGTGACTACAGTGTCCCATTAAAACAACTTTTTAACTGAGCAAAATCCTGGAAATCTTAGGTTTATAACCACCACAACTAAGCCAAACACTGTCCTATTGTGTACACGAGATCTTCACAAGCTGAAAAAGACACAAAAACTATAGCCTATTCTGTGTAGCGACCAAATATAATTAACAGTAAAACATGCTCATTTTATTTTAGTATAATGTAATGTGGGGGTGAGGTGAGAATGTCTCGCTTGAGAAGAAAATCCACTTCTGGGTACTGCACACACCTATTAAAACTAGACTGGCAACACACCTCTAAACCATCCTGCTTCTAAATACACCATGTAGTGGATGTGAGTCACCGGCTGGGGAGTTCGGCATTCTCACCGTGAGTTGGAGAGGGGGTATAAGCTCCAGTCATTGTGATTATACACAGCGCTCCCACAGCATTTATATAGATTTCCCATAATATAGCCTTATTGAAGACAACTGGCTTGGAGGATTTCCCCAGTCTGCCTACTTGTGGCCTAAATGTTTAAATTAACATCTCACCTGTTTGACTAATTCTGCATATAGCGGATTTCACAGTTTCCACTTTACAGGATTATTTACTAACGTGAGAACTCAAAGTGAATTCGAAATTCAAGGCCAGAGTAGCCGAACTAAAAGCATAGCTGACAGAAAATGTTTCTAATTCAGCTATTTGGGCCTTAAATTTAAAATGTACCTTGTATTCCGACTTTAGTGAGTAACCTGTATGTTCCCAGAACACAGTGAAAACACCATATCTTCCTCCACTGCTGCTGAGGTCAAACCAGACATTTAAATTCTGATTGCATATATATTTGAAAAGATTTTTTAAATGTTTGCTTTTTTTTTTAAAATCCCATTTCAGGTATAATGAAGAGGAGAAGAAATGGGAAGGCATCCTCAAAGAAATCCGATTTGCATCCGGAGCCACCTTCCTGGCTGCTCATTTGAATATTCTCAGATTAACAAAAATGTAGACAAGCCCAATCACACCATATGTTTTATGAAAGATCTAGACGCCGTGCGTAGAGTTAGTGCAGCCCGGTGAGACCTCGGCATTGGAGGAAGGGCATCGATATATTACACTATAAATGAAAAGGTCACCCACTCAAAGAGGCTTAAAGCCAATCTCCGTTAATCTAACAAGTGTCTTACAACGACCACAACACATGTACATCGGAAGTCACTGAGTAAACACAGTCTCTAAACCCACTGCAATGAGAGTAAGGGTAACCTTACCCTCCTAAAAAGAAACATCAAAACTTCTAGAAAGTTGGCTCACAGAACATTAAGTTATAATCTTCCCTGTATTTAAAAGTCAAATAGATGAAAAGTATTCTCCTTAAAGCAGAAGCGTGTCTCCGACGGCACCAGACGAGGCAGTGTTGGCATTGTAGAAGTGAAAGATCTACAGGTTTCAGAGTACTTCTTTTAACTTTTATTCAATAAAGTGAATTTTTGGGAATTCTAAGTGATTTTCAAATTTTACACCAGAATAGCCAGACTGAAAATAAATGGAGAATTATTCCAATTACGCTATTGTGGTATAAAACATAAAATGTATTTGAATTTTGAATTCTTTACATTTCACCCGGTAGCGAGATTCTGCTTTGACAACGATTTATGGCTCCCTAGTTTTTTTATTATAAAAGGTTTATTCTCCCATTTCTAAGAAATAGAATATTTTTATTGAACTTACGAGGAGTTTCCACGATCTATTTTCGGAGCTGTAACTCCAGTTCTGGCAAACAGGTGGCGCTCCAAGTATTGTGGAACAGCAGCTTTGAAGAAGTAAATCAAGAATAGTTTGAGAATAACCAGTTGGAACACTTAGATCTAAACTATACCTTCCATTGTATTCAGGGTAACTAAGCTGTCAAACCCATACCAGGCTAAAATAATTCAATTGCAAACACCAAAATTATACTATACACACTTTAAAAAAAAAAACAAAGTCCAATTTTGCTTTATACAACAAACGAAACCATCTTTTTTTATTGCACTATTGGAATTGCTAGGAAATGGAAGATCATTTTCACGTCTGTTAGCGCCACCTTGTGTATGGATGTGAAATGCAACCCCATATGCATGAGAATTAACTAAAATATAAATCATTTGCATACGAGGGCATGATGAATACAGAAACCAGTTACAATAAATATATTGGTAGAATACAATATAGATTGTTACATGTAATGCAAATAATCCAGCTCTTTCATCTCACAAGAGACTTTTCCTTTAATCGCTGGTTTTTTTTTTTTATATTATATATTTTTGAAGGTGAACATTTGTAGAATTTTGATAGATTTTTTTCTTCTAATACAAATAAAGATTGCAAGAGAAAAAAAAAGTAATTTCATCTTTCTGGAATTGTCTGGTTACATATATAGCAATTTTCATTTTTTTAAATATGGTCAATGGTCTTACTATTTTGCAAACATGTTTCTGACCAAAATGGTATCAACTGTCGCTTATGTGTGAATGAGTTTCACACAAGGTCTCATGTAGTTTCCATGGTGAGATTTAGGCAAATCAATTTCAAGAGAGGATTTAAGCACCGGCAACACCAGAGAAGATTTTACAGGTTTCTTTGGGGGGGGGGGGGAATCCCTTCAATGTGTAGTATGGCAGTATGTGAGGGTACACAGGGTACCATGGGTATTAGTTAAAGGACTGTGTAAGGAACCAGTACCGCTCAATGTAATGGTGCTATGAGTCTATCAATCCAAATTCTACCATAATAAGTGTGTGATGCACCAGAACTGTCCAAAATCCTGCAAAAGAGCTAATCACCCCTGGTCACATCCCCTCCTTAACAAGCCCATGTCATGCGCAGCACTTTTCTCACAGCTGCAAATGGTTCCAGAAACCTGGAACAGCCGCAATACCTCCAGCGTGACCAGGCGGTACTTGCATGGAACTCTAAGTCGGCCTGTTCCAGTGCGGCTGCCTGGTGAAATTAATGGCCGTTCTTACTCTCTCAAATTAACACATAGGAGAGCAATTTTTGGAGGGGAGGCAGAGGAGGGTCAAGGAATAATTACTACCCAAGATCCAAGGGGAGTCCCCCATTTCCATTAGGAAAACAGACTATTTCGGTGACCAGCACTTCGCCATGGCAGCCTGAAACTCCGCATCCGATTGACATGTAAACTTAGCTTGGTCAAACTTCATTCAACAATTTCTCATGCTAGGTACATCCCAGGCGGCCGCTTTTTAGAGACTTTGTTTAGAGGAATGAGATGTACGATTTGTATGTCTAACTTATGTTTAAAGAAATATTTTATACGTTTATTTGGCTGCCTTGGTGTCTGGGGACCTAATAATTATTTTTTTTTTTAATTACCCTTTATACAGAGATATTTGGGGATGTTTTATTGCTTTTTTTTAAAAAAAAATCTAGATCGGTTTTAACGGAACCAAACAAAGAACAGGTTTTGAACTGTACCTTGGATGTGCCACCTTTAATTATTATTGCGATTGCTATTTATTTAAAAAGGTGTAACAGACCCATGAGTGGAGAGAATACAGAACCAGAAAATTCTGAATAAAATACAAAAACATTTCAACATTAGTGCCGGTGTGGTGCTTCGCTGACACAAGAGGAGCCTGGAAGTTAATAGCGATTTTGTTTTTACGAAGGTGTGCAAGAAATGGCTACAGCCAAATTGTATTCGGTCCAACATTTTGCAATTTGGTTTAGAAATGACACATTGCAGTTTTGTGAATAGAATATTTTAGCAATAATCATATTTCATCAACAGCCACTGGAAGAGAATTAGAGATTTCCAAATGCCGAGCCATTGTAAGGAGCAGATATTCCTGTAAGAAAGCACAGGTTAGACTGATTGCAAACTAATTGACCCTCGACACATCACACAAATCACAGAAAAAGCAGAAGAAAATGTTCAAATGTAGTTTTTATTTTGTCAAAGAATTTTATAGCTATTTAAAAAGGAAAGAACAAAATTATTATTATTTTTTTTTTGAGATTGGCAATAGGCAAGTGGTTTAAATTCTGAATCTCCACACACTTCGTCGTCTACAATTGTGCTCTGGACAAGAAATTTCTCACTAACAAATTCTACGACTACATTTTTTTGTTCTGCTATCTCTTCTAATTATGTCTTTCCACTTGAAAGCACTAGTAAAGACATTAAAACTGCAACGTTCAATAATACAGTGATACAGCAAAATGCTGTAAAATGTAAGCTTATGATATAGTGAAAAAGTTTCATATAGTAGGGAAATATTGACAATTTTTCTTTCCAACAATATCTAGTGTTGCTGAGATTATCCTATCTACAAAAGAAAGGAGAAGTTGAACGCTATACAGAGGTCACCTTTTTATTACCTCTTTCGCATCTACTCCCAGAATGCTTTGCATTCACTTATGTCAAGTTTCCTGGGACCAACTTCTAAACAATCGGAATAGGGCACAATGAACAATGGAGGGTTTTTAATCTGTACACAGTAGTTCCTTTGTAAGTGGACAAATGCTCATCCTTGGTATCTGTCTCTTGCCAGAGTGACTTGCACTAGTTACGGGGTACGTGCCAGTTGAAAAACAGGAAAAGACTAAATGCCGTCTTAACCTGAATGCTGTGGGAGGGTAACAATGCGAAATTTGTTTTGAAGAAAAGAGATTGAACATCAGAAGTTGGGCTAGTACACTTCATCACAACTGTCCAAAAGTCCATTGAACCATAGAAGAGCCCCAATCTCACCCAGTCCTTGGATGTCCTTTTAACGTTGAACAAAGCAGCATTGTCCAGCTCAGTGATATATTGTCATTAGAAAAAGATTGGAGAAAATGTCTAAACATCCTTTGGGTTGTTAGAAGCCATAAATAGTTTACAGAGTTTGACAGAGCAAAGCGAGGAGGAGGAGATGAGTTGGTATCATTTCTAAAGATAAACATTGCAAGATTTACATGGTAGAATTTAGGAGTTGGTCAACAAAACAAAAACAAAACAAGTCCACTTCAACCCAATGGACTCACTATTTACTGTAGTGCAATAATAAGTAGCTCCCTTCCACCAAAATTAAATCAACATACAAAATACCCCCCACCCCCCTCAATCTGTTTAAAGCAGTAAACTGTTCAAGATTTTGACAGAGAAAGGTGCAGGAAAAATGCAGTTTTATCGGATAGACTTGTACATGAATCCTGTTCAGCTGTGTTAATCGCTGGATGAACGAATGGATATGTTAGTCTAATGATTACAACGCACTGGACTCGTTTAGTGCAGCTGAACGGGAATTGTGCACAAATCTACTATCTGGTGCAGAGTTTGCATTATTCATACCTATAGCTACATTGACCATACTGTTTAAAATGATGGAGGTCTTTGTGGTGAGCAAAGAGATGCTCGGACAATTTTCTTTTGAGACACACACACACACACACTTATTAATCCTTCTTACAGCAAAGGTTATCTGGGAATAGAGAAATATAACACATTGCTCACCTCAACTTCCTATGTGTGACATCATACGGGAATACAGTACAAAACTTAGAAAGCAGCAGGTAGATGGGGCAAACTAGCTTCAATGTTGGAGACATTAATCCCCAATATAAAATGTATTAAAAACAATTGGTAAAAAAAAAAAAGCCACACATCGGTGCAATTTAAAGCCTTTCAAATAAGCAAAACACTTCCTAAAGTGCTTTGGATTAGGGAACAAGATTAATGATGAAGAGGCACAGGGAAGAAACGGCTACAAAAGCAAAAAACAGACACAGACCTTCCAGTCCTGAATGTTTGGATTAAAAATATAAAATTTGATATAATCTATATAAAAAAAATCAAGCTGTCAGTTTGCAATCATAAGAAAATCAAACAAGTAAAACATTGACCCTGCAAGATTAGCCCTTAAACGTGGAGGTTAGTCTTGGTGTATTGCAGATCGGATGCATGACTACATTCACCAGACATTCCAGCACACACAATTTATTTTACTCTAATGGTCATCACATGTGCTGACAGGTGGTATATAGCACTCATATGCTGCAGAAGGGAAATCAAGACAGTTATTTTAGGATGCCTTTGTTTCCTTCCTGTAACATTTGAATTCTACATACAGCAAGGCAGTACTTCATGCGATGTCCACTTACAAATGATCATATTGAAGAAAATCTATTGTCCCTTGCCATAGAAGAAATTAGGTAGATTTATACTCTGTACAACTGTAATAATGTACATTTGTAATGAAAAGAGGTATCGTATCAGCGAAGTAAAATTAATTTAATAAACTAGAAATTATAGAATGCTGTAGAAATAATCTTGTATAAGCTTTAACGTTGGGCTTGTACACAAAGCTTACACGCTTCTAAAGGAGCATTGTAAATACAGATACCTACTAAACTTGGTGCGCTAATTTCTAATCTTCAGATTGCTGAACAATTAGTATGCATAGCATTTATATTTAAATGTCTAGCAAGAAAGATGTAAAATGGAAAAATCAGCTAAGTTACACATTAGTTAGAAGTATTTAATTACAGATTCTCGCTTTTTTTTTAAAATTGACTCCTCATCAACAATTTATTTTAATTTAAAAAAAAAATGCTTTTGTCACATTTGCCATCTTTTCACATAGTTTGTAAATGAATGTACCAGACTCATCGCACAATGCCAGCTTATAGATCAAATATCAACGTAAATTATGAATTGGTTTCTGTCTGCTAAAACAAAACGCCATACACTATAACCTTAACTTACATTTTATTTTTATATATGAAGAGCTGAATCAGATGTGTTTGATAAAAACGATGCCCGATCTCTGTTTGTGGGAGAGTTCTTAAAAACCTAAATCACGAGGGTGCACACAAATTCCCGAAAGGTTGCAGTCCTCGGTAGAGTACATTGATCGACACATTGTCATGGAACGATTCACAGCAAAGAGACATCAAGAGGAATTCTTTTAAAATAACGTAGCACCCATATTCAAATAAATTCTCTTAACGGAGAATACATATTTACAAAAATGCAGGAGCCTGTAAGTTACTTTACCTAGGTTTCTTTTTTCCAATTTAAATTATTTTCTTCTTTAAACTAAAGTTAACGTTTTCATTTTAACCAATAACCTGGTCAGCTGCTGACTGACTGTCACAGATTATCTGATTATTTTCAAAGCCTATTGTATGACGATTTAATGGGGTTTGTACGTCAATAAAGTAACTATGGAGAATTGACAACGGAACTGCATTTTTTAAACAATTTAGGGAAGCTGGAGAAATGTTCCACTTCATCTATTTTGGCTCAGAATTTGTAATTTCCTTGGTATTTCTCTACAATCACCAGTCTAATGAGCAATTCAGGTGGGTCCTAATTAGGGATCAATTATTAAACTATCTCCAGGGAGTCAGCAGAATAGACAGAATTTCCAAATGACTCAAAGGAAGTTATAGCATAAACAGGACTACAAGAAAATGGTAAAACACATATTTTACACATTCGTGTATTTGGCAATAAAAAAACAAAACAAAAACAAAACCTGCATCTGCTGTTCTCATCTTCACCTTCTGAATGAACACACAGAGAGCATTGCATGTGAGTGCATGCAATGCACTCTGGGAGAAGACACAGTGCATTGTGCGAACTGTATACTGCTGTTAGAAGACAATATTAAGTAAATCTGTAGCGTAATCTCCAATTTTGCCATTTTGCAGCATAATGCGTAGATTAAAACACTATCCAAACATTCGCCAAAATTCTACCATCCACAACATGTGAAAAAAAAAAAAGCCCCTTCCCTTTATTTGTGGAAAGTTACAATGCAGTAGTCTGCAACAGAATAGAAAAAAGTCAAGGAACTATGTGAAAAGCATTTATAGGCGGTGGGAGGAGGGCAATCCATGGGCTACGAAGGTTGGCCATTACTGGCCCAGGCTAGGTGGAAATGGCATACAATCAGATGGTGATTTTATTGTCCTCTGCAACACATGCATTCCTCCATATACTGAGGGGCAGCTCTGTCACGCAGAGAAACAGAGCCAGAGTTGCCTAGAGACCATTTGAAATGTGAACTCGCTTTCTGTAAACATCCACCATTCTCCAACTGTTCCTCAATGAACGATACCAAATGACCCCCTCACCCCTCTCTTTGTACAGAATGCTTAGTAACATACAGGAAATAAAAATGCACGTGTGCGCACAATGCATGTTTTACCTTGTATGTGAACGCACACATGCATAAAGACATACATACATACACACTTTAAGATGAGCAAAAAAGCAGAGTGACAACATTAAAAAAATCTAATATGCACAAAAATAGAAAGCACAGTACTTAGCATTTTCTCCTTTTTTTCTACTTCAATATATCAAAGTTCTCGCTGCATGTAGAGGAGGGAACTAGCTCTGTGGGTGCAACAGAAATCACAAAGACTGTTCATTGTCCTGCTCTACCCCAAGCCTGAGACGGATGCTGAACTAGGAGAGGGAACAGAAATCACAAAACAACTGTGATTCCACAGCGTGGTCTGGAGGGGCACTTCGATATTCCAGGCCAGTCCAGGGGAGATCTAGTTGTTGTTGGAGTTAATGCGGCCTGCGGGGAAGAGGGGTGGGGGCGGAGGCAGATGGTGTCCTGGTGGTGGCATGCCAAGGGGTAGAGAGTGGAGCAAAGGCAGAGACAATGGGTGCTGTGGCAAGGTTGGGGAAAGGCCTGGGCTTGACTGACCAGGTGAATTGCCGCTCTGGGAGGAAGCAGAGAGGCTCGCGGCAGTGCCAGGGCTGCCGGGAGTTGGTGGATTGCCACCCTGGAAGCATTTTTCCCTGTGGGCCTTCAGCATGTTGGAAAAGCGGAATCGCTGGCCACACACGTTGCAAGGGTAGGGTTTCTCTCCGGTGTGCGTCCTGCGGTGGCGCTTCATATTAGGCCGACTGGTGAAACTCTTTCCACAGATCTCGCAGATGAATGGTTTCTCTCCTACAAGATTAGAAAGGACAGGGATGGGGCAGACACTGGTCACACGGAAGACTTGAACACAATACACACAGTCGCATCCTGGGGGATGCTTGTGTTTGCCTGGAGTGGAACACCCCATCGCACAAAGCTTATATTACAAAGGGAAATTTTCATGCATTATATAATGTTTTTAAACCCACAATCAAATTCATGGACTTTTTTTTTTTTGGCAGTCCCCTTTCACACCCAAACTCCTGGACAGCATGGCCAGGGTACATAATTTAAGTGGGAATCCTCCTTTGTTTGAACAAGGGATCCCCCAAAGAATGTAACAATCTCAGAAGGCCCACTGAGTAGTAAATACAAGACCGGATTAGCCTGGTTGGGTTTTTGTTTGATGAAAATTTCCCTTTACATGATAACATCCTTTGCTACACATACTCCACCTCACCAGAAAAAATAAATAAATTTAATTAAAAAAAATAAAATAAATAATAATAAAAAAAAAAAAATAAAAAAAAATAAAAAAATCTGGAAAATGTGTAAGAGCAGTGTAATCCCAAACAGCACTGAAGGTATTGGCTGGAACAAAATAACATTATATATTTAAAAACAAACTTTGAGAGCTCCAATAAACACTAAACACACAACATTTATACTGGCCTCAGACATCGCAGAGCTTATTACCACAAAACCAAGCAGTCTATTTATAAATGGGAGCGTTCCTGCTGGGTGAGAGAGAGACACGCACACACACGCGCGCATGCTTTCTCTGCCCAGTACCTTAACCTTCTCAACAAGGAAATGGCTGAGAGATCACTGCTAATCCTTGGCATCCCACTGCTATCAGAAAACCCTGTAATATGTCAAATAAGTGAGGAATGCTGGCATTACGGACAGTCACTGGCTTACTGTGATATGCAAGAGCCGATTTCATTCATTTAATCCCATAACGAACTACAGACTATTCTTCGGGGTCTCACATTCAATCGTAAAATATTGTGTGTGGGTCTCCAGCTGGGAATCTGCGACTTGCTTTTGGAAGTGGGAGACAGATACAAACTATCTTTGCACATTGTGTTTCTATGAAGAAAGAAAGAATTTGGCTTAAGGCTAAAATAAATGTATGAAATAAACCCAATGTTTGGGGGCATTATACCCACACAGAGGATTACTTAAATTGATGTTCATTTGTAATAAAAGGGAAGGGTAAAAGGCCATTACACATCGACCGCCATCACAATCTACGAATGTCTGCAATACAAGCAGTACTGGAAAGGTTGATGTAATAAAATCAATGGTGAGAAAGGATGACTTCCTTAAAGGACCACTATAGTGCCAGGAAAACATACTCGTTTTCCTGGCACTATAGTGCCCTGAGGGTGCCCCCACCCTCAGGGACCCCCTCCCGCCCGGCTCTGGAAGGGGGAAAGGGGTAAAAACTTACCTTTTTCCAGCCGCGGAGAGCTCTCCTCCTCCCGCCTGGCCGGCTGAATGAAGACGCGTGCAGCGCTACAAGATTCAGTCTGTCACATAGGAAAGCATTTACAATGCTTTCCTATGGACGCTGAGCGGTTCACTCGTGAAAATCACAGTGAGTTATTAGAGCGCCTCTAGTGGCTGTCAATGAGACAGCCACTAGAGGCTTTGGGGGAAGGCTTAACCCATTCATAATTATAGCAGTTTCTCTGAAACTGCTATAATTATGACAAAATGGGTTAACCCTAGAAGGACCTGGCACCCAGACCACTTCATTAAGCTGAAGTGGTCTGGGTGCCTAGAGTGGTCCTTTAATTAAACCAAAAGGTAATTTCACCCCATGTTAACTCTCAAAACTAATTACATAGAGCAGACTATTCAACACTCAGAACATTACCTGCCTGCAAAGCTGGCTACATTAAAGAGAGCTCTGCAACTCATTTCATTCAGCCAGCCATTGGGTGACAAAGGCTTCTTTGACAAAAACAAAGAAAACCTGGCCATGTGGTAGGACACAGTTGTTGACGAATCACAACTCATTTCACTCTCAGACAGACTCCGTTGGGAGATCTAGTGCAGCCAGAGGTCAAATGTAATGGACAAGCCAATACTGTTCTTCAGCGCTGACAGGGTATACAAATGCAATATGGATGATGGCCTATAGATGGAGCCAGTGAGTATATTAAAAAACAAACAAAAAAAAGGCAGAATAGTGAGAATAAGCAGCAAAGGCTTCCCAACTAAAGCACTGCACAGGAGCAGAGTGAATTGAGAAGGTTTAAAATTAAGGATGAAGATGCCATTAACTTCTTCTCTGGTTCTTTCTGGCATCTGTAGATTTTAAGGCCAGAGGTGTGAAGCAGGAGAGCAAATTGGGCCATGAGCAGGAAGAGCAATTCTGGTGCCATGAGGGAGCAGGGAGGGAAAGTTGGGAAAGGCAGGGGCCGGGAGGGAAAGGCAAGGGCCACGAGGGAGCAGGGAGGGAAAGGCAAGAGCCGCGAGGGAGCAGGGAGGGAAAGGCGGGGGACGCAGGGAGGGAAAGTTGGAAAAGGCAGGGGACGTGTGGGAGGGAAAGTTGGGAAAGGCAGGGGTCGTGAGGGAGCAGGGAGGGAAAGTTGGGAAAGGCAGGGGCCGTGGGGGAGCAGGGAGGGAAAGTTGGGAAAGGCAGGGGGAGCAGGGAGGGAAAGTTGGGAAAGGCAAGGGCCGCGAGGGAGCAGGGAGGGAAAGGCAAGGGCCGCGAGGGAGCAGGGAGGGAAAGGCAAGAGCCGCGAGGGAGCAGGGAGGGAAAGGCAAGAGCCGCGAGGGAGCAGGGAGGGAAAGGCAAGAGCCGCGAGGGAGCAGGGAGGGAAAGGCAAGAGCCGCGAGGGAGCAGGGAGGGAAAGGCAAGAGCCGCGAGGGAGCAGGGAGGGAAAGGCAAGAGCCGCGAGGGAGCAGGGAGGGAAAGGCAAGAGCGGCGAGGGAGCAGGGAGGGAAAGGCGGGAGCCGCGAGGGAGCAGGGAGGGAAAGGCAAGGGCCAGCAGGAGGGAAAGGCAAGGGCCGCAGGGAGGGAAAGGCAAGGGCCGCGAGGGAGCAGGGAGGGAAAGGCAAGAGCCGCGAGGGAGCAGGGAGGGAAAGGCAAGAGCCGCGAGGGAGCAGGGAGGGAAAGGCAAGAGCCGCGAGGGAGCAGGGAGGGAAAGGCAAGAGCCGCGAGGGAGCAGGGAGGGAAAGGCAAGAGCCGCGAGGGAGCAGGCAGGGGCCGCAGGGAGGGAAAGTTGGAAAAGGCAGGGGACGCGGGGGAGGAAAAGTTGGAAAAGGCAGGGGTCGCAGGGAGGGAAAGTTGGGAAAGGGCCGGGTTGTGAGTGAGCAGGAGGGAAAGGGCCGGGTTGACGCAGGAAGTAAAGGCGAGGCCAGGAGGATGTAGGATAGGAATTAGCAAGATACAGGGAATGAAGATATGAGTGGAGACTGACCGGACAGAAGGAATGTAAAAAAAACAATATTAAATGAATTTCCTTACTTTCCTTACCGGTATGGGTCTTCATATGTTCATCAAAATACTGTTTCATATTGAAATCTTTGCCGCACCATTGGCACATGAATTGCTTGTGTCCAATATGGATGCTCATGTGGGATCGTAGCTGGTATTTGTATTGAAAACGTTCATGGCAGTTCTACCGGAAGCAGAAAAAGAACATTATAAAAGGTACAAGACATTACTCTTGGTGATCTCGGACCAAACCTATATTAAAACAGATCAGTTCCCCAAAAGTAATCTGACACAGAGCTTTGCCAAGAACCCTTAGGAGAAAGGCCAAAACAGCCTTCACGGAGGCTGGCAAATTTGTTCTAATGGGGACACAGACAAGACATGAAGTATTGATGGTAATTGAGGATTAGTGTATATCTAATTCGCTCAATACCCGACAAGCTAAAATAAAGATGTAATTAATGGACAGGTCCACCCTCTTTTAAAGAAGGCATCAGAACTAGTCACTATGAGACAAAGGAAGACAGTTTTCCATGTGTTATAAATAATGGAAACGGAAAGGCATTACTTTCACTATAATATATATATATATTAAGGCTTTGCCTGTAGTTGTGGGAGGGGCTTGATTTCCCCTTAAAAGGGATGACAATCCACTCCCAACTTATCGTGGATTGTCTGGCGAGTCACTTCCGGTCCGACCGCCATCTTGGTTTTCTTACCTGTCTTCTCTCATGGTCCTGGCTCCTCTTCTACCCGCGTTGATTCTGAGAAAGGTCCTTGTCGCAATTCCAGAGGTCCTGCTGCCAGGAGCTGGTGAGGTCCACGAGGCTGATCGGTACAGTATGTTTCCCCGTCGGGTGCCTCTTAGCACGCCGTCGGGTCAGTAGCTCGCCCCCCCCCCCCGCCTCCTTCTCACAAGGTTCTCCAGGCACTGTGCATCAGCTAGTCCCCTCGCACTTAAACCCCCACCCCATACACCCCAGACTCACCACGTGTACGTTTGTTTATCTTGTGGGTGTGTTCGGCAAGCCTAGTCACTTCAATGCAGTTCGCATGATTCACGTTCGGCAATTCTGTTCAGCTCTACTAGAGCATTATTAATAGCTGCACCTTCATTCCCCTTTAGTTCAGTTAAATCCAGCCATTCTTTTTAAAAGGTATCGGGTTGATTAAAGTCATGTCGCCACCTGGTGGCCTGATTACGTAATATCATGTAATAACTGTGATTATGTTTAACTTAGTATTGCTGTCTATAGTAAGGTTCCTCTGTCAGGTGTATATATAACCCAAGGGGTCTGTAATAGCTCCTACATCCTTATCAACAATTTATCAAAGGGGTCATGTATTTTTTTCTCTTTTATGTTGCTTGTGACTATGTTCATCATTTTCCTGAACTGGTTAGCACGCTCACTCACCACATAACCTCACAAATGCAGCCATTGTCGGTTCACCACACAGCACGTTCATTTGGGTTCTTTTAAGCCGATTTGCATACGAATTGTATCATGTTGGCTAAACATACGAATGATTAAGTGAAACCGTTATTCCATACAGGGGTTCCCTCCTCCTTGGGCAGTATGTTGCTGGTTATGAGATTGTTCATTTTAGGGCACATGCAAGCGATTATAATTATAGCCTTATTCTGTACACATGATTCCCCCCCTTTCGGCAGTTATTTGCTGGATTTTATGTTGGTTCACGAATACAGTCGATTGGCCTGGTTTAAGTCATATGCCCCCATTGGTTAGAATGGTTCTCACAGCTTACATTTAAAAGGGATTTATTTGTGGCTATTTGAATGTACTGTATTCGGCTGTTTAATTAATTTTAGCTGACATTTGTCATGATGTTCCCACAAGCTTTCATTGCAGGAATTAAGCTTAAGATTTTGTGACAACTTTTCTCATATACTTGGCCTTATTAGGTTGATTATGTGGTTTTGGGTTGTACTCACTGAAAGTTGTATTTTAATGGATATTAACATCTCGCATTTCTTTAGGGCCTTGGTCATTCAGGACGGTGGCTTTACTAGCACTACAATTAGATGTTCTGCCTCTGTCATATTTTCATTACTCATCTACCGGTTCTGGTAGGTTTCCTGTTATTGTTCGGGCCCACTCACATAACTCTATATGCACACATATTCGTCACATCTTATCTATGGGTGTCAGCACGTATCTACTACCACCCTCTCGTTACTAGATTTCTGCATAGAATCTCGTCTTGACTCAAACCTTATCAGGTGCGATTTCACAGGCAATTGTGGGTTAGTTCAGGTAGATTGTTACATGTTTGTTCTCATGGTTTCCGGGCTCATGCAAAAATCCATGTGTCCGAATAAAGTTTCCTCAAAATCACCACACCAGCATCACGTCACGTTTTGGTTACACTTTTACAACACCATCCCTCACAGCATTTGGTTAAATGTATCATCATAGGGCTGTCCGAGGTGTTCCGCACGGTTTGGGTACAATTTTGCCAAATGGGACACTAGAAGGCAATAATTTGCAAACCAAGTTAACAGTCACAAAGTTAGTGTGTACACTTATAAGGACTGAAGTAGATCAAGGGTTTTGTGGGGATTTTTGGTTCCCCACCTTTCACATCTTGGGAAACCATCACATAGGGGTTGTCACGGGGAACACTTCACTTATAGCAGACTATTCATAGACTTATCTGCACCGCATTCTCCACCATTCCCAGCCTTAATTCCCTCATACCCACCGACAGATTTTCCTTACATATGTCACTATCGACAATGTCATTTGGGCCTATTTGGTGGCTGGTACAGGCGCATGGCTCAGTAGAACAGACATTGGTAACGCTTTTAAGCTGCTTCCCATTCACCTTTCACTGTGGCATCTGCATGACAGTTAAATGGCAGGGGCTTTATTTCATTTTTCTCACAACTCACTTCTGGCTCCATAAGGCAGCCCAATAGATTTTGACATGGTTGCCGGAACTTTGTGTTGGTTATTGCTCAATATGTGCAGATGTCCATCCGTTATTCACTACCTGGACATTTTTCTCATGATTGAAACCAATACCCTCCTCCCTAGCGACCTTACACACATACTGGCTCTTCTTTAAGTCCCTGGCTATCCCGGTCTCCCCTCACAAGACTTTAGATCCTGACACCAGCATGCAATTTTGGGGAACCAATTGGACTCTATCCACATGCAAGCTAGTCTTCCCCAGGATAAGATTGAGCGCACCTTATCAAGCATTGAACATTACTTCTAACTTTGTTCTTGCAACCGCAAATACCTTCAATCGCTACAGGGGTCACTCAATTTTTGCCATGGGAATCATCCGTAGGGTAGATCATTATTTTCTCGTTACTATCTTTATTCCCACGATTCACCTCAGACACATCACGTATCACTTTAGACAATCACGCAACCTCTGCTTTACTCTTGTGGCGGGTTTTCCTTATATGTGTTGTGGCTTTTGTATATAATTTAGACTGGTTTATATATATAAAGGGGTCATGTATATATCAATATATAGCTGACTTTTGTCTTGATGTTGTTTCCACAGGTTTCATTACAGGAATTTAGCTTATGATTTTCAAATAACTATTTTCACAACTTTGTCAGAATATTTGTCTTATTAGGATAATGATGTGGTTAAATAACTATGCTAGGTTTTACTACTATAACTTAGTATTTCGTGGGCATTGACAGTTCACTTTCCTTAGGTGCCCTGGTCATACTGACGGTGGCTTTACAAACACAAAACCCGTCATCTGCCTGTCATATTCTCCCTGCTCACCAATAGTATCTGGTAGGTTCCTTTTATTTAATTCGGGCCCACGATCTGGCCCACTACAATATGCCCATATGCACAGATACTCATGCACGTCCTATCCGTGGGTCGCAGCACGTCATCTACTGCCACCCTCTCGTTCAAATCTTTCCGCTTAGCATCAGCCTGACTCAAACTTTATCAGGTCCGATGTCATAACCCTCTACATTTTCTAGGTGTTGAGCGGTACTGGCTTCCTGAGATTTAGGTTGTCCAACTAGGTTTCTGTTTCTGGTCTTAATCCATAAGCTAGTGGTCCTGCGAGGCCAACACCCATCATCTTACTCAGAGGTATACGTCCCTTGGGCCAAATCATAGTTAGCCGTCTTGCATGGTTGCATAGAGAGGGCCTCCCATGTCACTCCCCTTCTATCTTATGCTTTAGTTATCACTGAGAGGCAGAAACCCTGCCACAACGTTTCGGTGGCCTCATATTTCCCCTCGGGCCAATGCATAGGTAGCGCCTCTCATGCCGCTTGGCAATTAGTAGGGACTCCTCTGTCACGTTCTCAATAGCATAATTCTTCGCCGCTTGGCATCTAGCTAGCCTACCAGTACCCAGCCACTTTGTCTCAGAATAGTAATATTTGCTGTGGTATGTATTTTGGGGTACACTTCATTTTGCCACCTTAACCTAAAATTACTCTGTTCCCTACTAAAAACAATGGTGTCCTGAGTAATATTTCATCACCTTCCCGTAACAACCAAACCAACCAACCATTATTAGAACTTCATGGCTCCATCCCTACGACATCTATATTCATGCATTAAGTTTGCTTACTATTAACTAGGCTCTTCCTAAATGCAATCTTTTTCCAGGACACTCCTTCCGTATAGGTGCAGCATCTGCAGCTTCCTCCAACCACATTCCAGCTCATATCATCAAGGCTAGGGGACGCTGGAAACCCTCCGCATATACTCTTTACATTCCAAACCCAGTTAAAGAGTTAACACAAGCTTTTCGTGACTTGTCCAAATAAACAATGTTTTGTTATGTGTATAAATTTTGTATGGTACTTTTCTTTTTGCCCACTTTTATTACAGGCCTACTGCTTTCTCGGTTCCGGCACATCACAACCGAATGGTGTCCATTTGTATATGTTTATTGGTTATAATATGTTATGTTACCTTTTTCATTACGGTCAGATTGCCCTGACTACAAATTATATATATATATATATATATATATATATATATATATATATTATGCGTCAGTAATATCTGTGCTTAGTATTTTGCGATTTCCATGTTACTTTTGTTTCCTTTCAATTCTTCAATACAAAGTACAGTAAACTACACCGGTTGTCAGATAAATATCTATTCACTGTAATCACTGCTAGAAACCTATAGATAACCCTATATTGATACACAGGTCATGTGACGCAAACGGTGGTTCCCACACTGCCGCACCAAGCGCTTGGTTAGGATAGCAAAAGCAGCAATCTCTGCAGCCACCACATGGCAGGAGACTGAAGCATAAGCATTCAATCTACATATTTTGCTACTGTTTTCGCAGCACATTTTGTTAGAATATTACCAATACAAAATACATTTCTTGAAGGATCACAGATCTATTGAATTCCTGCAGCCAACAATCCTCATCTTTTCCTCAGAGCCTCACCTCACACTTGAAAGGCTTCTCCCCAGAGTGCTGCAGCGAGTGGACCTTTAAAGACATACTCCGTTTAAACGACTTCCCGCACGTTTCACAAGTGAATGGCATGTCCTTCGTGTGTGCTGTCACAAAACAGAGACAGGGAAATGTCAAACATCTCGATTTCTTGGTGGGATTATTACTCACCAGGTGAAGGTTTATTCATTAACCCCTTAAGGACTGGACTGTTTTTGCGATGTTGTACATTTGCGACCAGGAATATTTTTACACTTTTGTGGTGTTTGTGTTTGGCTGTAATTTTCCGCTTTCTCATTTACTGTTCCCATACAAATTATATATTGTTTTTTCAGGACAAAATGGGCTTTCTTTACATACCATTATTTATATAATCTCATGTATTTTAATTTTTAAAAAATACAAAAATCTGATGAAAAATTGAAAAAAATACATGTTTTTTGACTTTTACTTGAAAAATCTTTTACTCATCTACAAAAGCGAATGAAAAAAACTGCTAAATAGATTCAAAATTTTGTCCTGAGTTTAAAAATACCTAGTGTTTACGTGCTTTTTTGCTTTTTTTGCATGTTATAGGGCTATAGGTACAAGTAGGATATTGCGGTTTAAAAACATACATTTTTAAAATTTATCAATAGTGACATTGTAACACTATCTGTCATAAATCTCTGAATAACACCCCACATGTACATATTTTTTTTAAAGTAGACAACCCAGGGTATTCAATATGGGGTATGTCCAGTCTTTTTTAGTAGCCACTTAGTCGAAAACACTGGCCAAAGTAAGCATTCATATTTGCTTGTGTGTGAAAAAAGTAAAAAAAACTAAATTGAACGCTAATTTTGGCCAGTGTTTGTGACCAAGTGGTTACTAAAAAAGACTGGACATACCCCATTTGCAATACCTTGGGTTGTCTTCTTTTGCAAATGGTATGCCATCATGGGGGTAATTCTCATTCCTGGGCTACCATACGCTCTCAAAGGCAACGTAACCAACCTGGCCATTTTCAATGTAAAAATATTTGACCCATATATTTGACCTTGTAACGTTAAAAAATGCTATAAAACCTGTACATGGGGGGTACTGTTTTACTCGGGAGACATCGCTGAACACAAATATTAGTGTTTAAAAACTGGAAAACGTATCACAACAATTATATAAGCAGTAAAAGTGCTGTTTGTGTGTAAAAAATGCAAAAAAAGTAACTTTCACTGACAATATCATCGCTGTGATATGTTTTACTGTTGTGAATCACTAATATTTGTGTTCAGCGAAGTCTCCCGAGTAAAACAGTACCCCCCATGTACAGGTTTTAGGGTGTCGTAGAACGTTACAGGCAGGGTAAAATACAGTGCTAGCAAATTAAATTCTCTGGAATTTCGGCCTGGGTTGGCAGGCAGGTCCCTCAAATTGCAATCAATAAAATTACTGAATTATGTAAAAATATTACATAAATACGCACGTAGAATTTAAATATATATGCATATTTATATATTTGAAGTCTACGTATATATTTATATAATTATTTATGTAATTTTGTATATGGACGTATGTATATTTCTTATTATTTTTATTTATTTTTATATACATAGATATATATACAAATTCATTCTAAGTGTATTTTGATATAAATATATATATATTAATTTTAAAATACAGTTAGAATAAAATTTCATATAGTTATATAATTTTTTTTAAATTTTTTATTATTATTTTTAAAAAAAATTATTTAATTTAAATTACTTATTATTTATATTTTATAATAATATATATATACAATATATATAGTTATTATATATATTATATATATACGTGTGTAATTTAATTATAAGTGTATTTTTATATTAATATAAGTACATATTAATATAAAAATACACTTAGTATGACATTATATATATATGATATATAGGCATATATTATATAGATATAATATATGTCTATATATCATATTTATACATATATAATTATTATTATTTTTTTATTACCATTAACTTTATTTTTTTAATTGATTTTACAGTTGCAGGGAGACTGCCTGTCAGCACAGACAGTCCCCCTGCAGGCAGCACTATTGACACCTATTGTGACCATGTGATCGCTGTGTTAAGCGATCACATGGCCACAGGGGTCCTAATCTGCCGTGGGGAGACTGTCTGGGCTGCAGGCAGTCTCCCCACAACCGGAGGAACACTGATCGCCGCCGGGGGAACGACGGCGATCAGGTAAGTAGCCCCAGACCGTTTGGACGGTTCAGGACCGTCATCGGTCGGCAAGGCAAAAATGCCGATGACGGTCCTGAACCGTCCTCGGTCCTTAAGGGGTTAAACAGTTATAAATATAGAGTAAACAGACTGGCAAAATGTAAGCCAAAGTTTTAGAATTAAAAAATTCTACAGCCCAGCCAAAATATTGTAAGCTCTCCATTACCCTAAATTCACATCCCAGCGCATTTCAAGCTCCACCAAGAGAACACAAAATAAAAGTTAAACCAGACAAAAACATGGGCCAGGCCGATTTTGTATTTCAAAAGATATCCATTCCATATGTAAGATTCAAATCGCCCCTAAACCTTGCACACTTTTTCAGGGTTCATGATTATTAAATATGACCCTCAGACACACCACATACCTACAGTCTTACTGCAGCTCATACAAACTTCAAAGTTAATGTTAAGCGTTCTTTTAGCTCAGCTGTAAAATACTTTGCTTTACGGTTTGAATCATTGGAGAATTTGTGGCAAATTGTGGCAAAAATACAAGTTTTCTTGTAGCGTAGCTTTAAATATGGTGCTATTAGACATTAAATCAGTGTGAGATTCCTTGCAAACTGCTGTTAAACTTCTTCCCGTTCAGTACATGATCCACTCACACACGTATTGAACCTCTGAAGATGTATATTTGCAAAAAAACAAACAAAAAAAACCAAAAACAATTCCTCATTCTCAAGTATATGCCACGTTATATTCTCAAATCCGCGGGGAGAAGTGGTGCTGCAGTGTTAGCATGTATGATCTATAAACTCCACACATCCAATTTCCAACAAAATGTGCAAAATGAATTTTTAAAGTCAGCATTAAAATGTAAATGGCTGCTGTGTGCAACCAAAGACTTCTAACTTAATAAATATGCCTAGGGCAGCACAAAACCACAATACACAACTGATGTAACTAAGAGTGTGCAACCTTGCAGAACTGGACAGAACCTTGATTGACCAATGAATTGTGAGCTATGACTTGGCAATAAATATGTACAGAGGGAGTATCAGATAGATGAGCTGAAAGTGGTACTGTCGAAAGGAAGAGAATAGGCAGCATAAAAACATTTAAAGAAATGAAAGAAAGGTAAAAATGATGTCTAGCAATAACTTTGGGCACAGACCAATCAATAGAGAGTTCAAATAACCATTTCCTGTTTAATGCTCAGTGGAATGCTATGAGCTCCTCTGCAAATTACAGACTGTTTGGCATCACATGATCATTGAAGCTTAACACGGAGGGTTTGAAAACTGCGATTTCAAGATATGCATTTGCAAGATGGCTGCTTCCATGCTAAAACAAAGATTTTCAACTGGTAATTTCACTTTAAAAACTGCTACAGCTTGGTGTCCTATATATAACATCTATTGGCATCATTGTTTTAAATGTATTTGTGGAAATGAATTATTTGGGTGGCAGTGCCTCTAACCTCCTTGGCGGTCTGATTAAGTCAGTATTTTTTTATGTTAACGCAGAACATTGTTTGGTATGTAAATTTGTTGTTTCATATTGTAGGCTTGTAATTCTTAGGAATAACTCCCTTAAATCTGTCCAAACAAAAGTCTAGTAGACATCCCGGGTATGATAAAGTTTGAAACGCGTAATCATAAATTATAGTATAAATAGTTATAATGTATTACAATGTATTGTGTGTATGTGTACTTTATTAAAAAAAAAAAAAAACGATTTCCTGCCTGGTTTTGCCATGCGGCGCTTGCAGGAAAAGGGAACACTGCGACGGATGCTGGCATCGGGGGGAGGACACCAGGGGCTCTACAGTGTAATCCAGAGCGTGGATCGGGGTTACTGCTTTTGGTACTGAAAATTAACCCTGAGCCACGCTCGGGATTACCGCCAGGGAGATTAAGTTTCATCTTCCCATATCACTAACAAGACATGCTGGAAATGGGTTAAAAAAGAATACTGAATAAAGTAAATAAATCTGCACTCTACGATCACTTACCAACCAGATGTTTTCGGACATGGGCCATGGTGTAAAATTTCTTTTCACAAATGTCACAGGAGAACTTTTTCTCTGCATAACCATGCACAATTTTATTATGTTCATGGAGAGACCAAAGCTTCTTAAATGTCTTCCCGCAAGTTAAACACTGTGAAGGAAGTAGACAGACGGTCGGTTAGTTACCATATTAACTTGTTGGGACCAAAAAAATAAAACCAACACAGATTTACCGCCCTCCCTCCTCTTTTTAGTCCAATGATTTTAACATTGAATACATTTGCAAACTAAGACGATAAATTGGAAAATGTACTAAGAAAAAAGATACAAAGATTTTTTTTAAAAACATTATAGAAAATCAAAGAATGTAAAAGCTAATTACCTGTCACAGGAATCTTGCACTCTGACTTTAAGAAAAGAAAAAAAGAAGTGTTGCACATGTAGGTTTGTTTTAAATAACGGTGAGTGATAGTTGCTATATATGTATATTGTAAACCCATTTATTGCTCTTCTGCAAAGCTTTTACGTAGAGTTGAATGGTTGGAAGTAAAAGTCATGTACACAAAACTAGCTTGCAAAAAGGTACACTACGTTTCTTTGCAAACCAGTTTTGTAAATTGTGAGTCTGATTGGCTAAGCGCATCAGCCGACTGCTCTCAGCCAATCAGCAGCGCCCTTGCTCCGGCGGCACAACATGCTTCTAGAAGTGACAATTTCATTATCTGGGTGCTGCGTTGGGGGGTGCTGAGATCAGAGCTGCAGGCAACTTCAGGGTTAAACCATTTGTTTTGCAACCTGGAGTGTTCCTTTAAATTCACATAAAGAGTTTAATCAGAGCCTCAATTTCAATATATGTCAGAGACTTCTAGTGTATGGTGGAAAACACAGTGTGCCGGTATTTAAAGTGTACCTGTTATAGCATACACAACTTTATTAAGTTTAAAAGTACATTGTCCTCTTTAAATCTGCTTAACCCCTTAAGGACACATGACATGTGAGACATGTCATGATTCCCTTTTATTCCAGAAGTTTGGTCCTTAAGGTGTTAAAGAGGACACTTGTTCACTCTTAACACAACCAAATATATTTTTTACTCGAATGTAACACGCAACATTTTTTGTAAAATAAAGTTTCTAAAATTTGAATGCGCATTAGATTTCACTTCTCTGCTAGATGCTTAAGTGTGCACCCAGGGCACCATGGGTCGGTAAAATCCCTGGAATTTGAAAGTGCAGCAGAGGTAAGTAGGCTTTTTACTTACCTCCCCTGCTGGGTTCACACCAGTCAACGTATTGGCATTTACTGAGGTGAAAGAGTGAGGAAACGTCACTTCTCGTAAAAATAGGTCACTCTACACCTGTCAATTCTTTCTCCGGCATTCAGTTGGCAGAGACTTCCATGCAGAGAGGAGGGCAGGAGAACCCGCTCACTGTAGTGGTTATGGTGCAAGGAGTGCCTCATGAGTAGTCAAATTGTTAGCAACTTATCTGGGATCAGCAAAGCACTGGTCACCTCCTCCATTTGGAGCCATAAGGTGCTGCTCTGAACTAACCTAGCAGAGTAGGGCCAGGCAGGAGTTTAGTCCTAAACAAAGGAGCCACCCTTCAGCCTCAGGTAAGTAGTTATCATATCACTGGCAAAATAGTATGACTTCTTACATGTGGGGGAGGGGTGTTTTATGTTCCTGGAACCATGACTACTAAAACAGTGGTTATGGTGCTGGAGGTGTTCCTTTGTTCTACAGAACCTTATCTACATGTTTTGGTTAGAAAAATAACGGATAACGGGAAATTAAATATTTTACAAGCCAAACATTGCAACACCAAAATCTTAACACAATATCTAAGCTTTTTATTAAAGAGTTACTCCAACTACCATAATCACCTCTGCTTTCAGAAGTGGTTATGGTGCAACCAGTCTATATGTAGAAGGTTTCAGCTTGAAATCCTGTTTATACAGAGATACTCATACCTTTATGTCGGGGTGTATTTACACCACCAGCACGTGTGATCTAGTCAGTCTGGAACAATGTCTGAATAATGTTTATTGTATGGAAAAACAAAATACACACACACACAAAACAAAACAGCATGCACTGGCAATAGAAGTAATGAGCTTCTTCGCTTGCAGGAGTGCTGTAAACCTTTAAATGAAGGCTTAATGACTGCCCAATATACCCATCTATAGATCTATCACCTACTGCTTCTTGGATTGGGAGGTGGGAAAGTATTAATGGCGAGTTTAGACGTTACTCCAGTCATCTTGCCACTCCTGAACACTCATACTGCTCACATGCGCGGTGTAGCACTAGGCCTGAACTAGAAAAATGGTCAGAGTTGTGGCAACTGACATTTAACGTGGATAAGTGCAAGATAATGCATCTTGGGCGTAAAATCCAAGGGCAGAGTACAGAATATTTGATAGAGTCCTAACCTCAACAACTGAGGAAAGGGATTTAGGGGTGATTATTTCAGATGACTTAAAGGTAGGCAGACAATGTAATAGAGCAGCAGGAAATGCTAGCAGAATGCTTGGTTGTGTAGGGAGATGTATTAGCAGTAGAAAGAGGGAAGTGCTCATGCCATTGTACAGAACACTGGTGAGACCTCACTTGGAGTATTGTACACAGTACTGGAGACCGTATCTTCAGAAGGATATTGATACCTTAGAGAGGGTTCAGAGAAGGGCTACTAAACTGGTTCATGGATTGCAGGATAAAATTTACCAGGAAAGGTTAAAGGATCTTAACATGTATAGCTTGGAGGAAAGACGAGACAGGGGGGATATGATCGAAATATTTAAATATATAAAGGGAATCAACACAGTAAAGGAGGAGACTATATTTAAAAGAAGAAAAACTACCACAACAAGAGGACATAGTCTTAAATTAGAAGGACAAAGGTTTAAAAACATCAGCGAGTATTACTTTACTGAGAGGGTAGTGGATGCATGGGATAGCTGAAGTGGTAGAGGTTAACACAGTGAGGGAGTTTAAGCATGCGTGGGATAGGCATAAGGCTATTTAGAAAATTGGGCAGACTAGATGGGCCCAATGGTTCTTATCTGTCATCGTATTCTATGTTTCTGATAAAGAAGCATTAGATAGAATGTTTCCTATGAGCTGCAACATCACATGACGGAGTAAGTAGGAGTCATTAGATGGTGAGTTTCTACTAAACTGCAATGTTTTACATAACAGGACCACTGTACCCAGACCACCTCATTAAGGTGCAGTGCTCTGGGCGACTTTAGTGGTATTTTCATGTCAAGTTTTACCTAGGTCACGTCTGTTAAAGTACAGGGGATTTCAAAAAACTTAAAGAGGCTGCGTTTGTAGCCAAACGTTTTACAAGTATACCGCACTGAGTGGTCCAAAGCGGTGCTCTAAGAAACATACAGAAATGAACAAATGCTGTTGCAAAATGTTCAAGAATTAAAGGATTAAGCAAAATTCTGAAATATTTGAGGTCATCTCAATCACTAGAAGCACTTCTGCTGCACTGACCAAGTAAAACGCTCTTATTTGACACGGAAGCACCCATACGAAGGCCTTGATTCAATGTGCGTATGGTCATGCCCCTTCCGTAAGATTGTGGAAGAGAGTGGTAAGCAGCGCCGAGGAGCCTCGGCACTGGAAAACAGGGAATCAAGCTAAGAGTGGGGACAGGGACACTGACATAAAATAGCAGAAAGTTGGGCTGAAATCTATGGGAATTAAAAAAAAAAAAAAAAAAATTGTGTTCCTTGTGTATGTTAAAAGTGAAGTCTATAAGGATTTCAAATTGCTGCACTGCTACACAAACTACCAAGTATCAGTTTGTCCAACTAAATCCTGATTTAAATGAATACTACAGAGTTCGAAACAGAAACGTGTATTCCTAATGCTATAGTGTTCTGCTCACCATCCATGTGCAAACAAACAAAAAACAATGAAACAGAAAAATGCAGTGTGTGCATAAAGAGCCTAAAGATGCTAAATGTTGGTCCTGCAAAGACTGCAGAACCTCATTCAGGAAGTCACTCTAGTGGCTGTCCGAGTGACATCATCTAGGGAACTTTCTCAGAAGGGAGGGACGAGCTATATGCTCCAGGAAGATTAAGCTGTAGTGATTCTGTGGAATATGGTGTCCCTTTAAATCTGGCAAAGTCTGCATGACTTGCAAACTCATATTCTAAGTCCATCTCACATAAAGGGATTATAGTAGTTATATTTGATTTTACATTCTGCCCTGTATAACGTGAACTGCAACAATTACATGCAATGAACTGGGGTACAGGTAGTCCTCACTTTATGATGGCTCGCACTTACGATCAGCTCTCTGGCGTGGGGATTCAAGGGATTCCCCACTGTACAGAGCTGGTTTATGTTCGGGGAATTTTCCCTAACATAGATTTGTGGGATTCCCTGCGCTAGTGAACTGATCTATGTTCAAGGGAATCCACCCGAACGTAGACCTGCTCTCTTGCGCATGCTCGCTAGCGAATCCTCACTTACCGACCAATTCGTTTTACGGCCAGGTCGTCAGAACGGAAACCAGTAGTGAGGCGTGTCTATATTACAATTACACACACAGTAAAGCTGGATGTTAACACTTGCTGAACATTATCACATTTTAGAATATGATACTACTTCTATTTTACCCCTTAACTAAATATCTGTGTTTTGTGTTCTATAATGTGATGCATTTATTTTTCACGTCACTTTGCAACAAAACTGACAAAATCATCAACTGTCTTACAGAATAATGGAGTTACTGGAACACACCAGACCCCTAAAGCAGGTTACCATTGATTCTAACAAGAAGATACTCCACCATATATTGTATGCTGAAAAACTTTGTTATTTATTTACAAAAAAGATTTCAATAGAAAATGGCACTTTTATAAATTAACCTTGTTACATCCATCCTCCCCGACTGTCAGACACCAGGTCCTCTTACTTCCTGGTTGTTTAGCTCAGTGGACCTAAACTCAAAATGCAGCAATTGTCCAGAGCACCTGCCTTGCAAATACTTTTTAATGAGCTACATTAGGAAGTCTGTGATTGGACAGCCACAGAAAGTCTGGGCGGGTTTAGACGGGGAGGGCTTGCAAAAGGCTGCAGACAAGAGATCTGCAGGTTTTGCAAGATGTTTCTAGATATATCCCAATGAACAAAATTAATCATTAAATGCATGCATGTTTTTATATTGGGTATATCTACTACACAGTAATTTATATTTAGCATTTTTAGGTGTATTTGAAAAGGGACAGTAAGGTGGATTGCTGTTTGTTCCACAATAAATCGCTGAACACACATGGAGAGGTTCATTTCTTCACATCTAAAAACTATTTTGATTAATCTAAATGTGTAGCCATACTTCATAAACTGTAACATGGCCCCATAACACAGTAGTCATGTGTCAACACATTTTATCATTAGATTTTATTCTGTAAAAATAACCACAAGTATCCCACAGCTGTAGTAAAGTTTGGGTTCGTGTCTGTTTTAGTGTGGCCCAACAGAAACACTACACATGTTACATCTCTACATAAATATAGGACTTAAATAAGACCCAAGCCCTCTATGCATTATAGCTGTTCTACAACACCTATAAACCTCATCCAGCACCTCAATCTGATATAGTATTTCATTTGTATGGGTGGAGGGGGCTTGATATACAATTGTGCTTTACTTGTTATTGTGTTACAGAACAAATTAAACTCTTAAATATCCTGGATCCAGAGATTTTATTACACTATGGCACTATATACGCTCACTAGACTCCAATTGAATTCTCACACGGATACGGAGCACTAAGGTACACAATCAATTTAGTAACCGATTTGTTTAGGATCCAAATAAAGTACATGTGCTCATTGATCTTAATTCACCATTTACTTAAATAAGTTCAGCAAAACAACCTTATTCAAAGTTTTTGGCCAAAATTAAGGGGTTAAAAGGAATATGAAAAGAGTCACACAGCTAGTAGCAAAAGTCCTCTCCTAATAGCCAGCCTTAAAAGTTGCTAGCCATAGTATACTCAACATGTGTAAATGTCTACTCGCCAATGCCACCATGACCACTACAGCTTTTAGAAGGGACCATGGTGGTAGGAGTCTGGATGTCCAATGCCACCATGACCACTACAGCTTTTAGAAGTGACCATGGTGGTAGGAGTCTGGATGTTCAGCAGTTCAAGAAGGCTCAGAGCGCGCTGAACTGGTGAAACAGCGTACAGTGACGTCAATGGATGCTTTGAGAGCAGTGTTTCGTCTGAGGCTGGATTCCATGTAAATTTTAATCTTAATTTGCAGGTTTATAAAGGGATCCCCAGTAAATAATGCCCAACACCACAAACCACATACCATGATTTTATAAAAAGCCTTTATATGAGTTTTACATAAATGTCTTCAGTTCGAATTGAAATAAGGAAAATTCTTTAATACAGAATTTAAATGTTTTAGGAATTACCTCAATATGACGTAATCCTCAGTAAATACTATGTGGGCCTTTCAAAGATATTTTCATCTTAAAATATTAATATTTAAAAAGATGTGAACATCATATTTTGAGCCATTTACAAGCCTGGAAGGATTAGTGAGATTTCAGAACATGGTGTTGATTAGATTGTACGGACTGCTTTATGGCGACATCCATCTTCATTAGTCAAATGGATCCCCAGCGAGTAACAGTACCCCTTTGTCATTAAGGAGTTAAAGGTTATAATACATTAATAAGGATTTGTCCGTTCTTAAAGTGAAAGAAGATTTAAGATCGGCATTGCCAACCAATAGTGACTGCTGAACAATTCTTACACTTTCCTATCTGAATAATAGGAATTAGAGGGAAACGTTTGGAAAACAAAGATTTTAAGTTTTATTCTAACATATAGAAAAATAAAATGTATTGTAGGAAATTGGTAAAAATAATGATTGTATTAATAAAAAAATAAAAAAAACTTAAAATTTTCACTAATAAAAAAAGATAACATTTTGCGCAGTATTAGTAGTGCCTATAACATTACCCTAAAATGTTCCCATGTTTTTAAGATGTTTGTCATTTGTTTATTGTAGAGTGCAATGAAAACATTTGCCTTCATTTTTGCTAAATTAAAGAGACACTATGAGCACCATAACCACTTCATCAGGTTGAAGTTTTTATGGTGTGAGCCTGTGAGGAATTTACAAGCGCCGGTTTGCCACAAACTATTAAACAGTTAATACACCATTTAACACTAAAGTCTTCACTTCTGTTAAAGTCCGAAGCGTTGGAATTGGCGCTGCTGGATGGGTGAGAGCATGTGCTGAGTGGCAGCCAATCCAAAGATGCCAGATTAAAGCCTCAAACTGGAACGGTAGTTATGGGGCAGAGCAGACAGGTGCTGGGTTGAAGACTTTGGGGTATAACTGTTCGTCAACAGTTTAACACCTTGTGATAAGCCACAGCCCATAACCTCCTCGCACCATAACTACTACAATCCAATCAAGCAGCTATTCTGTCCAGAGTGTTCCTTTAATATATTATATTTAGATGCATTTTCAGTGGAACTAATGCCCGAAATTCTAACAAAGCACATTACGTGTGTAAAATGACATTGCGTGCTGCATGTTTTGTGGACGTTTGTCATTTTGACTGATGCTCATGTGTGAACTTCAATTGACTTGTGTAGAACAACTAATAGCATAAGGAGACTGGCTACAAGGAGATGGTAATGCAATTTTTGTCCTGCTACTTGAGGGTCATCAGGAATTTAGTAGGAAGCAAAAATGACCCCTGTCTAAGAGAGTCTTTATGACGATATACTTCATTTTTTTCCCCTCTTACTTAAATATGTCCTTAATGGTTCATTTCTCTTTTTATCCGCCCAGGGGAAAAAAAATAAAATTAAAAATAATTCCAAAAAAAAAAAAAAATTCCTAAAGCAAGCCATAACTTTAAACGATTGCTCCATTAGCGGGAGACATACAGAAACAGATGGGGATATGAAGATGTTTCATGGGACATTAGTAATGTGTCTGCACAGAATGATTTTGCTCAGTGAGGCAGGGAACATGGCAGCAGATTGTGACCCGAAGCAGAAAGCCATTCGCACGAATCACCAACGTTCTTGATCGCTATACAAGGGAATTACGGACAACAAAACAGTCTTCATTAGAACTGCAGAGACACGCGGAATGGAATGATACGAACGCACAATCTTCAGATTCTCTCATCAGAATAACACATTCAAAATGTATTTCTAACACATGCTCAGGGTAAAATAAAAACAAAACAAAAAAGTAAAAAGCAAATAAATACAATAATAAAATATACACATTCTGATTTCTATACCAGAAGTTTGTGCAAGAAGCTCCCACCTGCAGCTTCATAGATTCTCGATTTATCTGTATAGCGGAGACAAGCACAAACTATACACAGACCTGCTTGGAGAAGGGTTATTCACTAAGGTGAGATTTTAAGATAAAAAAGCCAAACTGGAAAAATTCCTTAAAAGTAATTTTCACTTTGAATTCTCACTTCAGAGAACAGAGACACCACCATATCCTGAGAAATCAGTGGTTCAGTTAGAACATCCTAGATCTCTTAAATCCATTCCAAAAGGAGACATTCTGAAACATTTTATTTTACAATTTACACCTTTACAAAAACAAATCATACTACGCAACTTTGTTTTACCAATCGTTCCAGTACGCAAATATAGCTCTACGGAAGTTTGCAGATATTCAACTGATGGTATATAGAAAAGCTCAGCACTTCAAAAATTAAGATTTATAATTTTCTCCATCATATAAACTACAGCTTGATCTCATTTTCTAAATATCTATGCATAGGATGCAACAGAGAACAAGCTTATTTTTTCTTTAAAAAGTGACTCTAAGCAGCAAAACCACCATAACTTTATGAAGTGGATTTGGTGCACAGACTGTACCTTTTTTTGACAGTTTAAAACCTTGCTGTTTCTGAGAAATGACAATGTGTACATTTGCCAGAGAATACGGTTTCATTGGTTACCAGACTAACAGCTGTTAGTTAACACCAAGACATTATGAAAATGGAAGGACTTCCTGCAAAACCATAAACAACACAACGCTACTGATCAATCAAATATATATATTTTCATCAATCACTGAGTAGGAAGAGAAACTGCTGCACAGACACGGTCCATGTGCTGGATTTAGATAACTTTGAATGTGTTTCTTTGCTTTAAAATTAAATGAATAAATGTAATTTTAACCTTATAGTGTTCCTGTAAGTTACAATGTTATAAAATACAACAAAAGGACAGAATTTACAGTGATTTAAAACGAGAAAGCCACTCCGGTTATCATATCCTATGCTGCATTTACTGGTTAATGGTCCCCTGTCACTGTCTTTAACATCATGGCAGCTATTAGCCCGTTAGTCTGCTCTGTGTCACATAAACTAGAGAACTTTGCCAAAATATTGGTGTAGCCAGTCTATTTCGTTGGTGCATTGTGAAGGGAACACTTTGAGGATTTGCTTTGCTCTTTAGGAAGGGAGGGAGAGAGAGCGTGTGTCTGCGCGAGAGCGTGTGTGTGTATAAGAGAGAGCGAGCGAGAGCATGTGTCTGCGCGGGAGCGTGTGTGTATAAGAGAGCGAGAGAGTGTGTGTATAAGAGAGAGCGAGAGTGTATCACAGAGAGCGTGTGTGTGTATAAGAGCGAGTGTGTGTGTTTTAAGTGACCAGTCCCTCTCCGATCACATGGGAATGGTGTTTTTACTAATCTTTTCTCCCACACTGTGCAATTCTTGCTGCAGCTGTCCTCACCTCCACTGCGGAGATAATCGATGTTGATGATCTCAGCAAAGCCAATGATTAGAGACACCAAAACAACTACATTAAGCCCCGTTTGATTGAAAAGCATCACAATCAAGACATCCAAATCTTTGCCTGTGTCGCATGCAAGTCATTGGTAATATTTGGAAAGCTTCCCTCTCATTCTTTGAACTTCCTTAGATTTTTATTTTGGCAAGATTTACTGGACTCCCGTACATAACAGTTAAAGGACCACTATAGTGCCAGGAAAACACCTCAGGGTCCCCCTCCTGCCCGGCTCTGGGGAGAGGAAAGGGGTTAAAAACTTACGTTTTCCAGCACCGGGCGGGGAGCTCTCCTCGTCCGAACCTCCCTTTCGGCTGAATGCGCACGCGCGGCATTCATAATGCTTTCCTATGGATGCTGGTGTCTTCTCACTGTGATTTTCACAGTGAGAAGCACGCAAGCGCCTCTAGCAGCTGTCAATGAGACAGCCACTAGAGGATTTGAGGGCCGGATTAACCCATTTCTAAACATAGCACTTTCTCTGAAACTGCTATGTTTATAAAAAATGGGTTAATCCTTGAGGGACCTGGCACCCAGACCACTTCATTAAGCTGAAGTGGTCTGGGTGCCTAGAGTGGTCCTTTAATTAGGAAATGCTATAGTTTGTTTAAAGGAAAACTCAAAGCACCATAACACTATGGCATTTTCTATCCACTACATTCACAGTTTAGTAAATAAACCAGGGACATTGTACTGACCAAAAAAAACTTTACCTTAACCCTTAAGGACCAAACATCTGGAATAAAAGGGAATCATGACGTCACACATGTCATGTGTCCTTAAGGGGTTAAAGGATCACTATAGGGTCAGGAACACAAACATGTATTCCTGACCCTATAGTGTTAACACCACCATCTAGCCACTCTGGGCCCCTCATGCCTCCATAAATATAGCAAAATCTTACTGTATTCAAGCCTGAAGCTGTAACTCTGTATGCTGTTTGCCTCAGAAAAACAAGCAGTCTGCTGACATCATCAGAAGTGGTGGCCTGTTCCAATCACAGAGCTTCCCCATAGGATTGTCTGAGACTGACAAAGAGGCAGATCAGGGGCAGACCCAGCACAAATCAAACACAGCCCTGGCCAATCAGCATCTCCTCATAGAGATTAATTGAATTAATGAATCTCTATGAGGAAAGTTCAGTGTCTGCATGCAGAGGGAGGAGATACTGAATGTTTGGATGCATTTTAGGCAGCCATGACCCAGGAAGGATCTCTAACAGCCATCTGAGGAGTGGCCAGTGAAGTTATCACTAGGCTGTAATGTAAACACTGCATTTACTCTGAAAAGACAGTGTTTACAGCAAAAAGCCTGAATGTAATGATTCTACTCACCAGAACAAATTCAATAAGCTGTAGTTGTTCTGGTGACTTTAGTGTCCCTTTAATGAAGTAGTTTTAGTGTATAGATCGTGCCCCTGCAGTCTCACGGCTTAATTCTCTGCCATATTCCTCTTTCGGTTGACACCCCACCCATTATAGGTGCCCTTTTGGAGGAGACCACAGGAAAGCATAGATTAAGGAGAGTCACTAGAAGCAGTTTAAGCAGTAAGTATTGCAGTTAGCATGTTACAATTAGTGTAGGACCCACCAACATTGGGGCGCTGTGATGTAGTGTTGGGCTTAACACGATATGGTGAAACAAAACCACCTTCTTAGCAAAGATATATGGGGACTCAAAATAGCGTTGTAAAATGTCACACTACCACATGATGAATCTCTTGAAATCCCTCCAGCCAGGTAACATGTCTGGTACAGGTGAATTGGATATACACACGGCTGCCATCTTTCCATTCAGTTCCTGGCAGAGGAGGCTGCCAGAAGCAGATATTTTGGACACGCAATAAATTAACAAAACCGGGTTTACGGGAGCCAAGCAGGTACCACGTGAAGGAGATACTACAGTCATATTAGACATCTCCCATCAGGAATTTAATTAATACTTTGCTTTACTGCATCTGTACTACTACACAAGGCAAATAATCTCTCATGATCCCGGTGGATTCGTATTTTTATTTTTTTGTTTACTCACCTTTCCACCTACTGCGACATTATCGAGGAGACATAGCCTCTTCCAATCCAATGCTTTCCTATGGACATCTGCGTCACGTAACAGAGTAAAACTCAGTCAGTGCTACTGACTCGCCTTTAATAGATTTAACCCCAGAGCTCAACTAATCACCATGGCGACTAAGAATTTTGTCGTGATTTGTCACCCCGCTCCCTCCATGTGAAGCTATCTGTGCGCCAGGAGGAAATGAAGGGAGCTCATTTGTCAGCCCACTCCCATCAGCCACAGCCAGTCCTACAGTCACCTGCTCCTGCCAAGTCCCAGTGGACCCCAGGAAAGCCACTCTCCTGCACCCAAAAGGTAGGCAACAGGTGTGTGTGTATATATATATATATATATATATATATATATATATATATATATATCTCTATCTATCTATCTGTATGTGTATTTGTGTGTAATTATTTATAAAATATTTTACCAGGAAAGATAGAGATTTCTCTCATTTTCAAGTTAGTCTGTGTTTGTGTGTGTGTGTATCTATTTGAGGGTATCAAATAAAAAAAAAAATACTTTGTACGTGTGTGTTCATATGTGTCGGGTCGGTCAGTGTGTTTGTGTCGGGTCGGTCAGTGTGTTTGTGTCTAAGATGGTTGTGTTTATTAGAGGGTAATTCTCCTCACAGATAAGTGCAACGTTTTGGTTCTATGTAGCCTTAAAATCATGCTTATTTGTCTGTCAGTGTCTGTGTGTGTTAGTCCAGGTGTCTGTGAATGTGTCAGTGAATGTGTTTGTTGAGGTCACGAACAAATGTGACCTCAACAGATGCAAAGCAAATTTGTCAACCCCCAATTTAATCCTGTAATGTAAACATTGTAGTTTCTTAAAAGTACCTAATTAAAAGGTTGAAAAGGACAGAGACACTGCACCCAGAACACTTTACTGAGATTAAGTGGTCAGGGTGACTTTAGTGTCTGATTAAACTGAAAAAAGGGGATTTTGCAAGCTCCTAAAGCTGTTTAACATGCTAAAGTGCTTAACATGTAAAGAGTGTGGGTTTTTTATTTCAGAAAAAGTGCAGATTCCAATAGACTTTGGTACTTCTATTAATAAACCTTGTCACACCCCCTGGCTGTCAATCGGATAACCGGTCCTGTTACTTCTCATTGAAGTCTGTGATTGGACAGCCACACCAATTAATACAGGGGAGGGCACTCAAAACTGGACACATAAGGATTATAATTTAAACACGTGCTCACTATAGAAACCCGGTTTTCCTTCAGGGCCAAATCAATACTCTACAAATAATACCATACAGGACAATACTATAATACCAACAATCTTTAGTAGAAAAAAATATTTAACAATAATCCATAGATTCCCTCACATATACATATACACACACATACTGTTGAGAAAGGCATTCTGGCCAAAAGATTGAGGTATTTTGATGTTTTTTGGCATCAGGATCCTTTATTTGGTATGTAATCCTATTTCCTTGTGTATTTTTGCTATTGATTTCAATGCCATGTATATATATACAGAACAATAATAGGTATGGTGAATACCGGTTTATACATTTTTTTGCTATTATGAATATATTCTGTTTTTGAGTGAATCTATGGATTATTGCTAATTTGATTTTCTAATAAAGATTGTTGTGTTTTTTTTTTTTATAATATGCTCTTGTATGGTATAAGTATGTAGTCTGTGGTTGGACAGCCACAGAAAGTCTGCGATGGGTTAGAAGAGGAGTGGCTTGTAAAAGCTGCAGACAAGATCTTCAGCATTTGCAATCTGGTTTTAAATATACCTCCAATGAAATTAAAAGCATAACTAAATGCATACATGTTTTTATTGGGGGGGGGGTACATCTACTAAATGGTGTGTGTGTGATGTCTAAGTAAAGCAGCATGCATATTCTCCTCCCGTGGTAAAATTAAACCAGGACCCACTAACACTGGGCTAGGGGCTTGACCAGACATAGCCCACACGATGTGACCAAATCCTCAGATTCCAATTTGAGATGAATGATTTTACACAGCCTTGAAAGATATGAAATTGTGTATTTCAGGTTTGTGTGCACATTCAGAAGATGCCAGTGAGTTGCGTCTGCAAATCCACAGATGAAGAACTACCTTTAAACATTTACGTGGGAGCTCAAGGATTCTTTCACCAAAATATCCAAGACTCACATTGTGTGTTTTAATACATTTTAGCACTTACTTGGATATTCTTTTCACAGTCTGTTTGGTGATGGAGCATCAGCTCACTCTCAAGCAGGAATCTTTTGCCACATTTATCACAAATCCTCATGCGGCTGTGAGTTACGTTCATGTGTTTTTCCAGGTACCATCTATTGTTGAACACTCTAGGGCACTTCTTGCATGGGAAGTGCTGTTTCTCCTCAAATTTACCCTTTTGTCCCAAACCATCCTGTCCTTTCTTTTTCCTCCTTCCACCACCTCCCGACCCTCTTTGATTGCGTGTTCCTTTTGCACCTCTATTTAACTTGGTGGATTTAGTTTCACTTGGTGACTTGCTCCCCTCAGCTGGGGAGTTTTCATCTTTGGCCAACTCTGTTGCTTCATCCTCCTCTTCGTCGTCATTGTCCTTTTCCTCCTCCTGCGGCTCTTCAATATCCTCTTCGCTTGGCAAGATATCATCCTCCTCATCTTCCAACATATCCAGAAAGTCATCCTCCTCTTCAATCCCACCCTCCTCTTCTTCGTTTTCATCATCTCCATCACCTTCTGAACCTCGCTCATCACCGTCTGATTGGTCGACGACAGTCACAGCCTCAGAGGAAGCCTTGCCATCGGTCCCCTTGGAGACGTTTAGAGTCTGATTATTTAAATTGACCTCTACAATGATCTGCTCTCTATTGTAAGATTCCTGACTGTCCATGTCCTCCTCAGAATCTGCCCCTTCTATTTTACAGATCCTCGTCCCACTTCTGTCCTCGTCTTTGAAATACTGCTTCGGTGACTCAGCATTGTTGTGCCCTTTACTCACACTGTCTTCCACTCTAACAGAGTAAGGGTCATTTCCCTCTCGAGCATAAATTTTGGTTGGAGGCGCATCCACCTCTTGCTTTATCTCCCGATAGAACTGTGGTGGCATTACTGTATTAGTATCATTCCTAGTTTCCTCTGTGTCCATGATCTCATTAGCCAGTGACAGGTTCAATGACCTGCTGTGAATCAAATCCTGACATGATGTTACGATTTCATTCATCTGCAATACTGCAGCAGCATTCAACACATCCTGCACATTGCAGCCATTGACCAGCAATTTGGAAGTGTAGATGAAGTTTAGAATCTGCTGGAAGCCTCGTGATGTCAAGGCTTCGAGAGACAGTTCAACCCTCTGCAACTGTTTGTTCTGGGTGAAGAGAGAGTGAAAAAACTGGCTGTAGGCAGCAAGCACCCCTTTGTGAGCAGGAAACGTGCTCTTCTGCTGCACCAGTACAATGTCCACATCGCAGAGGTCTGGTTGAAATAGGCGCTGCTCATTGAGTCTGTCCATGAGACATGTGAAATGAAGGGCGACATCCTCCACCAGAGAATACTCAGTGGAAGGGTAGTCTGTTGTCTTCTCAACTATCAACTGCAGAAAAGAAAGAAGAAGAAAAAATAAGTTCAAAGAACAGATCCTGTTTTGCTTTAACCTGCACTACCCAGACCCAAACACAAGAATAACAAAGCCTCATTATACCCACAAAAACCTATGGATACATTGGGCTGACTTTATATCATCCCCCATACCAAGAGATAAGAGTGACACTCTGGCGTTACAGAAAATTATCTCAGAACCTTTCTTTAAAACAATTACAAATATCTATGAACGAGAACGATATATCCACTACATCACCAATCCCACCTACCCATGGACATGAAGAACAGCCCCTCTGAAATTGTTTTCCAAGAGAAATTAAAGGCAAGTGCAGGGGCTGAGTATTTTACGATATTATTTGCGATATCTTGGTACTCAAGATATTGTGAATTACATCCCCCTTGATGCTTTGCCAGCATTATGGCTGTGAAGGCAGTTAGAGCATTGGACGAAGTAATCCACAACATTTGAAGTGCTGAAGATTGCTCGATGTGGTGTCCTCGCACCCAGTACTCTCTCGTGTAATAGTGGGCATGTTTGCCAGCAAGTAGCCTCCTTTATATGGATGTTGGGACACAGAAAGACTTTGCTTTGGGTCCTGGCCTAAAATACACTGCAACTATTCCTAACACTTTAAAGACCATACCCAAAGAATATAAACTCTCCTCAGCTGATCATGAACTTCTGAAACCTCCTATAAGAGTTAGACCCCCCCCAACACACTTTCCATCCAGGCTTGGTAAATTCTACTTTCTCACACTAAATATACAGGTTTTATCTTGCTGTAATGTGGTAAGGCAGACACTTATTCACTTATTTTTTTAACCGCATAGGAAATGAGCTGGTAACGATCATCACATAAAGTAATCAGCATGATTAACAGGCCCAATAAATAAATGATCCTTACACTATGTGGGTATTAACAGAGCTCCCTGTAATTACTGATACATCACCCACACGCTCGGAAAGTGTGTTTGCCTTCATTTAAAAAAGTCCCAAAACTAAATAACTTAACCATTTAAAGTAAATAAAGGAACAGAATGTACTCAAAATACATTTTCTAAAGTTTTATAAAAAAAAACAAAAAACAAAACAACAAAAAAACGGGTGACTGAAGTGGAGCTCTATGATAGTATTATGAAACACAAATTCAAGAAGGGGAGATTTTGAGTCTTCAGCACCAAAAAAACTTAAAGTGGCTCAAACCTATTTTGTGATTGGGGAGCTACTTTTATGCTAGAAGGCCGCCAACTGGGGTGCCCAGTCAGGGGTGCCCAGCTTAAAGGCTTACTGATTGAAGACTCAGACTGAAATGGAAGTGGAGAGGCAGAACTGGCAGACTCTCGACTGAAGACGCTTTGGTTAAGCTGTTTGTTAACGGTTTAACCCAGGGTTTGACAAATGTATTTAAAATCTAGGAGCCAGCTAAAAAAAGTTAGGAGACCATTTTTTGAAACCAAAATTTTACGTTTAATTTTCAATTTAAAAAAAAAAAAAAAAGCGCAATTCTGAAGGGACACTATAGACACCAGAACCACTACAATAACAGAAAAAATAGTAATTGAGGTGGAACAGCGCCTACAGTACTAATCACAGAGGTAGATGGAGCTGCACACCTGAGGGGAAGGGCAACCCTCAAACCCTTCAATAAATCTGGGAGACCAGGAAACAACAATAATACAGGGTGCGCTAAATGGAATAAATGAGAGATAATATTTACAAAAGAGTCTCTGAAAATACAAGGTGGACCTTGGGTAGGTATTCTTTGGTTCTTGATTGGGTCCTCAGTAGTAAATATGAGAAACAAAAGCAAAAACAAAGAGGGACCAATAGTGCAAAACCGTTAGGAGATGGTGTCACGGACAACACAGAAAGAGAAATGCCAACTCACAATCAATAGAGCTATGTCCAGCTCTAGGTAAAACAGCATACACTGGTATTTGAAACTCCCCACATGTAGGATATAGCTGGACAATAGGAGATTCTTCAATCCTTCTTTCAACGTCTCAAGTACGTGTCAGCATATAATATACATACAAACTAGGTATGCTGTTTTACCTAGAGCTGGGCATAGCTCTATTGATTGTGAGTTGGCATTTCTCTTTCTGTGTTGTCCGTGACACCATCTTCTAACGGTTTTGCACTATTGGTCCCTCTTTGTTTTTGCTTTTGTTTTTCATATTAACTACTGAGGACCCAATCAAGAACCAAAGAATACCTACCCAAGGTCCACCTTGTATTTTCAGAGACTCTTTTGTAAATATCTCATTTATTCCATTTAGCGCACCCTGTATTTTTGTTGTTTCCTGTTCTACCAGAACCACTACAGCTTAATGTAGTTGTTCTGGTGTCTGTAGCGTGTACCTGCAGACCTTTCAATGTAAACACTGCCACAGTGTGCAGCACCTGCATTCAGCATCTCCACGCTCTGTATGGAGGCTCTGAATGTTCCTCATATAGATGCATTGATTCAATGCATCTCTATAAGGAGATGCTGATTGGCACATTGTTCTGCTGCACATGCGCAATATCCTCCCATAGCTGAGATTATGACTGACGAGCCATGAAACAGGCACGGCATGGGAAAAAGGGTGAGTATAAACAACTTTCTTGCGATTAGAAGGGGGCAGGCACCTAAACAGACATTCTCTGACAGAGACACACACAGATTTTTTTTTTTTTATTGAAATCCACTCAGCCTCCCTACCAGTCATCCACAGGTAGATTACTGCCGCCTACAATGCTCCCTTAAAGGGCTGACATCCAAGGCGCCAGAGCACTGCTCCCGTCAAGTGAGAGCTATTACGAGCTTCTATTAGGTCTCCTGAGTGAAGTTCGGCAGTGCAGAGAACATTAAAACTCTCCGACAACGTGCAAAGCCCAGTAAGAATCACTTCTGGTTGTGTCCAGCAAAACCCAGGTAAAAATAATAAAAAAAAAATAAAAAAATCAAACCACTCCAATATGGTTCAACTATTCAAGTTAGCCGACGCCTGGGCACTCATTTCACCATAATCACTACGTAACACGGTAAAAGTTATAATGCTAGGAGTGTTCCTTTAAATGCACTTTGTTTTGTCATCATAGTCATACTTTAAGCAAAACTAAATAGTTCTGCCGCGTTCAGCAGTATAACCTGCCACTCCGATAGCTAACTCTGTTCTTCTGTAAAACACCTTTCTGACTGCACATGCACAGACAATAGCAAATCACTGTGAGCTGTGAAATAGCCCAGTCCCACAGCCAATCACGGTCTTCATATTATCCGCCCCCTATTATACAGATGAGGATAGTGCCCACTGGCTCTGTGCACCATAATTACAACCATGAGTTCTGGTGGTTCTAGTTCTAAGAGGGCCCCTTTAAGCATAAATTTATAAAATAAATCATTTAATAAAAATAAAAAAATAAAAATTTAAAATAGTGCAGGTTTTTTCCTATTCTGTTTTGACATTTTTTGTAAAAAGTCTGCATGGCATTTTTATGGAACATTGACTATAATTATGCACAGTGAATGAAAACAAGAAATTCTAATGTTGCGCTAATAAGCAGGCGCGTCTGTGCCCCGTCCAGCAGGTCAGAAGCTACACAATGGATGCCATTCATCAAAACTTCCGCAAGAAAAATTATTCATGGCCGAACTCTATTGAAATTAAAGTTTTCTGGGCGACATCAGCTTTTGCAACCAGTAAAAATTAAAATGTATATATTATCTCACACTGTAGTGCATACTAACATGATCAATATGCATGCACTTTAAAGTCACTGCAGGATTCATAGAACCCAGAACTACTTTATTTAAAGGGGATTTATTATGAAGAGTGTGAAAAAAGGTTTGCACATACCTCATGAGGGAATTAACAATGATCATTAGACTACAAAGAAGCCATTTTCACCTGATGTGTGTCAGTCCACGGGAAAGATACTTATTTGAAGCTCTCCTTTATGATAAGGAAGGTCTTCAGCTACTGGAGCTTCAGCCACCAAGAATCCATATCACTATTATACTCCTGTCAACGCTCACCAGTGAAAAACAGAGGCTTATGGAAGATCCTGCAAGATCTTCCATAGAACTCGACTCGCAATGCGGTCTTTATTCCACAGCTAATACTAGCAATGACTAATTACAAAAGACACAGATTCCATGATCACGTCTTGAGAACCTCAGCACTACCTATAAGCATGTCTAGAAGAACTAGATTTCGCGAGAGTCCCAATTCTTTTGGTGTCCCACTTCCGGAAATATCAAAATCACATCATTAAAGTCACGCTGCAAAGTGATTATTGGGCACCGATGCGATTCAGTGACGCCCTGCCTGGGCACCGACGCGATTCTGTGGCGCCTTATCCAGAGTAGCTGCCATGACCCTTTTTCGGCTGTCCTCTCCATATCCCTGTATATAAAACATAGCACTGCCCAGCCATGCTAGTTCACACTGCCATCTGAGAGGAGCCTTACATTAGACTTAACTAGTGGCATTGCTGTGCCCTACTCATTCTTGTAGGTAAGTGAGGCATTAATGTTGCTCACTTTTTTCTGCTATTTCCACAGTAATTTGGCATTTTATAAATTAACCTTTACTAATTCTCAATAGGTCCACCTCCCCATATGCACACTGCTTGCTGACTCATAACTACAGCTAAGTCAGCACAAATTAAGACTCCAGTGTCCTATATTCTTCGCTTGGATCCCGGAGGGCCAGACAGGAACATTATTTAAAAGCGTTCACGTTTACGCTCCTTTGTGTCTGTGGAAGAATTAAACAGCAGCCTTCATACGTTTCTCCTTTGTCTACTGTGTGGACAAAATCATTAATCAGCCAGGCCGCTACCTTGACACACACACCTTCCCTAATGAATATACTACACACCACTGGCTCGATCTAATGATCCCTTTAGAATACTCCATCTCTAAAACAAGGTCACAGGAATCCTCTGCAAAGTTAAAGAACGACTGTCAGACTCCGCACGATCAACTTAACGGAGAATTAAAATGGAACACGATGCAGAAGACAAATGGTTAACCAGTCTAAAGATGCAATACTATGGCTTTAAACTTTTACCATTTACCTATATTTAAGTGTCAGTCATCATTAGCACTGCAGATGCTTGTAAACCACAAATCCCATGATGCAAGTTGTCAGGCTGACAAAGCATTATTGAAAAGCAGTTCTAAGACACCTACAATGATGTCCATATCCTATATGCTGGTAAGGTAGTTCAATTGGTTAAAGGAGCAGGTTTTGAAGCTGGACAAGCCGACCTCAAGGCTGACTCTGTCTTTCATCCTCCTGATGTCAATAAAATGCGTATAATTGAATTGGGTAACAGAAACATCTATTAATCATCTTCCATTCAATTAAATCTGAGCACCAGCTATGCATTTTGTGTCCCCTTGGGATAGATTAGATCGACTTATGCATGGTACATTTAAAGACGTTCCACAGACAAACCGGAGAAGATGAAATTGTTCTGGTTTACCAAGCAATCATCAGAAATCAGAATAGAGAAGAAGGCTGAAAAACATGCAGTCAAAAGAAGCAGCTCTCCTACTGACCTTCTACTGGATTAGTTTTCTAAACTGCCTGGAGAGGGGTCCGTCCAATTATTAAGATTACTAAATAGAATCCTTGCCTTAGGGGTCATTCCTGCTGAGGGAATGGAGAGGTAATTCCATGACAGCTAGGGATTGTCACGGCCCCCGGCTCACAGCTGCACGTGGTCGCACCTGATCGGTACGACCACACTGACAGGTTTAGGAGCTTACCTGTTCAGCAGCAAGCCGCGAGCCGACCCGCTGGGGCGTCCGTCCCTGTCACACACGGGATACAAAATGACGCCATCCACAAGGTCGCGGCCATTTGTAGCTCCGTCTACAAAGGTCACGCGAGTGTGCGTGTGACGGATGTCGACTCACGCGCACGTTCTGGCGTCAGAGGCCAAGCTCTGGCCAATCCCAGCCCGAGGATGGGTATTTAAAAGGCCTGAATTTCCCGAACTCATTGCCCTTTCGTGGTTTCTGTTCCTGGTTCCCGAGAGTATGTTTTCATGTCCTTGTTATTGATATTCCCGGTATTCTGACTTTGGCTATTCATGACTTTTCTGATCTCTGGTTTCCCTGACTTGGCTTTCTTATCAATCTTGTGTATTTCTGGCTTCCTTGACCTCTGCTTTCTCCTTTGACCATTCTATGTCTTTCAACATATTAATCTGGCCATTCTAAGGACCGGTTTACGTTCTATTTAGAGGTTACATAGTTTTGCGTGTTGGATCACATTAGTAGTCGTGATCCAACATGCAAAACGATGTAATCTACAGACTGATTACCATTGTCCAAAGTTGAAAATCATTACGGGCAACCTCAGCATTGTACCTTGGTATTCATACAGGGTAGTTAGTAACGACCCCTACTTGCTGGAAATATTTCCTTTCTCCCTGACCGCATGTAGCATTCCAGTGGTGACGCATTTCACACAAGTTTCAATACATTAAGTCTGATCAGGGAGGTGTCCACAAAAAAATAATAATAATAATTTGATTTCATCCTGGTCTCCACTAAGCCAGTCTCAAGTACTGCCTTGACAAGGTGTGTCACAAGGTGGAATAGTGGTTAATAGTTAAAAAAAACACAAAAAAAAAAAAAACACATTGCTTTCCACTATAGAGTCTGCCTACAATCATTTACCTAGTTTTAAGATTTCCAATAGTTTGCTGTGGTGGGACCATGATGTCTCACACCTTCGTGGTCACTAGAGGAGCTCGCTCACTTCTTTGTTGGATTTTATAGCATCCTGTGTAACAAGAACAGCTTTTCTGAGACTGGCTACTGAAAAGATAGACTGGGAAACTAACACTAAAACTAAATAAGAAACAGCATTAACTACACTAATTCTTCCTGATTAAGCAACGTCAATTCACTGATAACAGAACTCCAATTACACAGATATTTAAAAAAATGTCTTCGCTGCAGCCTTTATCAACGCAATGCTTAGTCAAGATGAAAGTTACATTATGTGATGAGTTGACCGCTACAAGATAGGCTAAAATTAAAGAATAAAATATAAGTGTCAACTAAATTTAGTAATGTTAATGGGTTACCATGCAGTATAGTGAATAATCCCCTCTGTAGCATAACAATTACACTTAATCTCAATGAAGATGTCTGAGTGCAGTGGCCCTGTCATTTAACCCTGCAATGTAGGTTTTGTAGGACCTGTAATGCTTTGATTGCAGGATTAAATCCACATCTAATGGATTCCGATCTTACCGACATCCAATAGCTCACAGTAGCATTTGATTTTAGGTGCGCGGCACTTCGCCATGGATACCCATTTCCAAGATCGCGGAGCTCATCGTAGGCAGAATGGCCAACTGCAGAGGAGGAATCCCAGCACTGGAAACAATGTGAGCTATCTTATGTAAACTTTAAAAAAAAAATTATAACCAAAGGGGGTAGATAGTCCTGAATTAACAGTTATTTTTGGGACTATAGGTTCCAGTTAATACTTTGTAAGGCAACAGGGAACTGCATGGGTTGTTGGCCATTAATATAGACAAACTCAAGGGATGATTAACTGGTAGCAAGCCAGCTATGAAACTGCACATCCCATGATCCTCAGCCAAATAACTATTTACAAGATCTAAAGATACATTTAGAAAGATATGTTTCCATGTACATCCATGGGAAAAAGAAAGTACACACTCTTTGAATTATATGGTTCCTGCTATGGGACAGATGATTATGTCCTGATTTGTAAAACCCCAGAATTCAAAGAGGGTGTACTTTCTTTTAACCTGACGGTATCGGATCTGGAATTAAAGAAAAAAAAAAAAAAATTCACTAAACTTGGTATTAGTGGAGAGTTGCGCATTTAGTTCACCATAGCCGGACCTGAAAAATAACCGACTAGTGGGACTTAACTTTGCAGTGTTCTTTGTCAAGTCTACTCAACTCCCAATTTAGGTTGAGATTTAATAAGATTTTTAGATTGATTTAATATTTAGAAAATCTTTTATATATTGCAATATCTATTAAAGAGTTGATATTTTATTATTTTCAAAGTCAGTTTACCGGTTTATTCAAAAATATTAAAGACCTAAAAAAATAAAAAAATTCATGATTTTAAGAGGTAAAAATTAAAATTAAAATAAAGTACATTATGCCTACTAAGGTAATCCCAGTTTTATTTATTTTTTTAGCTGTCCAGAGAGCACAGCTTTAGTAAAGTGTTTTATGCAAAGTATGTATTTTAACCCCGGACTAGACGAAGCTCCATCACAAACATGGGAATACCTTCCATGGTGAAGATTAGATAGGGGTCGGGTTAGAAAGCAGAGGTCAGCAGCTGTGGTTACGAAAGGCCCCGAATGGATTCTGCTCTTTGTTTGCAAAACACTAGATGGGTGCGGACATAATCCCAGCATCTAAGGCTCTGCATTCCTTTTTAAAGGGATAATGGGCAGCTCCTGCAGATTATCTCACATTTCATAGGTGCTGCTAGCAATACCTGCTTATGAACAGAGTCACTATTGGATCATGGTCATTTCTGTATTCCATTAATGCAATAATGTATATTCAAATAGAAAAGTTATGTCTAGATTGACTCCAATTTTGACACCCCAAAAACAAGTAGCACCCTGTTTTAGAACAGGTCTGACTTCTTGACTGAAGTCCACTGGCTGCTGCCCTACATGTCCTTTCAGCTAACAGGTGATGCGGAAGCTCCAGCACTGCAGGGCTCTGCGCAGACAGAGATTCTGTCTCTCTTTTAGGCTGTAGTTCAGCCGGGGAACTTCTGCAAACGGACCAGAGGTAAAAAGTCAAATCATTGTAAGATGCAGGCTGTAGTGGTTATGGTGCAAGCAAGTGTTCCTTTAAAACAAAGTTTCCTAAACACAGAATCTTTATGAAATATTAAGACAGCATTGGAATTTCACACCAAGTGGCTTACAACTGTGGGTGTTTTTTCATAATTTGTAAAGACACCAGGAGGCGATATCCCCACTCAAGGTACAGTGCACCGAGGTGAAGCTGAAGTCTAATATCCTTAAATGAAACTCTCCAATGGGGGCATCAGCCGCTTTCATCTCCTGGCACTACATCCAGCAAGAGCCACGTCAATGTTTCACAATCGCGCATGAACAAGCGTACAATAGAGAAATCTATGACAAATTCGACAGGATTTTCTATAGACCTGCTATCGCAATACACAAGAAGATAATCTGCCTTTTTGTCAGGTTCTGTCAACTTCAGTCCTGACCATAAGATGAAGTTTTCCACACTTTGCCTAACGACATCTTTTCATTGCGTTGGAATGTTAGTGAATTCCAACGTAGTCAAGCTGAACGATCATAAAAAGTTTAAACTTTACAAAATACTGAGAAATACTACCATAACAAAACTGATTTAATTGTCAACACAATCTAAAGATAGCATTTGATTAGATACAAAAGTGCTGCTATGAAGAGCTCCTTGTTTTCAGTAGAATGGCTTTGTTTCAAATTCTACTCAATTTTTTCAGTTCAAAAAATGTGTCTCATTTTCAAGTTATTATTAAAGAAAAGAAAGGAAAAGTTACTGTTAGCTTTTCTGAAGACTTGCCTCCCCCTTCTTATTTTAACATTACTGGAAACAACAGTTCGACATAGAACAGTTATTGCACCTGCAGTCTTCATACAAAATTACAACTGCTGTTATGCTGCTTGGTGGAAAAGGGGGGAGGGGGGCATGGGGTTCTTTAACCTCTTCATTACAAGGAGACAGATTAGGAATATCATAAAAGTATAGTATTTGCATATGCATGGTAAGTAAGAGGTTAAAACTGGACACATTTGAGATGTAATTAAAGAAAAGTAAAATTTTCATCAAGAATTTTCATGTGATCAACAAAATGGAGCCACTAAGAAATCCTAGCAGCCAATGTTTTAAGGTATATAGAGGAAGAGATGAGTTATCTGTCTCTAAAGTACAAACTATGCAAACGTTTCATAATAAAAAAAGAGTGTAAACATGAATTGTTTAAAAAAATAAATTGTATCTGAACAGCTGGAGGGCCAGGTGTGGCACCCCCATTAGCACAGTCATCATGATGGTCTACTGTAAAGAAACTATATGGCACATAAACTATTATCGATAATGTGCAAACATATACTGAGGCGCTGTATACAGAAATGAGACAAGAATCGCTGTGTTTATCTGACTTACAATCATAAAATAAAAATGCTTTATCCACACAGCAGTTAATTACATTAACTTCTATGTTTTCAAATAAATTATTTGGAAAGGATTGGCCAAAAAAAGTTTTAAAAGCCCGCGACATTTAAAAGAAGGATCCTGGAAAGGTTATAAGTGAAACCTGCAACAATCCCACCTATTACAGTGATATTCCACGTTGGCTTCATATAATGCATGTGTCAATCCAAGAATCTAAACAGCCATAAAAAGAATGTGGGATTAATTAAATTCAGAACTGATAATGCAAAAATATTAGAGAAGTAGATTGCATGAACACACTTGATATCAACGAGGAGATATAGGCCAGTTTGCCCACGATTAGTGGGAGTTACACTCCCAATGAGCAGTTGCCAGCTGAAATAGTTATAGCATTCTATAACTCCCACTAATTTTGAACAGCTCGGAGACAAGCACATCTTACTCCCACAATACCCTAACACTACCCTAAACATGTCTTCTAATAGAAGATACCTAGAACGGCAATATACAAACTCTGCAGAATAGGACTGTGCTTTACTAATTATTACTTTAATCATCACCTATTCTGCAGCATTACATAGCAGAAATTGCCAAATGAATCAGTCAACAGAAATAAGGGGGGAGAGGGGAGAGGGCCCTGCTCAAACAAGCTTACAATCTAGGAGGCGTCTAAATAATGAAAAACGCCAAACAAACAAAAAAAAAAACTAAACACGCAGACTCTACACTAAAGCATAACAGGATTGTACAGAACTGCACAGAGTAGAGGCCTGTAAAATAAAAGTAGATTTATTATTAAAGGCCCCGCACACACACATACTGCAAGTCTACCCTACACCACATTTACAAAAGGACCCCTTGATGGCAGAGTCTCTGCAGCCAGTGGAAAGTTACTGTTGTTGGTGGGCGGAACCACTTAATGTGCATTTAACATCCAGCAGCAATAAGAAAAACCCACTGGCTGCAAGACTAATGCACAGCTGTGAATTCCTCCTGCACGTTATAAATAATATTTGGTTTCAAGGAGGTCGTGTCACAGTTGCATGGACCTGTGGGTGTGAGTCCTACCACACTGTACATGCAAATGCAGACATGCACACAACTTTCACTGCCTCATAAATTATGCAGCTGCAAACACCGGTGCAGGAGTTTACAAAGCGAGGAAGTTGGACGTAGCACACAATACTTTCACTGACTGCAAATAACTACAATTATTCAGGGTTCTCCAAACTCTGGTCCTCCAGGTATTGCTGAACTACAACTCCCATGATTCATTGAATGAAATGGGTAGTCAAAGAATCATGGGAGTTGTATACATCCATGAACTTCTTGGCTGCAGTAAGGTCTAGGATGCAGTGAAAATAGATTGCAAGCCTAAACGGTTTCATGTAAAATGCTGGCGAGCAGGGAAAGTATCAATGGGATCCCATACTGCTATTACTCACAACTCCAACTATGCACAGCCATTAGGCTAGGGATGATGGGACTTGAAGGCAGTCAACAACTAAAGCACATAAAAGGTAATTTGTGACGTACATTAAACCATACATTGCTTGCATAAAATTACAGCTGCTGATTAGAAGGAAATACTGCTTTCTTATTGGTCTGTGAATGTGCTGTGCATGCATTCACAAGCCAAGAAGAAAAATATAACTGTGTCGATAATCAGTACCTGACACTGAAAATTTTCTCCCAACGAAGAATGTGTCAAATGCAACATGAAAAATAGTAAAGACATCATTCTAATGCAAACTGCAGATCTTTAGAGAGACTTCCCTCCTTTTTTTTTGCCAACAGAACAATACAGGAGATCCCAGTCCTGCAAGATATAAACACACCGGCATGCTTCCCCAGTGCTATCCAGACCTGGCCTACCTCTCTCCCATCACACCTACCTCTCAGAATAAACCCTGCAGAGAGCAAGGAGTGGACTCTGACTGGAACAGCACAACCATTGTCAATGCTGCTCTCCCTTCCCCATCTGCTAATAAGAAAACACTCCCACATTCTACCATTCCCCCCATCTCATCCTGTGTGCTTTTTGGCTGTCCTGAAAATGCCATCTAATGGTACCTCTGTCTGTAAGGTTATCTTGACTTTGCCATTTGATGGCCACCGTGGAGCTCCTGTATGCCCTGATTCTGCCATCTGATAGTATCCTGGCATCTGACGCCCACATCCTTATGCCCTGCCTGTATATACTGGTCCTGCCATCTGATGTCTCTTGTATGCCCTGCCTGTGTATACTGGTGCTGCCATCTGAGGCCCCCTGAAGCTCCTGTATTCACTGCCTGTCTGTGCTGATCCTGTCATCTGATTGTACCCTGTCTGTTTCTCCTGACCATGTCATCTAATGACGACCCCCCCCCCCCGGTCCATGTATGCCCTGTTTCTGTATACTGATCCTGCCATTAGATGCCTATCCTTAATGCCATGCCTGTCTATGCTAATCCTGCCATCTGATGATGCCCTGCCTGCATGGATGATCTATTCCTGTTATTTTATACATTGGAAGATTTCTGACCTCTGCATGCTTAGGCCAGATCCTGCCATCTGATACACCCATGGATGCTCTGCCCAGGCCTCCCACTGCCATTTTATGTTCCCCCAAAATCCACTGCTCTGGCCAGCCCCTGACATCTGATGTCCCTTGAAGCCCCTGCCAGCTAGGCCTGCCCCTGTAGCCCAGACCTACCATCTAATGCCTCCCTTCCATCTCAGGCCTGCCCAAAACCACCTGATGCCCCCTGTTATCTGATACAACCCCAGGCCAGCCCCTGCCATCTGACACCCCCTGCCATTCAATGCCTCCCCCATTTATATGATGCCCAGTACCCCAGGCCTGCCACTGCCATCTGATGCCCAGTACCCCAGGCCTGCCACTGCCATCTGATGCCCAGTACCCCAGACCTGCCACTGCCATCTGATGCCCAGTACCCCAGGCCTGCCACTGCCATCTGATGCCCAGTACCCCAGGCCTGCCACTGCCATCTGATGCCCAGTACCCCAGGCCTGCCACTGCCATCTGATGCCCAGTACCCCACTGAAGGCCTGTCGTCCTTTTTATGTGATGCCCAGTACAGCAGGCCAGCCCTTGCCATCTGATACCCCCTGTTATCCCAGGCCTGCCCCTTGTGTATGGTGCCCAGTTCCCCCTGCCTGCTGATACCCCCTGCTAGTCCAGGCCTGCCCCTTGTATATGGTGCCTAGTACCTCAGACCAGCCCCTGCCCCTGATCCCCCTCTGCCCCTGTCCCCCTCTGCCCCTGATCCCCCTCTGCCCCTGTCCCCCCCCTGGCTGTCCAGGCCCGGCCCCTGCCTGTCCCCCTGGCTGTGGATGTCGGTTACCATTTTGTGGCCGTGCCGGTGTGTGGAAGGTGCTGCTCCGGTTCCTGCCCGGGGGGTTACTGTCCATGTATCCGCTGTGCATGCCCCCGCCCGCCGCTCCCTCTCATTGTCCTACATGCTCCGTGTCTCTGCAGCCAGCGCCATGTTCACTCCCGGCCGGGGGCAGGAGGAGGGGGAGGGGGAGGGGGCCTGGGGCTCGGGGCCGCCCATTGGCTGAGCCGGGGTCACGTGATCCGAGAGCCCACTCCCCCTCCCTGCTCCATAGACACAAAGTAAGAGAGGGGAGGGGGGGATCCAGGGGGGAAGGGGTGCAGCAGGGGGGACTCAGGGGGGAGGGGGATTCAGGAGGGGAATATGGGGGATTCAGGGGGGAGGGGGTGCAGCAGGGGGGATTCAGGAGGGGAGCAGGGGGAGAGCATGGTGGATCCAGGGGGAGGGGGTGCAGCAGGGGGGAGCCAGGAGGGGAGCATGGGGGATTCAGGAATGTAAAATAAAGTAGAAACTGTGCGGGGGGGGACGACGACACAGCTTTAACCATGCACTGCCAATCTAATGCACTGGGTACAGCTCTGGCATATAGAGGGTTAACCGTTAGAGGGGCCAATGCAATGTCTGGCTCGGCACACTAAGGGTTAATCATTGCAGGGAGGGATGCCATGCATTGTACACCCACCCATGGCACACAAAGGGTTAATCATTGTAGGGAGGGATGCCATGCATTGTACACACACATGGCACACAGAGGGTTAACTCTTGCAGGGAGGGATGCCATGCATTGTACATACACGGCACACAAAGGGTTAATCATTGTAGGGAGGGATGCCATGCATTGTACACAAACACGGCACACAGAGGGTTAACTCTTGCAGGGAGGGATGCCATGCATTGTACACACACACGGCACACAGAGGGTTAATCATTGTAGGGAGGGATGCCATGCATTGTACACACACATGGCACACAGAGGGTTAACTCTGGCAGGGAGGGATGCCATGCATTGTACATACACGGCACACAAAGGGTTAATCATTGTAGGGAGGGATGCCATGCATTGTACACAAACACGGCACACAGAGGGTTAACTCTTGCAGGGAGGGATGCCATGCATTGTACACACACACGGCACACAGAGGGTTAATCATTGTAGGGAGGGATGCCATGCATTGTACACACACACGGCACACAGAGGGTTAATCATTGTAGGGAGGGATGCCATGCATTGTACACACACGGCACACAGAGGGTTAACTCTTGCAGGGAGGGATGCCATGCATTGTACACACACGGCACACAGAGGGTTAACTTTTGCAGGGAGGGATGCCATGCATTGTACACACACACGGCACACAGAGGGTTAATCATTGTAGGGAGGGATGCCATGCATTGTACACAAACACGGCACACAGAGGGTTAACCATTGTAGGGAGGGATGACATGTATTGTACACACCCAGCCATGGCACACAGAGGGTTAACCATTGTAGGGAGGAATGACATGCAGTCTTTGCATCCACTTATGGCACACAAAGGGTTATGCATGCAGGGTGAGATGCCATGTATTGCTCCTACCCTTCTATGGCATACAAGGGGTTAACACTAGCAGGGAGGAATGCCATGTATTGCTGACATGTACACATGGCACACAAAAGGTTAACCCTTACAAGAAAGGGTGCCATGCATTGCACACCCAAGGCATACAAAGGGTTACCCCTGCAGGGAGGGAAGTCATGCATTGTTCACACCCACCACCCATTACACATAAAGAGTTAACCCTGGGAGGGAGGCATGGTCTGCATTGCTCACACTCTCCTATGGAACACAAAGAGTTAATAGCAGGCAAGCATTAGAAGTATTGTGAGTGGGTTTTATAGGTTGGGAAGGCTACAGGAGAACTGCAACTCCCACAGCACTAAGCATGCTTGTGATATCCTTTAATAGTGTCTTCTGTTGTTTAACCCCTTAAGGGCCAAACTTCTGGAATAAAAGGGAATAATGACATGTCACACATGCCATGTGTCCTTAAGGTGTTAATGTAGTTTCCAAACACTATCCCCATCACACATTAACCTAAAACCCCTGGGTCTCCGGTAAAGGTTATAGGATGGAGGATGAAGAAATTGTTCTGGAGAATTACTTAGAGAATCATTGCACATAACCCGGCTATATCACCAACAAATACCACAGTGCTGTACAGTGGGCTGTAAAATACATAATATTAAATAATAAACTCTCTAACCCGACTATAGCTATAAAATACATAATATTATATAATAAACTCTCTAACCCGGCTATAGCTATAAAATACATAGTATTAAATAATAAACTCTCTAACCCGGCTATAGCTATAAAATACATAATATTAAATAATAAACTCTCTAACCCGGCTATGGCTGTAAAATACATAATATTAAATAATAAACTCTCTAACCCGGCTATGGCTATAAAATACATAGTATTAAATAATAAACTCTCTAACCCGGCTATGGCTATAAAATACATAGTATTAAATAATAAACTCTCTAACCCGGCTATGGCTATAAAATACATAATATTAAATAATAAACTCTCTAACCCGGCTATAGCTATAAAATACATAATATTAAATAATAAACTCTCTAACCCTGCTATAGCTATAAAATACATAGTATTAAATAATAAACTCTCTAACCCGGCTATAGCTATAAAATACATAGTATTAAATAATAAACTCTCTAACCCGGCTATAGCTATAAAATACATAATATTAAATAATAAACTCTCTAACCCGGCTATGGCTATAAAATACATAGTATTAAATAATAAACTCTCTAACCCGGCTATAGCTATAAAATACATAATATTAAATAATAAACTCTCTAACCCGGCTATAGCTATAACATACATAATATTAAATAATAAACTCTCTAACCCGGCTATAGCTATAACATACATAGTATTAAATAATAAACTCTCTAACCCGGGTATAGCTATAAAATACATAATATTAAATAATAAACTCTCTAACCCGACTATAGCTATAAAATACATAGTATTAAATAATAAACTCTCTAACCCGGGTATAGCTATAAAATACATAATATTAAATAATAAACTCTCTAACCCGGCTATAGCTATAAAATACATAATATTAAATAATAAACTCTCTAACCCGGCTATAGCTATAAAATACATAATATTAAATAATAAACTCTCTAACCCGGCTATAGCTATAAAATACATAATATTAAATAATAAACTCTCTAACCCGGCTATAGCTATAAAATACATAATATTAAATAATAAACTCTCTAACCCGGTATAGCTATAAAATACATAATATTAAATAATAAACTCTCTAACCCGGCTATAGCTATAAAATACATAGTATTAAATAATAAACTCTCTAACCCGACTATAGCTATAAAATACATAGTATTAAATAATAAACTCTCTAACCCGGCTATAGCTATAAAATACATAATATTAAATAATAAACTCTCTAACCCGGCTATGGCTATAAAATACATAATATTGAATAATAAACTCTCTAACCCGGCTATAGCTATAACATACATAGTATTAAATAATAAACTCTCTAACCCGGCTATAGCTATAAAATACATAGTATTAAATAATAAACTCTCTAACCCGGCTATAGCTATAAAATACATAATATTAAATAATAAACTCTCTAACCCGGCTATAGCTATAAAATACATAGTATTAAATAATAAACTCTCTAACCCGGCTATAGCTATAAAATACATAATATTAAATAATAAACTCTCTAACCCGGCTATAGCTATAAAATACATAGTATTAAATAATAAACTCTCTAACCCGGCTATAGCTATAAAATACATAATATTAAATAATAAACTCTCTAACCCGGCTATGGCTATAAAATACATAATATTAAATAATAAACTCTCTAACCCGGCTATGGCTATAAAATACATAATATTAAATAATAAACTCTCTAACCCGGCTATAGCTATAAAATACATAGTATTAAATAATAAACTCTCTAACCCGGCTATGGCTATAAAATACATAATATTAAATAATAAACTCTCTAACCCGGCTATAGCTATAAAATACATAATATTAAATAATAAACTCTCTAACCCGACTATAGCTATAAAATACATAATATTAAATAATAACCTCTCTAACCCGCCTATAGCTATAAAATACATAATATTAAATAATAAACTCTCTAACCCGGCTATGGCTATAAAATACATAATATTAAATAATAAACTCTCTAACCCGACTATAGCTATAAAATACATAATATTAAATAATAAACTCTCTAACCCGGCTATAGCTATAAAATACATAATATTACATAATAAACTCTCTAACCCGGCTATAGCTATAAAATACATAGTATTAAATAATAAACTCTCTAACCCGGCTATAGCTATAAAATACATAGTATTAAATAATAAACTCTCTAACCCGGCTATAGCTATAAAATACATAATATTACATAATAAACTCTCTAACCCGGCTATAGCTATAAAATACATAGTATTAAATAATAAACTCTCTAACCCGGCTATGGCTATAAAATACATAGTATTAAATAATAAACTCTCTAACCCGGCTATAGCTATAAAATACATAATATTAAATAATAAACTCTCTAACCCGGCTATAGCTATAAAATACATAGTATTAAATAATAAACTCTCTAACCTGGCTATAGCTATAAAATACATAATATTAAATAATAAACTCTCTAACCCGGCTATGGCTATAAAATACATAATATTAAATAATAAACTCTCTAACCCGGCTATAGCTATAAAATACATAGTATTAAATAATAAACTCTCTAACCCGGCTATGGCTATAAAATACATAATATTAAATAATAAACTCTCTAACCCGGCTATGGCTATAAAATACATAATATTACATAATAAACTCTCTAACCCGGCTATAGCTATAAAATACATAGTATTAAATAATAAACTCTCTAACCCGGCTATGGCTATAAAATACATAGTATTAAATAATAAACTCTCTAACCCGGCTATGGCTATAAAATACATAACATAACAGAAAAAAACTTTGTTGCCCTTTATAAAAAACAATTGCAGAGACATAAGGAGTACAAGTCGTATCCCTCTTCACCATGTCTTTAGTAATCTCCTTGGCTTGTCTCTCTGGGGACAGACACGTGTCTCCTCTCCTTCTCCTGTCTACTTTGAGACCCAGGATCTGGAATTATTAACGGTGTGTGTTCCTGCACCATCTGTCTTACAAACAGTATGCATGTCATGGTAGAACACCGGACGCTATCGCTTTCCGTGTTTAGTAGATATTCGTCTATTTCAGCAGAGAATTCTAGAATTTACGTCCTAGAGGTGGGGCCTGGGAAGTGACATCACTTCCTGCTCTCTGCGTGAGGTGAAGAGGTGGAGCCTGGGGAATGGGAAGTGACATCACTTCCTGCTCTCTCTGTGCGGTGCTCTGTGTGAGGGGAAGAGGCGGAGCCTGGGGAATGGGAAGTGACATCACTTCCTGCTCTCTCTGTGCGGCGCTCTGTGTGAGGGAAGAGGCGGAGCCTGGGGAATGGGAAGTGACATCACTTCCTGCTCTCTCTGTGCGGCGCTCTGTGTGAGGGGAAGAAACATCACTTCCTGCTCTCTCTGTGCGGTGCTCTGTGTGAGGGGAAGAGGTGGAGCCTGGGGAATGGGAAGTGACATCACTTCCTGCTCTCTCTGTGCGGCGCTCTGTGTGAGGGGAAGAGGCGGAGCCTGGGGAATGGGAAGTGACATCACTTCCTGCTCTCTCTGTGCGGTGCTCTGTGTGAGGGGAAGAAACATCACTTCCTGCTCTCTCTGTGCGGTGCTCTGTGTGAGGGGAAGAGGCGGAGCCTGGGGAATGGAAAGTGACATCACTTCCTGCTCTCTCTGTGCGGTGCTCTGTGTGAGGGGAAGAGGCGGAACCTGGGGAATGGGAAGTGACATCACTTCCTGCTCTCTCTGTGCAGTGCTCTGTGTGAGGGGTAGAGGCGGAGCCTGGGGGATGGGAAGTGACATCACTTCCTGCTCTCTCTGTGCGGTGCTCTGTGTGAGGGGAAGAGGCGGAGCCTGGGGAATGGGAAGTGACATCATTTCCTGCTCTCTCTGTGCGGTGAGGGGAAGAGGCGGAACCTGGGTGTCGTGGTAGACAGGAAAAGGGGAAGAGGCCGGTGACTGTCCTGCACTCCCAAAGAGGAGATTACTGCAGTCACGGGTAAATGTGATAGGATTTGCATTTCTGATGTGCCTACAGTTGTTTTTAACGGTGTGCGCAAATAAATATTGTTTTACAGAAAACACAGAGAATATACATGGGACTATGGACTCTGATCACCATTTCCCGTGAATATCTTTATTTTTTATTTTTTTTGCGGTTTTAGATTTGCTGTTTTAATGTGCTGCTGGCAGCTGCTCCTTATTTTATTGATGATATTAATTATTTCGGATTTTTCTACTCCCCTTTTTTCCTGCTATTTAGACTTTAGATGTCTGTTTAATCTGGGCTTTTAAAGCTACTCTGTCACCCAAAGAGACGGGCCCAATCTGGAAAGGAATGGCCGCCCTATTAACGGGTCAGGCTGCCTATCATTCCCACAGGCTGGCCCACTGTTTCACTGCTCTCTGCAGGGTACTAGTGCCTTGAACCTAGCATTGAATGTGTCTAATGATGAGCTTGGGCTATGCTTTTGGGTACAGTTCCCTGCCTCAGCAATTCAGACCAATGGCATTCGGTTCGGGACTTCCGAACTTCGGCAATTCGGTACCTCGGCAATTCGGAACTTCGGACATTTGTAAGCATCCGAATGTCCAAATTGCATGAAACAAATTTCACATGTCTAGTGAGTGGTTGTCGTGGCAGTCCGGGCACTGGGAATCCTATAGATGTGGTTGTGGTGGCAGACCTGGCACTAGGAACCCTATAGAATAGATGTGTAAGTGGTTGTGGTGGCGCTGGGAGCCCTATAGATGTGTAGGTGGTTGTGGTCGCAATTCTGGCACTGGAAGCCCTATAGATGTGTAAGTGGTTGTGGTGGCAGTCCTGGCACTGGGAGCCCTATAGAATAGATGTGTAAGTGGTTGTGGTGGCAGTCCGAGCACTGGGAGCCCTATAGATTTGCAAGTGGTTGTGGTGGCAGTCCTGGCACTGGGAGCCCTAGAGATGCAGGGGTTCCAAGTTAATTTTTCCCGTGGAATTCTTTGACATAGTGTATTAACATCACATCACATTGCTAACATACCCCCTGGCACATAAGAACAAATAAATAATGTTATACTGTACCCATTATAAAAGAGCACAGGTTTAAAAAAGTCCTGTATATGTTCCAAATGTAAAACGCATGCGCATATGCGCATGCGCATCCGTCCTAGTATGTTATATGCTGCCATTACTCATCCTGGAAACTGCCCACAGATGAAATGGGCTATGCTAGCACGTATTCCACGCCTGCGCCGCAATATGTAAATAGATGATCAGTAAATAGCAATACATCCACATAATTGTCCTGAATGGTCACACGCTTGCGCATCTTATGTTAGCACTGACCGATACGATGATGTCACTTCTGTGGTCGGATCAGATTGGTTGCTGATGGCCATGAGCTGGATGTGGGATATTGGTAAGCCATGATACAAACACCCTTAAGAAAGGCAGCCAGGAGGTGCCGAAATGTTGGGGATATTAGTGGCTTGTATTTCTGCCAGAATAGGCTTGTGTAAATTGTGGTAATTGCCATTGTTTAATTTGTTTGCCTTATTGTTGTCACTTTAATTCTTTGCTTCATTGATTTTTTGCTTCTTGTTTGTTATACCTATTGTGGTTTAATAAAGCATTTATGTGTATCTCTTCGGAGCAAATCTAGTGTGCAATCTCTTTTTTGATATATTGGATTTTTGGGGGGTACTTGAGAGAGTGCTTTGGAGTATTAGCACCTAGTTATTCATATTTAATTACATGATCTCTCCATTCTGTGTTGTCGTTCTAATATGTGTATGTATGTAACACACAGATACATACACACTGACACATAGTGGCACACATATACACACACTGACAAAAAGGTACACACACCTTGACACACATTGTGTATCTGTGTGTGTGTGTGTGTATGTATCTGTGTGTCAAGGTGTGTGTATCTATGTGTCAAGGTGTGTGTAACTATGTGTCAAAGTGTTTGTATCTGTGTTTGTATGCAGGGGCGGGCTGGGCCGGGGGGCAGGGAGGCAATTGCCCCCCAGGCCGCCCTAAATTCCTGTAAGGCCGGCCGCGGCGGGCCGGCCCTTTAAATACTGCAGCCGCCTGAGCGCTCTGTTAAGAGCCTCAGGCGGCTGCAGCTTCTCCCCTCCCCTGTAGCGTGGCCGAGCTGCACTCCGGTCCGCGGTGGCCGGCCAGCCGGCCGGAGTGATAGGAGGGTGCACACTGAGTGTGCACTTCCTGTCAGTCCGGCCGGTTACAGGAAACAGAAACTCCTGTTCCGCGCGGAGTTTCTGTTTCCTGTTACCGACGGACTGACAGGAAGTGCACACTGAGTGTGCACCTTCCTATCACTCCGGCCGGCCGGCCACCGCGGACCGGAGTGCTGCTCGGCCACGCTACAGGGGAGGGGGTAAGAAGAGAGGGAGGAGGGGAGGGGGTAAGAAGAGGGGAGGGAGGGGAATAAGAAGAGGGGGGAATAAGAAGGGGGGATAAGAAGAGGGGAGGGGGGATAAAGAGGAGAGGGGAATAAGAAGAGGGGAGGGGGGAATAAGAAGAGGGGAGGGAGGGGAATAAGAAGAGGGGAGGGAGGGGAATAAGAAGAGGGGAGGGGGGAATAAGATGGGGGAATAAAAAGAGGGGGGGAATAAGAAGAGGAGAGGGAGGGGAATAAGAAGAAGGGGAGGAATAAGAAGAGGGAGGGGGGGATAAAAAGGGGGGAACAAGAAGAGGGAGGAGGGGGTGAAGAGGGATAAGAAGAGGGGAGGGGGGAATAAGAAGAGGGGAGGGAGGGGAATAAGAAGAGGGGAGGAGGGGAATAAAAAGAGGGGATAAGGGGAATAAGAAGAGGGGAGGAGGGGAATAAAAAGAGGGGATAGGGGGAATAAGAAGAGGGGAGGGAGGGGAATAAGAAGAGGGGAGATAAGAAAAAGAGGGGGTAAGAAGAAGAAGGGGTGAGTAAGAAAAAGATGGGGGAGTAAGAAGAAGAAGAGGAGGGAGTAAGAAAAAGAGGGGGGAGTAAGAAGAGGGAGAGGTGGAATAAGAAAAGGGGGAGGGTGGAGTAAGAAGGAGGGGAGGGCGGAGTAAGAAGGAGGGGAGATAAGAAAGAGGGGGGTAAGAAGAAGAAGAAGGGGTGAGTAAGAAAAAGAGTGGGGAGTAAGAAGAAGAATAGTGGGGAGTAAGAAGAAGAAGAGTGGGGGAGTAAGAAGAAGAAGAGGGGTAAGAAGAAAAAGGAGGAGTAAGAAGAAGAAGGGGGAGTAAGAAGAAGAGGGGGGAGTAAGAAGAAGAAGGGGGAGGAAGAAGAAGGGGGGGTAAGAAGAAGGGGGGGTAAGAAGAAGAAGGGGGAGCAATAAGAAGGGGGGTAAGAAGAACAGGTGGGGGAGTAAGACGACCAAGGGGGGAAGTAAGAAGAACACAGGGAGGAGGGGGGTAAGACGAACACAGGGGGTGTGAGGAGAACACATAGAGGGAGGAGTGAGAAGAACACAGGGAGGGTGGAGGGGGGGATGAGAAGAGCACAGGGAGGGTGGGTGAGTGAGAAGAGACCGCTGGGGGAGAGGAGAGACCACTAAGGTGCCGGGGAGAGCTCTACGGGACAGAAGGGGCAGCTCTATAGGACAGGGGCCAAGACAGGGAGCTCTTTCACACTACGCGCACACACACACACACACACACAATGCATCCCTATACATACACAGAAACACAACATGCTTCCCTACACACAGAGAAACACACAATGCATCCATTACACACACACACACACACAATGCAACCCTTACACACAAAGACAATGCATCCTTTGCACACATACACAGAAACAGACAATGCAAACCCGTACACACATATGCAAACACACACACTTCTTTTCTTACATACACACAGAAACATAATGCATCTCTTACACTCAATGCACACACATACAGACACACACCTTGCATCCCTTATGCATACAAACACAGATTCACACAATGCATCCCTTACACACAACCAGAAACACATAATACATCCCTTATACACAAATACACACTGCTTCCACTACACACAAACACACTACATCCCCTGCACAAACTGGTAACCCTATACACTACATACCATAAGCACACATATTAGATCCTCTACAATAACACATAACACATCCCCTACACACTCCACTCCCTGTGAGCGAACTCATGGGTGGGTGGAACTTATGAGTGGGCCTTATGGGCATACTCACCGTCAGGCCCTGGGGCCCAGACCTTGAGCTGTGTAAGGGGCCCCAAAAAATGGAGCTGCTTCCAATTCTCCCAGAACATTGAATTTTGTGACCACAGCTGCAAACAGCCTCCAGAGATCCTGTTCTACACCAGACCAGTGGAGCCAAACTGCAGCCCATCATCATCCTCATCTGCTTGTAAGTAGGCAATCTAGTATATTATTAGTGACACTTATCTATAATGTACCTCACATTAAAGGGACACTATAGCTTAATGAAGTGGTTCTGGTGTCTATAGCTGGTCCCTGCAGGCTTTTTAATGTAAACACACACTGTGTGCAGCACTGGCGTTAGTTCATATGGGTGGGGCATTGTGATGTCACATGGGGGCAGCAAATTTTTATTTTGTCTAGGGCGGCAAAAATCCTTGCACCGGCACTGATCCTGGGCAGGTGCACCAGTCTACTGGTGACCCACAGGAGGGGAGTGCACTGATTGCACTGCACTCTCCTCCTGTCCAGCCCCATCTTTACCGCAGTGCAAGTGCCCTCTGCCCCTAATTTACAGTGGCTCACACTCACAACAAGCAGTGCCTGGAGCCGTGAAGGAGCGGGTATGGCAAAGAGCTACTGATTAGCATAACATCAATATCCGTTATAAAACCAGGAAAAGGTGGGCATGGATGGTGAACTGATTTGGTGGTGCAATGGGCCACTTGCCTGGTTTTGCCCCCCAGGCCTAAGGCTGCCAGCCCTCCCCTGTTTGTATGTGCTGGTGTTTTTGTATCTGTGTTTGTATGTGCCAGTGTGTGTATCTGTGTGTATGTATCTGACACACAGATACACACATAGTGGCACAAAGATACACACACTGACATCCAGACACACATACACACATCTTGACTCACTAATACACACACACTCAGATACACACATTGGCACATACACACAGTGTCATATACACACACACGCACATACAAACACACTGATATATACTGGCACGTACACACACACACCAATAAACCCATACTGACATACACACAAACACACACTCAGATACACACAGTGACACATACACAAACCTTGACACACAGATACACACACTGACAAACACACATACTTTTTGACAGACACACGTACAAACACATATACACTCTCAATGACAAGCACACATACATTTCCACTGACAAACACATACACACTCACACACTCACTGACAAGCACACATACACTCTCACTGACAAACACACATACAAACTCCTTAACAGACACACACACAATTCTTTTTTTTTTTTTTTTTTATTTCACTCCACCCAACCTCCCTACCTTTGGGAGTGCTGGCATGGAGTCTCTATTTCTCTGGGGTCCAGTGGGGCTGCTGGGCTGAGTGTCTGGTGTGCAGTCCCTGAGGTCCAGTGGGGCTGTTGGGCTGAGTGTCTGGCGTGCAGTCCCTGGGGTGCAGTGGGGCTGCTGGGTTGAGCGACTGGCGTGCGTGCAGCGAGGGGGCAGTGATCTTCCTGCTCAGCTCCCTCACGCGCCTCTTAGTGATGCCGGAGTGACATCATATTCCGGCTCCGGCATCACTGCTGTCCGCGCCTCAATTATCGTGGCGGCCATTTTGTTTCCCAGAATTTTGGCGGAACCCCATTTGTTTTCTCGTGAACCACACGGTTCCGCGGAACAAGCATCTGTAGGACTCTCAATGCCAGGATTGCCACCACAACCACTTACACATCTATAGGGCTCCCAGTGCCAAGACTGCCACCACAATCACTTACACATCTATAGGGCTCCCAGGGCCAGGAATTAGCTTATTGGTCAAGATTCCTGTCATCATTCGTATGTAATTTTCCCACCCTCTCTCTTGTTTTGCCACTTTTCAGAAATCCGAAGCACTTCGAGCCAATGTCATTCGGCAGATCCGAACTAACAAACTTCGGCACTTCAGACATTCGTAAGCATCCGAATGTCCGAATTGCACGAAATTCGTCCGAATGTACATTCTAGACTAAATGAATTGCACATGTCTAGGATTCTCCATAGGCCTCAGTGTTTTACTCTCGTGCATTTGTGAAAGTACAACACTGTCATGGCACTTCCTGGCACCCAGCAAGGCAGTGCCATTACAGTAAACCATTTATTGAGCAGGTGAATGTGATTTTTCTCTTACAACCAATTGAGACCAACTTAAATAGCAAAGTGTTAACTAATTTTAGGTTAAGATCTAGAGTTTAAGACCCCTTTCCACTTCAAAAGGGACTGTAGATAAGTAGCAACATCCTTGTAATGATTTATCAGACAGATGACATAGACTTGAGTTGAGACCTAGCACTAGCACAATG